CTATTTAGTTCAGATAGCGAAGAAGAAATAGTAACTAAAATTGTCCAAACTTTGGAAAATAATGTGAACATCATAGATCACAAATTTTTAATATCAGGATATTCGTTTTTACCAAATGATAGAGATTTTGGCGTGGTAGATATGTCATTAAAAAAAAATAATTTACTGTTTGTTCTCCGAGATTATTACAAGAGAATGGGACAAGAAGATTTTGTATCAACAAAATTATTAGAAGACGCAATTTTTAAAAGGGTGAAGAATTCTGATGGAGAATCAATAAACTGGTTAAAAATATGTTGGATGCGTTTTGTCAGAAATGAACCGTATAAAATTTTCTATAATACATCAATAAATGAGAATGAAAATTTTAAAGTCCTGAATTGATTACCACGCCGGGGTAGACCAAGAAAGTTCGAAAATATTGTATTGACACCACTGTATAAAAATATCAGACAAATTACAACAGCAAAATTCAAGGACATAACTGACCTATTACGATATATACAACCGGAACACCATGATTTCTTCAAATCCCTTTCACACGCACAAAATGTAGATGAGTAGTAAATTGTTTTGTAATTTTGTACGTTATGTAGTTAAAAAATGTTTTGAATCACATAAATTATGTTTCCGAAGTGTTTTAATGATATGTAAAATAAATTCAGTATTGTTTTTTTTCAATTTGAAGCATCTTAAATTATGTTGAATGGACTTGGGCACCTTCAAATTTTATAATGAATCTGTATTCATATTTTAATAGGAACTATAAATTTAACACCCTTAGATACACTTAAGCAGTATGACTCATTAGTATCCTATACGTATATTTTTAAATTCATTGAAACGCAAACCCTTAAATATCTCGATTTGAAGATAAATGGACTTAGGCCACTTTCAAAATAAACGGCTCATATACGAATTTACTTTCATTAGCTAATCGATAGAGCTTCAACAAATTTTATTCATATATAGCGAGAGTACGAATACTTATGAGTAGACTGCGGATCTTTATGCAAATTCATATTTTTATTAATAGAATTAATGAAACGGAAGCTTTATAGAGGGTTGTCTTAACACCTAAATATAATAATTCGTATCTTACTTTAAGTATTTCTTATATTTTTGCGTGTTAAGTGCATTCTGTAGTTTTTTGAGGATTAAAATTTCCCATAAATGCATAAACATCCGCAGTCTACTTATGAGACTGTGAAAGCAACAGAGCAAAGAACAATAACGACGAGCAGATTTAGCGTCGATACTATTTTTAAAAGTTAATATGCCTCGGTTTAATAACGTCGAAACGATCGTAACGGTAACATAATGATTTGATCGCGACTGTTCGAAAGCCTCCAGCGGTTCTTAATCTCGAGCTTCGACGGCCATAATCGGTGACCTACTTGAGGACAAATAATTTTTGTCGGGTGAAACGCGTGCCAGTCTCGTGGCCTCGAATTTCCGGGGCCCCGCGTTCACTAATTATTATTTCCTCCCGTTAAGTAGGCTATTTTTTCGAGAAAACGCTCGACAGACGTAAACAACGGGTCGTGGTACCGGTGTTCTGCGCTTTATCGGCGCGCAGCTACCGGAATTTGTTTATTTTCCACGTGACGACACGTGGTTCCTCTTCCCGTCTTTCTTCATTTTGCTGCTTCGCGTTCCCCGTCCTGGCTTTCCAAAATGCTAATTCGTATTACTCGACTCGGAAATTCCTTCCAAACGGCCGGAAATACTCCCCCCAACAAAGCAGAGTTTCTTATTTTAAACGTACGTGTACGCAAGACGAGTCTAATATGAATAATAATTTAAATAATATTTAATAAATCGTTGACCTCGAGTGTCCCTCATCGTGAATCGAAGCCTCGTACCAGTCCGATCTTTAAATTTTTTAAATACGTACAAAGGAAAATCGAACTGTTATATAAATTTTTATTATTGCAAACATGATTTACGTGCACGTACGGTATCGTTGATCTTGGTCTACATTTTCGTGGTATAAGAAAAGAAACGAAACTTTCAACGTAATTTATAAAGAGATCGATAGTCGTTAAAAGTTAATCTCTCGGAGAGGAGTAGAAATTACACGAGTAAATGGTGAAGTTCCATGAAGAGAGAGACAGTGGAGGTTGAAAAGGATGGGAGTACAACAGAGAGAAAGAAAAATGAGAGAGAACGCGAGCGAGCAGAGGGGCCATGTGGCGTTTCAGGAGATATCAAATCATACTACGTGTACGCCATGCCGCCCCCTAAATATAGTTTATTGCGTTACCGAGTATTAATGGAGCTTCTATAGAAAGGACGGAGACGCACGCCACCGAACTCGTTACTCGTCGACGGGCTCGGAAAAACCGAAAATAAAACCGTCGATCTCGCATCAATGGCAGTTGTTTTCAACTCTACCATTACTGTCGTTCAGATCCCGCCAATAGATCGCAAAACTCTCGATAAACGTCTATTACCATCATGTATGCTCATTAAAGAATGCTAATTAACAGGATCGAACTTATTCTCATCTCGTAGGACGATCCATACAACTTCTCACCGTGTTTAATTCATTGTATCGGTGCAACATTGATTTATCTAATTGTTGGAAACATTATTCGATAAAATACTCGAGACAAACGCATTTTGTCGTTTTCATGCCCTGCTCCTCGAAGAGGAACACCGGAAGTTGGCGTTCGCCACGCCAATATCCCTCTGATTAAGGGTGTTCTTGTCCCGAATGCAAGCACAGTCTTTCTACGCCCGTTTAAGGAACAATTCGTTTTATGAATGACACTACGAGTGGTCATACTAAACGATTAGCCACGGCGAGGCGCGTCAGGGCGTGCAGGGCCACGATCGTGCCAGATTTCGTATCTGTTCCGGTGTCACAAATTTCAAACATAAACACCGGCGTCCCGTACACGTGTCCTCTGTATATCATAAAGTCCTCCACGGTCGTCGAGACTGCCTTTCCGACTTGCTTACTACGTCCGCTGGTCCGGGTTCATTCATGAAACTCCGACAGCCCTTTAAAGCGTGAACGGTGGCTACAATAAACCCTTAAACGTCGGACATTATTCTCTCTTCTTGGTACACCGTTCAAGGTTAACAACCAACTCTCAAACGTTCGACACATTTTCTTTTTAACGACAACGTTTATTGCCATGTTTTCAATTCGCTGTTGCATTCGACCGTGCAACTTTTAATTCGCGGAGATTCGAAATTTTAAAGATCGAGACCCGTGGCGCGCTGGACCTGGAGTCTCTGGAAGATCCTCGTTGGTCTATTTAGGAGGGTGCGACGAGTCGTCGGAAGGAAAGGTTACTCTTCGCTGCTGGAATAATAAACAAACCCTTTTTGTTCGTAGCCGGTCAACGTGCACAGTGGCTCGTTGTTAAGGGAACGCGATCCCTGATCTGGGTTAATAAAAATTCGAACGGTGTCGCGTTTCAAGAAGGACCGACAGCGGATCGTCCTAAACTCCTCTTTGATCGCGCTTCGAAACGAAAGGGCGAAGACAGTGACTCGCTACCGAAAAGCAATCGTTCTCGGAAAATTGGCCTTAAATCATCTTTACCGTCCGAAAGTTCACTTTGAACCTGTTATGTCCGTCGACGCGCGCGTTCCAGCATCCTCCGAAACGGTCCACACTGTATACCTATCCATTCGAAATGTTTCTACTCGTTCAAAATGGAGTAACATCATCTTCCATAAAAAGTAATTAGATAACAATTGACATCTAACGAGCAATTGGCGATATCCCATTACAGAGACACGCTTTTATTAACGAGGAACGCTGTACCCACGCCAGTGGCGTTAAAATAGTTTTTAGGTTCGAGTGATTCGCCCGCGTAAATAAATAAACGAAGGAAGAATACCTGTTTCTTCTCCATTCGAAATAGCAAAGACTGCCTGCTGCGCCCTTCGGCTCGAGTAATCGAATCTTCTTTCTCCTCGATTCGTGTTCAAATAATAATAGTATGTTCTATTTAATGATATAATAGACACGGAAATAAAGAAACGAAGGATGGTATCGTAAATTCAAGATAAGGGTATTCTATTCGAGCGTCGAAAAAAAGCTGACCGTCGCGACGCGACTCGACGACGCGTTGACGGTGATCCACGGTGACAGAATGAATGGTTTTTTGCCTTAGGACGTAGCATTGCCCTGGGAAAAAGGCAGATAAAGCCACTTATGCTCGCGGAGTCGCGGCCGAAGATCGTGGCGCTGACCGCTACTATTTTCAGCTCTTTTTGCCCCTAATTACGGCGCTCGTGGAAGCAACCTTTATCGAAAGCCACTCGAGAGTCTCGACGCTGCCCTCGGATTAAAACTCCGACTACGAATTTAAAATAGGACGCTTCGAAGAAACGCTTCGTTGCAATCCGACGGATTAAAAATAAGTCGAAAGCAAGACGCGGTAAAAAAAATCGGAGACCGTCTGAAAACCTGTACAGTACTTACGAAACAACGATTACATGTAGATCCTACGCAAGTTTCGAATACGAGATTTAAATCTTGTAACGAGAGGAGTAAATATTTTAAACATTCTCGCAAGATCGGAACCGTCAGCCTCGATCCCCCCTACTCTGTGTTTTTGCACGATATCTTTGTTCATCGAACGGGATGAAAATTGAGCGAGAAAGGGGGGTAACGAGCAACAAGCGAGGAGAACCACGAGCGATCGCACGATTCGCGATTACTCGCGACAGTAAACGCGAATCGGAGGATAGGATGGCGGTGAGGAGCGTCGTCGCGGCGTTCCCGGTCGTAGCCTAAATCATGGCCCGTCGGCTGATTCCCCGTTCAATTTACTAATTGAATCGAGGGAAGCCCGTATGGGCGTAGACCAAACGGCGCCCCGCCCTTCGACCCCCTCTCGCCCCTCTCAGCATCCAGTGCGCGAACGTTCTCGAGTAGGATAACGCATTGTATGTAATATGCGCGCTCCATGCGTTCTACGCGTCACCGAAATCTCCCTTCTTCTTCTCAGTGGCACTTGGACCGCATCCGGAAACGCACCGCCACGGTGACACGCCGTGACGCGACTTTTGACCCCCTCGCGTTCCTCGATCTCGATCAGTCGCGGTTTACAACCCCTTAAAACGAACCCTTTCCTTCGGATCGTATAATACATCTTTCCGTATCGACGGAAACGATGAAATTTTGAGAGTTACGAGTTCATTTTCGACAAGGTGAAACTGGAGGATAGAAAGATCGGTTGGTGGAATTTGTTGTGAACAGTGCGAAAGTTTCAGTTGAAGATGATGCTGGGGGGCTACGAGGCGCAGCCGGATTACTATCCGCAGTGGCATCAACCCTGCAATTATGTCACGCAATTGCCTTACGGTGAGTCCCAAATTCCTCAATTTTATTCCCCTTTTTATTCCCCGAAAATATGTGCTACGCGTTAAAGGGTTGATTCTGGTCCCGGAAACTTGCTGAAACAATCGTAGGGGAGACCTGGGGGGTGGTTGTACTCCACTTTTGGAGCCCTCGACAAAGTTTATAGAGTTTAAAATCAATTTCATTCGCGATTCGTTTTGGAACAAGTTGAAAGGGAGTTTCTCCTTTGCAAAAACCCCTTAGAAGTTGATGTACGATGTTTTGATATTAAACTCAAATTTATACAGTAAACGAAATGAAACTTCACACCGTTGAGCATGTTAGAGTGAAACAAAAGTATAATCTACGTACTCTGGTACAGAGTAGCCCAAATGAGACTTACAACTGAACGTCTAAAATAAAAAAAATAGAAAACTAGTTAGATGTTGCCCAAGTAATGCAGTACGTAAAAAATTTTCAAAAAATATATAACCCTCTGTCCAACGATCTTGAATGTTCCTGTACGATGATATTCTTATGTTTCAAATGAAATTATTAAAAAGAACCTCTTTGCCACCACGTCACCGAAGATCTCGCGTTCTCCTAGTTAGCATCCAAACGGAAACAAATATGTCGCGATTGATCGGTGAACATTATACAGGAGATTTCAACCCACCCAGATCGAACGTTTCGAACAAGAAAGGGATAAGCGGTTAACAAACCACCATTTTTGCGTAGGTCCTCTGCACGTGCCCGACGCGGACAGCCAATCGACGTACTGGGGCGCGGATTCCGGGATCTCCGGGGGTAGTTCTGGCGCAGGAAGTCCTACCGCCTCGACGCCACCCCTGATCGAGGAGATCGGCGTCCAAGAGACCAGCTACTCACCCCTACAGCAATACGGCCACCCCTCGATGAACCAGCACTATCCGAATCTGATCTACTCGGGTCAGCCAGAGCTTTCTCATCACCTGCATCACCATCACCACCATCACCATCAGCAACAGCAGCAGCAGCAGCAACAGCAGAGCCATCACCATCACCAACAGCAGCAGCAGCAACCGCAGCAGCAGCATCAGCAACAGCAGCAGCAACCTCACAGAAGGGACAACGATTTCACCGCGGTTTCGTCCATGAGCCAGGTGGACATTTCGCTCCCGGAACACCTTCGACAGGGAGTCAGGGAGGGTACCATAGTTGTCAGACCCAAGAGAAGGAACACGGCGAATAAAAAAGAACGGAGACGAACGCAGAGCATAAATAACGCGTTCGCGGACCTTCGAGACTGCATACCGAACGTTCCAGCGGATACGAAGCTGTCGAAAATCAAGACCCTGAGGCTGGCTGCCTCCTACATCGGCTACCTAATGGCGGTCCTCGAGAGCGACGAGGGAGACGAACCGCAAACATTTCGCGCCGAGATCCTCTCCAATGCTAGACGAAACAAAACGGCTCAGTCAAACCAGGTTAGTTGTTGTTTATTTCTGTTGTGTCCATTTTGCGAAGAATGGAATTGTTTTTGATCGTTAGAGGGTTCCATGTTGCATTTCAGGCTTTGTTCCTGGTGCGACGCGACGCGACGGTAGTTTCACCCCTTGGTGCAATGCGTTGAATCCTCTTTATTGTAATATTTTGTTAAAATTACACATTCTGTATAGCCTATTTGGCGATCCAATAGATTCCAAACGCGAATAAACGTTGTAGTTTTTACGAATCGTCGAAGGGAAGTGGTCTCTGAGGGTACTCTCGAGTTTCACGATTAGTTTCACAGGACAAATTGCTCGGACGCTGCTTGCACTTGAACGACAAATTTATGCCTTCCTCGTGGACTTTTCCAAATTGTTCTCCTCTCTCGGAACACTTTCAGCGAGCGTTGCTTTTGAGTAAACATCGTCCTCCTTAATTGGATCTCTCGTTCGTCGCCGCTCGAGCACTCGACCCTAAACTCGTCATCGTACCTCGACATTCTTTCGGAGGAAATGAACCACGTTCGCGCGTCCCTAAACGTTCACTGAGCTTCGATGACCAACTTTCTCTAAAGTAGCTTTAGAACATTATACGAGAAAATAATTTTATCTTTATAGATGCAGATAGGATAATTTGCTCGGAACAATTAGTGGAGCATCTGATCGAGTGACTTTAGTATTTAACTGCATAAACTTTGGTCGATTCCGATAGATAGATCACACGATCCTACAATAAACAGTATTTTTAAAATTCCATTAGCAGGTATACTTTTAAAAGAACCAACCAGCATTCAACCGAGACGAAGAAAACAATTTTCGACAAAGGAAATACAGATTGCAGTTTTGATCATAGGTTTTCAACTATTAGTACAAATTTTGAACCATTTTCAATTCTGCTCTCTGAACTGTACGCTTCCAACGAACCCTGTAGTTTGTGGTTTTCCCTATTTTCCACGATTCCTCGCCACCCACGTTGTACAATATCATTCCTTTAGAGGAGTCAGGGACCTTTGCCGACAATGCTATTCTCCCTTGAATGTTCCCGATTATTAATCTCTATTATATCTACTCTGTATTCTAAGAACTTGTGCTTCATCCAATTTTTAACTAAATACTTATTATCTCAATTGCTGATTGTCGAGGTAGAGCAGGAATTTTTCGGCGAAAAAAAAAATTTCAAATCGTTCAAAAAAAATTATTATTAGTTGTAGGAGTCAATTACAATAATTTTTGGTCACTTTCGAGAAAAAAATTCGAGTAGGTGGAGAAATTCTTTGGCGAAAAAAAATATTTCTAGCTAGGGGGGTCAATTGCAATCATTTTTTATGAATAGATGTACCCCCGAAATCCTATGCACTTTCGAGTAAAAAATTCCTTACCGGAAATGTTTCCCCGAAATTTCATGCGTACCTTTAAAACGTCATAATTTCTGAACAGTTTGGAGGATATTAATATTTCAAAATGCAAACGACGCGTATTTTGGCGAGGAATATGTAGAAATTCTAAGAATGTGACACGAAAACCGTAATAGGTCTCTAGAGCCCCAGAAATATAGGCTACTCGTATAACTCGTCTGTGATTACATTCCTAACTACAGTAACAAGGTTTACTGTAAATGTGCTCGTACAAATATGTAAAGGATTGTCCCTTTTGTTTGTTACAGAACGAGTCGTGTTTACATTCAGCTTCGAGTCTCGTGTCCGAGGAATCGTCCAAGAGCAAAGGGCGAACCGGATGGCCGCAACACATGTGGGCCCTCGAATTGAAACAGGAATCGCAGGCCAGCCAGATGCAATAAAATCACCGATTCCTATCTATTTCTGACCAAACGATGGCTGCTACTCGACCCAGAGATATCGAAACGAATCGAACGCGAACCCTGGGGATACGAGAACCAGGTCGAACAGTTCGATACTCCCCGAATCGTGAACCATCGTGAGCGTCCATTATCTCGCGACGCCTCTTTGGCCGTCGTTCTTTAAATTTAATTTATTCATCGATAGGATTAATTAGCGTAAACTGGCTGGTAAAGATGCACATTTAAGTTGGTTTCGAACCAAATTACAGGTCTCGAGGAGACTTTGTTTCTACTCCGCTGTAAAAAGAGTAACCACCCACCGTTTGTAAATACGCGTTTTGCGAGTGTAGATAACTAAACGTTAGCCCTCTATGCTGATTTCTCGTTATTTGCGCGCCTTCGAAACGGGAAAACGTGCTATAGAAACAAAAAGAGCGGTGTTCCACCGTCATGCTATTTAGGCAGCTGTAAGTAAGAATATATTTTTGAAAAACTGTTCGAACAGCATTTGGCTTTTCCGAGTATTGCTACGAAAGAAGAAGTTTCTCGAGTATTGTTTAGAACTTAGGGTGCCGATCGGTTTAAGATACTTGTAAACTTTTGTATAAAGTACGGCGAGCAGCGATGTATAAAGAGTCACTAGCAATAAACAGAGCATCATAATTTAAACTCTTCTGTTGTACCTACGCTATCGACCACGCGTAAACTTTCTAAGCTGCTAAGTTTAACTAAGCGCGTTGCATTTTCCGTTATTTCTGTTTCGTTGGTCCCTACGCTTCGTTTTCACATTCGATACAGATTAAAAAACTAGGATCCTGTCCGTTGCGACGCGTCGAGACTTTCCCTCGCGTGAAAAACGTGTTTTCCTTGGCCACACGCTGGGAAAGCATTGTTCAGCAGCGACAGTTTCGGATTTCTTGGACATCCTGGCGCCAATGCCAGATCCACGGTAGCCTCTTGAATGTTCGCGCGCTCCTGACGCGAAAGAGAAGATTCCTCGTGGGTGTCGTGCAACGCGTCCCGGAGTTTCTCGTATTTCAAACGGCAGAGATTTTGATAATAATATTAAATATACAGGGTGTTCGGCCACTCCTGGGAAAAAATTTTAATGGGAGATTCTGGGGGCCAAAATAAGACGAAAATCAAGAATACCAATTTGTTGATGGAGGCTTCGTTAAAAAGTTATTAACAATTAAATTCAAAAATTTCAAATCGTTCTGGAAAAATTATTTTCGGTTGCGGAGGTTAATTGCTATCATTTTTAGTGAATAGACATATCCCCGAAATCCTATCCACTTTCGAGAAAAAAATTCGAGAAGGTGTGAAATTTTACGTCGACAAAAAAAAATTTCAAATCGATCTGGAAAAATTATTTTCGATTGCGGGGGTCAATTACAATCATGTTTGGTCATTACACATACCCTCGAAATCCTATGCATTTTCGAGAAAAAAATTCTTTACCGAAAATCTAATTAGATGCCGAAATTTTACGACAAAAAAAAATTTCAAATCGATCTGGAAAAATTATTTTCGGTTGCGGGAGTCAATCACAATTATTTTTAGGGAATAGACATATCCCTGAAATCCTACTCACTTTCTAGAAAAAAATTCGAGAAGGTGTGTAATTTTACGACGACAAAAAAAATTTCAAAACGATCTGGAAAAATTATTTTCGGTTGAGGGGGTCAATTACAATCATTTTTGGTCATTACACATACCCTCGAAATCCTATGCACTTTCGGGGAAAAAATTCCTTACCGAAAATCTAATTAGGTGCCTAAATCTTTCAACGAAAAAAAAATTTGAAATCGTTCTGGAAAAATTATTTTCGATTGCGGGGGTCAATTTCACTCGTTTTTGGTGAATAGACATACACCCGAAATCTTTCGCATTTTCGAGAAAAAAATTCAGTACGGGCGGAACTTTAAACGTTAATAACTTTTTAACGAAGCCTCCATCAATAAATTAGTATTCTTGATTTTCGTCTTATTTTGGCCTCTAGAATCACCCATTAAAATTTTTCCCAGGGGTGGCCGAACACTCTGTATACCGAGGAATGATCGTTCGATGACGGATCGCGAGTACACTATGCATCTGCGGTGTCTTTTGAATGCGTCTCTATCCGTCGTCGTCGTTCCAATGTTTAAAGCGATTCGATAAGTTCGCGCTGACGACATTGTCGATCTTGTATGACGTAAACGAGCCGTCTCGTCCGTTGATACGAACGATCGAAAATTGTCTCGTCTTAATCTGTGTATAAACCGAGAGATCGATCGAGCCGAGCGATTTCACTACTTAATTATTATCAAACATAGAACGGGAGATTAACCCTTTGAATTCGATGACATAACTCGATCAAGAATAAATAAAAGTTCATTGTACTCTTTTGAAAACGCAAGTCAAGATACAATTGGAAATCCAAAGCGTGTTTGCGATGTTGGAAGAAGGTTAAAAATGTTTCTTTATCAAGAAATATGGAATAGCCTGGTGCATAAGGGTTGAAAAGGATTAAAATTACGCAGGAAAGAATTCGTTGGTAGTGAAAGAGATGAATGGGTAGTCTGGTTCGATCCTGTGTAGATGTATAATAAACGTAGAAAGAAAGAAGGGTGAAAAGGGGAGGAAAGAGGCACGTGGTGCCCCGGGAGCCCGGGCTTGGAGGTGTTAAACGCGAGAAGGTGAATCGGTGCCGCTCTGTAAACTCTTCTCGAGACGAAACCCAGAACACTTCCGAACCCCGAATCGACGATATAAACACTCAGCGGTATCTACGGAACTCGGTTATTCTCGGTAGCAGCGAACAAATCGTTGCTTCCTTGTCAAAATGTTACCCGAGCACAAACAACGCTCCGTATCGAAACTTTTCCCAAATACATACGCTTTACCTTTACAGCTTCTTTAAGAGAAGATTGCTTACTTCTATCGACGTTCTAAAATAGAGCCGTGCAATTGCTTCTTTCCTATACAGAATACTTCAAAAATATCTATTATAGATTCTGTACGATGCCGATTTTAATTATAAATCTATTCGAGTATACTTTGGTCATAGAAGCGAAAAGTTTCTTCGATATCCGGCGTAACATTGGGGAACACTAAGATGTATACTAGTCTCGATTGTATAATACCAGCGGCTTCGATACGAATTTAGAAATTAACGTGAACGTCGATTTAGAAACGTTCGAATCGAGGAAACGCAACTGCGAGAACAGAAGTTGGTAGCAAGATAGAAGAAATCGAAAACATCAGTTTCAACGCTTTTAAGTTGATTTCTCGAAAGTATTGAGAGAATGGATTTCCGAAAAATCAACGTTTGGACACGATAGTCAGAAGCTCGATCGATCACGAGTATTGGAGGAGATTCGAATAAACCAGAAACGATCTGTTGTTCGCTCGATCTGTTCATTTTCGCCCTCGATTAACTTTGCTCGCTCTCTCTTTTCCTCCGACAGCCCCCGGCACGAAAATGAGCACGGAAAGAATAAAAGAAGAGACAAAAGCAAAAGACGTCATCACGTGGGAAGATTTTTCGGAGCACCGTAGAACACGGGTAGGACATGTGTGCTCGCGCGTGTGTCGCGTTCGCCGAATACGCATACGAGACCGGAGGGGGAAGGAAAAAAAAAAACATGAAGCGGACGTTTGTTTGCTTTGACAAGTATCGAAGGTCCATGTAAGTACGAGAAGTCGAAGCGCGACCAACTACGACACGACCACTTAGACGTCGCATGAAAAACTGACCCGTGCATGTGTCGAGCCGCCCCCTAATTGCTCCGACCCGAGCAATTCTCTTCTTTCGCTTATGTCGTTCGACGGGAACAGAAACTATTGTTTGCAGTGGTTGTACACCGATAAAAAATACCAAATCAAGTTTGAACCTTGGACGAGATCTTTAAATTTGGAATCTGCCATCGAGCTTTGGAAGTTTTAATAATTCCTGTCAGGTTGGGGAAATATTGTTAATTTGTGTGTACGTAGAGGAAGCACGGAGAGAAGAGGCGAGGAAGATACACGCGTAGCTTCGAATTTACGAGGCGAAACTGTGCTCTAGAACACGCCGCGGAGTACAGTAATGGCGTATGTACGTAGATGCGGCTATAATATAGTGCCACTCGACATTTCGTTAAACAAACAGTCGTCAATCGGGTCTGTCACTATCCAGATCTGCCGAAAGAAGCAACTATTATTGGTACGCGAGACCATCGATGGACAGATTTAATTTACGTTGGTCGTTAACAGAGTATACGGAATTTAATGAATTTACGCGAATGGACAATCGATCGTCGAAGAGTTATAAACGTTAAATTTTATTTTGTTTTCTGATTAACCGTGCCGTTAACGTAAATGGAATCTCGGTGGCGCATCAGCCAAGCAATGGGCCGATCGACGAGCACAGACGATCTTTTATACGCGACGGAGCCGACCTCTCGCGCGACTTGATCTGCTTGATCCCGAAATTGAATTGGCTAATTGACAAGCTTAATCGAGAACAGATTGTCCGCCCGCTGGAACGCCCGCAGCGTGGCGTCGCGACGCGTCACGCGCCGGACTGATTAATTCTCCTCGATAGGAAGCAGAACGCACAAGGACGCTAGATCGATCCCTAAACAATCCTCGACATTTTCTAATTTTCGAAAGCTGCGAGTCACCCGACGAACATTCGTCTCCAAAATCACCGATTAGCAATCACTGATCTCCTTTGATCTAGATTAGGTCGACCGAGGACCAAACGAGGCTAAAATTACAACAGAATTTACCGTTATTTAAATTAACTCTCATTAGTATCGCATCGTCCTGAGTTCACTTAGGAACTATCTGGATTAAAGTTCGTGTTAAGTTTAGGGGTGTAGGGATAAAGAGAGAATCTTGCCCTTCTGGGAAGAGAAAAGGCGATGAAAACAAATGGAGGATAAAATTTCAAGAGATCCCGAAGGAGTCGGTGAATCTGACGGTGGTAGCGTTTCCGTGTCGGAAATCCAAGAAGCAAGGGACGGTGGTTGTAAACGTTAGCGGAAAGCTCATTAGGTATGGATGAGCGTGGATCTCGATCGAAATTGAAACGAATCGGTCGGGGAGCAGTCGAGATTGGCCTCGCCACGGCGGGGGCGGATGTTTGCGCGTCTCGAATCAAATCGAATGAAAGAAAGCGAGAGAAATAGTCCTCGACGGAGGGTTGAAACGACGGGGACAATAAAGGAAACGAAGAGGGTAGCTTCGCGGACCTATAAAACCCGCGGATCGCGTCCGTATCGACATCATTCGGTCACAAGTCTCAGGATACTGTTCACTCGAAGAAGCGATGATCGGTTCCAGCGTGTTCTCACACCTTCGCGTCACCGGTATCTGTGCTCTGGTTTGCCTGATTTACTCGGTGCACTGCTCAAACGCCGAATACGGTACGTTTCTTAAACGAACAAAACGAGGGAAATCTCGAAACTTTTCTTATAAACTTTCTTAAATTTCTTCCAAGATTCTTTCACGTTGGTTTAAATGATTTATTTGTCACTTGCAACTGAAGCTGCGGGCGAATTTTAAGATTGAAACCTCCCCTTCTTTGCAACTATTTCCTTTCTACGGTCATACGTGTTGTAACTTATATTTGCATATAACGAGACAAATAGAATATTTTACTTGACCGGCCATAAATAATCGCGAGGTTTGGTTTGTGGTTTCCGTGGACGTTTAAAGAGATAAAAAATAATTCTGATTAGCAGAGGGAAGAGAATTCACGAACGACAGAACGCCGGTGAACGAGTTCGTCTCGTGCGCCGAGGGTAAGTGCATAAAACGTGCCTCGTCGCAGCCATTCAGCGGCATGTGGTTCGGACCGCGATTGGGAAAACGGCACAAAGCCGACAAGAACTCCGAAGCTGATCCCGACCTCGAGGCTCTCGCGAATATCCTCGACACAGCGCGTTGGGGCGTCCTCGCAGTTCCAGGTATGTTTTGCATTTAAACCGAACAAAGATGAAAAATTATAGACATCGATGCATCCCCCTTTTTAAAATGGGAAGTATATAAATTTTGATTCGACCATTCTATGCACTTTTTAAACCCCTGGATCCCTAGATCCTTAAACCCAAGAGTTCCAAACTTATTCTGATGTTTCGAGAGCGCGCATTTTCAAAGATAATTTTCTTCCAGGCGGAGAGAAGCGACAATCGACCCAATTTACACCCCGTTTGGGACGCGACTCCGGGGAGGAATTCTTCTCGTACCGATCCCCAAAGGACCAGGAGGAACTCTACGCGGAGGAACAGCTCTTCCCACCCCTTTTCGCGCCCCGTCTAGGACGTCGACTACCGTGGACACCCTCTCCGAGGCTTGGTCGTCAATTGCACAACCTCTTGGAGAAATCTAGACAATACGGCGACGATTCGCGCTTCTGAAACCTCCTCCTACGAATTCAACGAATAAAGACAACCGAAAAGACGTAAAATAGCGTAATTAAGAATCGACGAAATAAACCAAACATATTTATTTGTATTACAGAATAACGAAACTCGATGTTGCTTTTTTTCCAACACCGATCTCATTACTTCCGCTAACGCGATATCCTGGAAACCTTCGTAGAAAACCTTCCACGAAAAGAATAAAAGACACGTTTTAATTAACTACGTTCTCGATTGATTGTCGTGCTATATTCTAGATGTAATTGCGCCAAGACTATACAAGAAAGTTCGTGTTGTCTCTTGGAATGACGATTAAAAAAACGCATACGCGAGTTATTCCTGTCTATTTCGATATTAAATGGTTTACTCGAGCAAAGAGAGGCGGTAACTTGTATCTGCTGGCAACGTATTCCGAGCTTTACGATTACGATCGAAGTCTACGGTACCACATGGCCCGTGGTAGTTTCGGTTCAAGAATTACACGCGCTCCTTGCTCTCTTTCCTCGACGTTTCTCGTCCCTTTTCTTCGCCGTGGAAAAATATCGTTTCGGGAAATGAAAAGATCTCGCCGCTAACTAAATAATTATACACAGAGGAGAAAGGAGATCTGCCATGTCTGGAAGACGGAAAAATTAGGTATGCCTGTATGGATAGAAAAGCAACACGACCGTATTCTTTTGTAGCTTGGTTTTTTGTCCTTTTTTTTTTTTTCTTTACTCTTTATTTGATGCATTCGCAAACGTTACAACCTTTTCTACGCGTACAGAATACGGAAGATCGCTCGCGCGACATCCTCGATTCATCACGTTTTACATATTTTTTTTTGTTTTTTTTTCATTTTTTTTATCTCGTACGTCCCTAGGCAATGCGTTACAGCTACAATATGTAAATTATATATTTTTCATATATATCTATCTATCTATATTTTTTTTCATTTTACTTTCTCTTTCGCATACACGCATACATACACGTCCTCTTCCACGCTCTTTCTATTTCATTTTTTATGTATACATACAATATAATGCTCTTACGCTACGTATGTATATCGTATTTACAACGGTCGAGATTACTCGACGCAGCAGGATTATTATCGTGTTATTTATTTAGTTTTTTTTTTTTTCAGTTTTTCTTTAATGCAAAAAGACCGTCGTGCGGACCGATTGTAAGAAAACCTCTAACCGCTTCTACGCGCGTCTCGGTAGCTAAATCTGAAAAAATACATGGGTACGTTTTCCTCGAACGAAAAAACCCGGTTGATATTAATAATAATTGTCTATTTTCGTTTCGCGATCGATTCCAAATTGTTCGATTCTTCGAAGACCGACGCGAAAATAAATACTTTACAAGTTCCCATTTGAACCCTATCACGTTCCTCGAGGTACGTTTCAAACGCGATACATACTCGTTCCTGAGAATATTGCGCGAGTTCTGCTTCGCTAAATACCACCGTTTCTACCACGACTAAAAATCATTAAGACGTATCGCAGAAAACGTCCGTTTCCTCGAACGAAACGGAACGAATTTTCGTCATTTTCTTGCTAAGCTCTGTGAGAAGTCTTTCGACGTTTGTTTTCGGTCCAGCGAATTCCAAAACTCACAAAATCCAAGTAAATTAATTAGTGTCGCTTTACTTTTCAGCAATAGTCTGCTAGAATTACAGATCAGATTAAAGACTGTCCGATACAAAGTGTAAAATTTGATAGTAATGACGCCTTTTTAGGAAACTGTATCAAAACCACTTTTAGCTCGTGGTCCAGAAAACACAATATGGCGGAGATCGAAAGAAACGAGTAGAACCGAGGTAAAAATGGTTTTGTATACCATTTCCCAAAAGAGTGAATATCGCGTTTTATGGTAAGATGGAAAAGTCGTAGCTCGTGCGAAAAGGACATCTTTTTCCCTGTGAAAGAGTGTGCGGATGCTTCTAGACCGGAATCCTGAAGAACAAGTTGATGAGTTTCCAAGTAAATTTTAGTCGAAGGCACTATCGTAAGGAACGAAAATTTCCTCCCTTTCTGTCGAACGAGCAGAAATGCAACTCGAGAAGTTACAGACTGGATCCCCGTACTTCGTTATCGAATACAAAAGGTTCTGTTCGTGTTTCTCGAAACGGCAGTCAACAAAATAAAGCAGATTCTTCGCCGAGCCCCCGTATACGATTTCCACGGAACGTATTCCTTAATCGTTTTTACAGCGATTTACCATAATTTTTCGCGTCTAACCTGAAAGAATCGACCGGTATTAATTTCTAACTATCACTTCTCATTTGCATCGATCTACGGGTACGTGAACCGACAGTTTCTACTTTGCTTCGCTACTTATTTTGAAATATCAGCCTGTAGTTATTGCATTTTTGCGTTATCGTTTAGGACACTGAGTTTTCCTTAACCTTCCCTTTAAACAAAATAAACACCGATATAAACGATTCGATGCTCTTCTAATAAAAGTGTAATTGTCGGTCTATGAACAATTCGAATATTCGGTGTTCGTTAGCGATCACTCTCGAAGCCGGAAGTAACTTTTTAAATTCAATATAGTGTTTTCGTATTTGTTCGGTGTTTGTATAAAAAAGAAAAACAATAACGAACGCGATCGAGTTTCGGGTGAAATGAAGGAGAGTCATTTAATGGAATTCGATTCGAGTAGTAGTATAGCCTTCTAAAGTTCCGCGTTCAAGGCACAGAACACGCTTAAGGGTGTATTCTAGTCTAGATCCATTTTTTGATTTCGTTTTCTGAGAAGTATATGCCCTGAAAAAGATTTCTTGGAGTTACAGGCGTGTACAAAAAGAGACATAATATGTGTTTTCTTTAATTTGAAATAATAAATACATTAAAAAACTAACATCTAGACTAGAATACCCCGTGGAACTTATTGGTAGAGAAACGTTCGTCGCGTTTTTCTATATTTAAATTTCTAAATTTCGAACTGTGTCGATTTAAGTTAAACGGTTCGTGCATCGAGTTTCGTATAGGTTCTCTAAACGAAAAATATTTACACTATGTATGCACTACGCGCGAAGAGATGCATATTTTAACTCTCAACCGACCGCCGTCGCGTTTCTACGATTTTGCAGAACCAAACCGTGATCAGTCTTTTTACATGTTCACGATACTAACGTTTACCAGCAGCCCCCGCGTCTATTTCAATTTCTAAATTTGAATCGTTTGCGTGAACGCTGCTACGAACAATATTTTTCAAATCAAACTTTCCAGTATTCTAATTACGTCACTGGATCTTCGAAAATTACGTACGCGTACGCGTAGCTAGTTTCTCTATAAAATAATTATATTAGTGTTTCGTAATGTACATGAAAATGCGTGACGTATACATATTTATGCTCGTAAGACGCGCCTGGGCAGCATAAAGTCGTACAGTTTGATAAAAGTAATAAAAAACGAGTACGAAGACTAGCGTGATGCTGAAATAGCGTAATATTTTCCGAGAAAAATATGCGGTCGATCGAGTGTTTTAATGTTCGAGTGTAGTCGAATATCGTCGACACGTACAAGATTAACTCTCAACCACGTGGAAAATATTTACAAGTTTATCGCGGCGCCCCTCTCTCGTCCCTGCACCATGAACCTAACAACAATTGATTTTTTTTTTTTGCTCCTTGTTTCCCGAAACGAACAAAACGAGCGTTAAATAAAGGGAATCGACAGTCGTCAGAAACATCGATCGCGAACGAAATACGAAAATAAACCATAGACGATGATCAAGGGTTAATCTTCGTGTACAAAATGTATTTTATAAAAAACCGTTCTCCTTATACTTTTTTTTTTTGTCCTATACATATTTTCTTTTTTTTAATCCCGGTATCATCCCCGCCCCTCTCTTCCATCCACCCACGTGAATGTTTTATTTAGCATAAGCCTTAAATTTAAAAGTACTATTCATTAGTGTTAGTATTATCTTCATATACGTACACAGATGCATGCACATACCTATGTACGTATATACAAGTAACGATATAAGAATTCGTAATATCTATAGCGCTTTTTCTTTCCCCTATAGCAGGATATTGGCCAAGTGACGCGAGTCCAAGTGCTTTTTCGGTAAAAACTATTTACATTATTATGCTACAGGATCGTCGTTCACCGGAGGAAAAGAGAATGATCGTCGTAATAATCGGATTCGTTACCGACTTGTATCGACGACGCTATTTTTATTTTTATTGAATTCTTCGGGGCCTCGTCGCGAATTAGACGCACGAGGACCACGTATTTCGTGTTTCTACAAACAGAGATATCACCAACGTCCTCGAACTATATGCACACAATAATGCAGCATTGAATTTCCGCGATCTGTCGTTGCTCTTCAGAGAATTTCACGAAACGCAACGCTGCATTACTGTATTAGGATGAAACTCGACCAGCCGCGCGGGATCGTTTATGTTCGCTTCGTTACTAATCGTGCCAGACACTTTTACTTCTACGCAATCTTCTCTTTTCGAACGAAGGATACCGAGGATCTTCGAGCAGCCGATTCTTTTCTCGGCCGTACAATCCTCGGTATTCTTTTCAATTTTTAATCGTTCGCATCGAACAGCAAGGCATCGATTAAACATTTTTAGCGGTAGAAGACGAGTTTTAATGCCCAAAATATTATCTTTTACGTTATCGATGTTTCCAATACGCGACGCGTTAACGATAAAATAAACTTTACGTTGAATTTAACAATATTTAGTATCCTCTATTGTCTATCCACTTTAGCAGAAGAAAGGGTTAAATCTGTCCGTTTTACTAATTTCCTTGACTTCCGTAGCTCCGAGAACGTTTTTCAAATTCAAAGTTCACGACCCCAGTAAAATCTAATCCGTTGTATTGGCTTTACGAACCATTATTTCTTTCTTATCCAGTAAATCATTACGTAGTCTACGTTCGCTATAGTAATTAGTATTTTTTCTAGCACCGTTATTAGGTCATATACTCTTTCGATTTGTGCTAACCGATCATCCGGTTTTTTTTCTTTTTGTTACCTCCATCGTATCGTTGATTTTGATCGTTACTCGATGGTGAAACCTTTTGCTCGACAGCATTGTTCGTAAACGCGGTCTCGGGATAATATAAATACAGTAGGAGAAACGTGGAAAATCAAACGAGCCAATAGAAACGTACACACGGACGCGCTCATTCTCTCAGTCTTTGAAATCAAATGCGCTTGAGAACCGAACATGTAACTTTCAGAATCTTCGACGATAATACTGCATCTGTTTTGTAGATCGTTTTACGACATCGATCGCAAACGAACAAAACAATTTACTCGGAAAAAGTATAGACCGTCGTAGGAATTAATAAATTTACTTGCTCGCTGTATACAATTTTAACCCTTTTAGTGCCGAACGACGATATATCGTTGCGTATGCGATGGTGCCTTATGCTTCGCATTGGGAGAAAGCTCTGTCTCAAAAAAAATTTATAAAACATTATAAAGGGTCTAATTTCATTGCAAAAGCATGTCAAAAATTATTTTTTAGAGGCCTTTTTCGGTCGGGCGAACCAGCAACTCAACGCTACTTCGTCGCGGAAACGTATATTCTGGAGTCGTCATATTATACAGGGTGTTCGGCCAAAAAAATTTTAATAGGAGCTTCTAGAGGCCAAAATAAGACGAAAATAAAGAATATCAGTTTCTTGACTGAGGTCTCGTTAAAAAGTTATTAACATTTAATTTAAAAAATTTCAAATCGTTCGGGAAAAATTATTTTTGGTTGCGGGGGTCAATCGCAATCATTTTTGGCGAATAGACATACCTCCGAAATCCTACCCACCTTCGAGGAAAAAATTCGAGTAGATGTGAAATTTTCGGCGAAATAAAAAAATTTCAAATTGTTCTAAAAAAATTATTCGTTGCTAGGAGAGTTAATTACAATCATTTTTGGTGAATAGACATACCCCTGGAATCCTATCCACTTTCGAACAAAAAATTCCTTACCGAAAATCTAATTTTCAAATTTTTCTGGAAAATGTTTTTTATCATATTTTATAATTGTTATTTATGTGATTTGCAATAAACATTGAAATGCAATTGCCATTACTTTATTCTTTCTTTATTTCGTAATATGCCGCTTTTTGAATTTTGTAAATATCATTTTTAGTTTAGTTTTCATGAGCTTTTTCTCTAACCACAGCAAATTCGTCAAATTGGCTCGGTATTCTTCGCATAAGCACCCGTTTTTTGCTCGGCACTAAAAGGGTTAAACTAACAACTAAAACTTTCGCCACGGTTCCTGAACAACGCGTCCAAGAATATCGACTACGATAATTAGGCAGGAGCATGAATCGGAGAAAAGACCGTGAGCAGACACAGTGGGTAAACGCAAAATGTAAAACGAATAACGTAACATTTCTGCTCTATCACAAATAAAATGATCGTTCGTACGGACGTAGGAACTCTAAAACGATCGTCGTTGGTTAAGGCGAACGATCGACGTTATCGATAAATCGGATTCGATGACGAATCGTCTTATTTGGAATTAGTACGAGGACAAGTGTCTCGAGGAAAATCGACGCGTTAACCGATCGTGGCGTGCCCGATATAAGTATGTCTTTTTCTATACCTCGTTTTAAAAATCAACAAATATCTATTAAATAATACGAACTAAGAGGATCGAATGAACTTCGTTGTCGCGTTTCGATCGTGACGACCGGCTAAGGAAACGGTTTTGGAGAACCGATTGTAACGCGACGCGTGAAATTTTCGAAAATGGCGGTGAACATTTCGAGGGAAGACGAGTAGAGGAAGAAACAGCAATAAATCGAGGAACGTCGCATCGTTCTTCGTTTAATATCGACGCAATACCCGTTTCGATCATTTTGCCGAGCCCCCTGACAAAATCAACGTTGATTTCTGTTAACTGTTTCGATTTTTAACAAATGTATCGTATCCGGTGTAACATTTAGGTAATCGTGTATAATATAATCACAATTTTCTAGTCCCGAATCAGAACCTTCTAAGCGACCTGAGTAACCTGCACGCAACAGTCGTCATATTTATCACACGAAGAGGAGGACTTTTAGAACTATTATATTTTTGATGGAATTCACAGATCACCAAATCTATAAACGCATCGATTACTCGTCTGAAAACATGGCTTCCTCGATATTAAAAAATGGACTACCGAAATATTCAACCACTGCTCTGGATGATCGTAACTTTTGTCGACCAGTTGTGCGAAATAGTTTTCAATATATTCTCTTACATTGTCGTCCGCATTTGCTTCTACGACAATTACATATTCGATGAACATAACAATCGAGCTCGTGTATTTTTATAAACGAAAAGAAACTGCATTTTCGACGCAAACGGTCCAAGGGTTTCACATCACAGAATGGCAAATCAAAGAAATTTTACACTGGGATCGTCGAACTCGTCAAGCTTTCGATGAGTTTAAAAGTTCTAATGTGCGTATGAAGTACAAAGCGTGGGAGTTATTTCGATGCCTTCGAAGAGTGGAAGATAGTTTTACACTCGTCGTAGCTTCAATCTTCGCAATGTATGAATAACAGAAAACAATTTTTTTTTGTTTTCTTTACAGAGGTACAACTTTGTTGTAAACAATTTGAGCAGAAAGAATATCTCGCATTACAGCTCTTGGACCGTTACAATTTTATAAAAAAAAAAAAAAAATACGAAATCTGTTCGAGCAAAGTCTTTGTATACGTGTACGTATAAAAGAAAAAAATTTTTAGGTAATAACGATAATTAGGGTTACATTTTGATAAGAAAAAAAAATCCCTTTCACTTTCATACAATATTGTTTGCAAAACGATGTTCGCGATGTGTTGTCTCAGTGCGTGACTAGTACATTAAAAAATAAAGAAAATGGATCTGATAAGATTCCAGACGTCTATAAGCAATTCGTGATGGATACAATTTAATGCCGACCTTTCAACCCTTTCGCTATTAACGATAAAACGTGGTTTATTAAAAAAAAATTGTCGACTAACGAATTGAGATATACTGTGCATAATGAGAATGAACCAGCCATTCGTGTTTCGAGTTGAATCGAATCTTTAGTTTATGCTTTCTCTCTTAAATAATAGAATAGATCTAAAACTACACGTTTCTTAATTAAGATTACAATAATTTGCCTCGCTGGACACTGAATTCGAAGACCAATTTTGCCCGCTTATATAAACTCTATCTAGTCTAACTATACTTCTACGTAGCTGTACGTTTAACTATATTTCTATGTAACCGGGGTGAGCCCTAGATTTCAACTTTTTTTTTTAATTAATTAAATACTTCCGTTGCACGATTTAAAAAAATAACAAAATTGCAGCGTCTCATTTTCTGTTCAGTTGACTTGAAGCCTGTCGTTACGAAGCTTCTTTGAAAATTTTGCTCGCGTCAAATGCGTAGAGTAATTTGTCAGTTAAAAATTACGTATTGCGGACACGTTATGTTTTACGTGCCGCATGTAAATGTTTGATACGGGAATAAGATCGAAGAAAAGAAACGTCTGCTTAGCAACTGTTGAAAGTTACCTGTTTGTCGGTGATGCGAAAGGGTCAAACGCCGGATCGACTTCTTCCGCAATCGCAAGCACTCAGTCTCGTTTCGTTGATAAAAAAAAAAAAAAAAAAAAAACAAACAAACAAAGCTCAACGACATTTTTTTCTATATTTTACTAGTACGATTGTGTAAGGATGATTTTACGCGTAAAGCGATGAAACTGATCAATGTACCGAAATCGCAACAGCTGTCTTGCTTTAAAATTTCTTCAGTTTATTGTGGTTTTCAAATATTTTATCCTAATGTAATTTGAACTGATCAATACGTTTAGGAGAAATGTTTAATTCAAACCCCTGTATTTCAAGTCTAAAGACTACAGAATGCGTATCAGTCAGAATATACGGATAATAAAAATATTTTTTAGTTACAGGCAATGAAAAGTATACCGAGGCTACGTTAAACATTTTGCTTTCGCTTCTTCTCCTGTTTTAAATATGTTGGTTTGACGTTAACGATAATTCTCCGTAGAACCAGTACTATTATCGAAAATCACATCTGTTTTATATAAATATACGTATAAAGAAAGAAAAGTACAACCGTGTATATTTTGTATGTTTAAAATATAATATTTCATGGTGCACCGGTCACGAACTGAGCATGTTTCACTCGTTAACATGAAATTTATCGTGACTCGTTCTTTCTTTTACTTCGATCAGAGGTAAACTTCGAATCGTTCGAATCCTTTAAACACTTAATCGTTTTTGTATTTCACTATCATTTTCTGAAGAAGCGTTTGTCTAAATCGACGTAATTTTCTTTGCTTTTTTCATAATCGATTAACATTTCGTACAAGTCAGACGATGTCCACACGAAAAACTTACAAATCTTTTGTACGTAAACGGATGAATGATAAAACACACATATGATGTACCATACTTTAAAACTTCTAAAAAAAAAAAGAAAAAAAAAAAAATTTAAAAGATCTGACGCAAACATTGCAATATTTGTACATTTTATAATAACGTTTTCGATACATTCCTAACTGTCGATGAGGACTCGCAAACTTCACTCCCTGAATCAAAATTTTAACTTTTATAACTTTCTCGTTTCTTCAGTATAAAAACCAAAAAGAATAATAAACAATATTGTTTTTGTTAATTTTAAATCATGTCGCTTCTTCCTCGATGCCAATGGAGGCAAGAAAAGAACATGTTCTCGTCGTATACTACTTAAATATTCTATTTTGAGACTCAACGAATGCGTTGAATATTTAGTACCGTTCAATTGTTAGAAATTTGTACTCCTAAATAGAAGGATGCCACGATGTAAAAGCGTGAAGCAATAAAAATGACCGATCCTTTGCGACTTTTCACTAAGCTGGAGTTTCGACCTTCGATTATTCTATGAAGTACAGTTTGGCATTTCAGTTGCCTTGGTAAACGGCGAATGACAACGCGGAGGAAACAATGTTTCAATTCCCCCTGCTAATCGATGAACAGCATTTTTTTTTGTTTTTTTTTCTTTTTCTTTTCTTTTATAAGAAAAAAAAAAAAACTTGATAACGCTGGTTGTGCATGCTCAGACACCAGTAAAGTAACTTCATTTCCTCCGTTAGTGGAAAAATTCGCTCAAACGAGGGGTCGAACATTGTTACACGTTCTATCGTACCTAAGATTTCCCATTCGCTTGTTCACACTGGGGCCATTTTTCTGTCCTCTACAACTTTAACAAGCCATAGCCGAGGACGAACCGAGCAGAGCTTAATTCGAGTTTAGTACATTCCCGATAGGCAAGCACATAGCCATATATATCGGTAAATATAACCTTAACAAACTACCTTAACAACAGCTCCATGAACTTCTCTCGCACGAACTGAAGGTGTGCCTCTGCCGTCTTCGCTTTCTAGCGTTTTCGTTCCGTTTCTTTCCTAATGCTCCTCAACGTCACGGCTGACATTCGTTTGTATATACAGAGAGAGAAATAATTAGAGAGAGAGACATACCGTGTATCGTGCTCGTTCTCTTACACTCCAGTACATTATATGTACTCCTGTATGCGTGGTCTTATTTCAAACGAGACGTTCTCTTTGCTAGAACAAGTATCCTATTCCAAGGAAAGCGACGCACTTATCCATTTTGGCAATCGAGCAAGTGCCTCTGGGTGCACTTACCCTTCCCTTTACGAGCCTCATCACTTTTGGGAAATCGACGTGCTCTCGGTCTTGATCACGACCGACTTTGTCTGCTCGGATTTACCGCTGATCGGCAACAACCGATCCCTGGCAGTGTTCAGTAACTTACTCGCCTCCAGGGGCCTCGCGAACGAGCCGGAATTGTGTCTGCTACGCGGTTGCTGTTTACTGAGATCTCGCTGACTGCTCGACGAACAGGAGGCACCGTCGTTTCGTCTTCTGGAATGGGCCAATCGCCCGGACCCGAACGAGCCGGCTCTGTTTCGAAACTGGGAAAGATTCACGAAGTCCACGCGAGATTTCTGAACGACAGAACTGTTTTCGGAACTGGAGGTGGGCAGTGTCACGGTGCTGGAACCGCCGGACAACCGGCGAACTCTACTCGTTGGCGAAGCATTACCGCCGCCTGCGCTCTCGGAGACGCTCCTGTTGCGTCTCTTCGAGGCCTGAGATCGTGAATTCACAGCAAACCCTTGGAGCATTTCGTTTATTTGGGGCTGTAACATATAACCATTAATCAGGCTCCGCAACAACTATGCGATACAGTCCGAGAGTTGTATGTGTAAAGTACTTACTTCGACGACCCTGAAATCTTCGATGCTCTTGAACTTGCATAAATATTCCTGTAACTTAGAGTCCACTTGAAGTTGATCGGCCTGTTTGTAATACTTTAAGAACGCCCAGAATTTTTCTAGCCCATACAACTGACCTGGAATGTGAAATAAAACCCTGTGCAACGCATTCAAAGTATTGAACCGTCTACTAATTGATTTTAATTAACACGTTCACTGCCCGATCAAAACCGTAGAACATTTTGCAAAAGTAAAATTTTGATTTTAGACCATTGTAAACTATATAACCTTCTGCTCGAAAGTCTGGCTCGTGATATTCAGGTTTGGGTCACAATCTTAACCCTTTGCACTCGGGGCCTTTTTCACGCGATTGACGCATTTCTTACCAGTAGCTTAAAATCATTACACACACAAATTAATGTATAAAATTTTAACATTTTATATATCTTTACACCTTTATAAACATAATTTCTTAAATATTAGTCTCTGTAATTTTTCTGTGTATGATATTTCATGTAACAATTCCCAAGATGCATGCCCGGCTTGTCGGGGCAAGTATTACAATAATATATCGTTAGAATATTGTGTAGCTTTCCATTCAAGCGGATATTTTCGGAGTCGGATGTTGAAGTCGAGGCTCGATCGCGTGGCTGGCGAAAATCTCCAGTCAATTGGTGGACTAATGTTTTCAAATATTGCAAGTGATTAAGCGGCTGTTCGCTTTTCTGCTGTTTAGTGGCTTTATATAAAATATATGAATTTATTGAACAAATTTCTAAACCCCAAAGAAACAGTTTACGCCACCATTCTATACAAAATTATATAGAAAGAGCGTAGGAACCCGCGTCGAAGAAACTGAACGTAAACACTTACTGCCGCGTATCGAGTTACCGCAGCAAACCAAGTGGTGAGCGAGAGTCACCTCTCGAGTTGCAGCATCAAACCACATGGTGAGTGAGACTCACCTCTCGAGTGCAAAGGGTTAATTACGTGTCGGACTCGTTTAAGTACGGTAAGGGGTTAACTTGAGAATTAATTTTTCTAATATCATAGTGGTAAATCCTGTCACTCATATATGGGTGTCGTGGCAGTCAAAGTGTTAAAAAGGTCTGTTGCTATACTGAATATTATAACGAGGCCAATAGACATCGCGGCATCAATATTAAGTTTCTTTTACTTTAGCACATTTTCACCGTTTAGCAATCAATGGTGGTCGTAACTAAACAACCTATAATGTGCGTAAAGTTTTATCTTATTTGCAGAAATTTACTCACCGCTCTCGTAATCTTGTACCGTCTCGACTTGGAAATCTTTATAAAGGTGATGCCTGAACCTCTTCTCCAAACCGTAACTATAAAATCTAAAAAGGCATTCCAGACCGTATCGGTAGCCTTCGCAGGCGTCTTCTTTGGCTATAGTCCTAAATTCCTCGTACATGGTACGATTGAAATTCTCCCGTAAGAAGAACGACCAGAAACGAAAGAGCGTGTTCATTTCTTGAGATTGGCCGATTCCGAGTCTCTTACGTTCTGAAACAAAACAGACGTATCTGAGACTCCTATACCTTCGAACTGGTCGTAATTTTGTTAAAATCGGGAAATTCTCAGATCCTTTTTTCTCATCACAATTATTCCTCAGTCGGGAAAAGAAGACAAAAATAGTGGAGTTCATCATTATAATGTTACATTCGTTGCTCGGTACATGCGATATATACAATATATAGACATTTGTATTTACCTTTTAAGCAACGCGAATGGTACTTGTGGTAGACTTGTTGAGTGAAACCATTCTCCTTCAAAAGAGCGTGACTCGGATGCTGGAAAGTGGGCACAGATTGCGGTGCACTTCCGTAACTACTAGCGAGATAACCTTCGTTTGGACTCGTTCCTGCACTACTTCTGTAACACGAGACGAAATATTTTGAACTGTTCTCTTAGATGACTCCTTTATAATTGTTCGAACATCGATTAGTGTAAACTTACCCTGTAGAATATGTACGCGGTCGGTGCTCTCGAACATCCATGATCCAACCGACGTGATGTTCAACAGGCGGGTTATTACTATGACGAGTTTTCCTTTTCCGCGGTGTTCTAGGATCGACCGACGGCTCGTCCTTCACTACAGCAAAGAAACGAGGAACTACTCCTCTTCTGCCGCTTCTACTACGTCTCCGCCGATTTTTATCCGCTCTACGATCCCTCTTTTCTTGACTATCGCTAACTATTGACATCTAATTTAAAAAAAAAATATATTAACATTACAAATTTAATTTTATGCGTCGCCCAAAAAAAAAAATTTATCAAAAGAGAAATAACGTACCTGCGTTGGAAGAGATTCCGAGACATCCACGTCTTCTATTGTAGACGGAGGTGGAGGAGGAACTTCCGGATTAGCTTTTTTAGGTGCTCTCGGTGCCATTTTTTCAAAATCTTCTTGACTAATCACGTTAATAGTTTTGTAACTTCCGATCGATGAAGCGGACCCGTACTATAAAATAATAAGACATAAAATATAAAATTCTGACAAATTATTTGGGCTCGATGATATTATCAAACGAATATTCAACTTACTCTTTGACCGTCTTTCACCCACAAATCTTCCTCGTAATAATACAATCCATCGTTGATAGCTTGTTCAAGATCTTGAGTCATTTTCACTCTGGTTGTCCAGTCGCCGGTTCGATCATGACCTTCGTGTTTTGGAATTCGTGTCGTCGATATAGGCACCGTGGTTTGTGTGAAAATTAAAAGTTTATTTAAATCCTTGTCTGATAATTCGTAATCTTCTTCGTCTTCGGACCTAGATAATTTATTGCTTGTCAATTCTTAGATACGTTAATAACAGATGTTGGAAAAATAGCAACAAACCATTCGGAAAAAGCATTGTGTCGCCCGGTTGGAGGTGGTGAATCAAGCTCCTCGTCAAATTGAAAGTCTAACTCTTCTCTCTCTTCGCTTTTAACGTTATCTACTTTCTCTTTTTCTTCATTCTTCTCCTTATGCGACGGTTTCACTCTTCGTCTCACCTATTGTATTTTCATGAACTCGATTATTACCTAACGTTCCTAGTAATAACTTTCCAAGTTAACTAACATCCTACGAAAACAAATTACCTCTTTCCAAACGTTATCGCTCGGCAATGGTGACTCATCATTGATTTGTACTTCTATTACTTGACTTGGACTAGAACACTTGGCCGTCGCGGATGTATTATCGGCCGTCTTCGAAGACGCATTATTGCAGAGTGATGTCAAATTGTTACTATTACTCGATGATGTTGAAATGTTTTTCACGCTATCCGATTGTTTCTCGTTTATCGTTTGGCCCGTTCTACTATCAGGTACAACAGGTTTGTTACTTTTGCTCGTCAATTCGTTCGGTACGAACTCCTGTACGTCAGGATTTAAACTGTCGCCTAACGACGAAGATATACTTTCCGATTCACTGACTCTTCCTACCGTCGAGAAAATGTGATTGGATTGAAGAACGCGTGGAACTGGGGGAATAGGAATCGTTGATAAGGATCTCGCAAAGGGGCAAAAATCGGATTTGGACGTGGAGAGTATTACTTCATTTTGTGACGGATACGAAGTATCGGACGACTCCGAGAAGATAGAATTTCCAGCTGCGTCCGAGATGAGCCACTTCAAAGGGTCTGTTTTCGTTCTAACCTGATATATAAAATAACAATATTTATTGTGACAAACCGCGAATACGGAAGACTTAAACACTAAATATCATAAGCTTCGCATTAACGTGCCAGTAAATTTGACATTTTGTTCGATAAAATTTCAACTGTGAGGAGGTCTACTTTCAAACGCCATTAATCGGGCTTAAAGCCCTAATGGTGTCAGCGAATCCTCTTCCATTTGCTCTGGCACAAATTTTTAATCCAATACATATGCGAGATGTACGTGGAATTAGTTTCCAATTTGTGCTACATTAAAATGTTCGAAATAATATCGTTGTACCTTAAATCCATCCACTAGTTCCAGTTTGTCAGATTCCATAATTGCTTCGATAACAAGAGCCACGTCTGTCGTCAAAATTTGTACACGATGGAAGGAAGCAATTAAGGTAATGGGTAAAAAACCTTGTGCGTCCATTTTGCGACGCAAGAAAAAATCTCGTAAAAGATTTTCCTCGCTGAAGTAATACTCTCTGTAAAGTTACAAATCGCATAGTAAACGAACAACGTTCAACTTTTACTTCCGACTGCTCTTTATTGAACAAATGTCGAACTCACATCTGTTTCCTTATATAGTCCTTGAGGGTCGTTGTGTCTACGTTGTTAATGTAATTTGTGTTATTGAAATAAAATGTTCCCATATAAGGTATCATATAAGCGGGGTCCAGATGCCCATATTTATGCATCTGTAAAAATGTACCACTTTGAAGTACGAATTTCATGGACGAATACTTATTTTCTCAAAATGTTCGATATATCAGTTCTACTTTCGTTTTGTCGTCAGGGGATGCTCTGAGAGATTCCCATAAAATTGTCATCATTGCAATATTATGATCAATATTAGCTACTGTCGACGCTTATAAAATTTATAAAATAATAATGCAACAAAATTTCTTAAGTAATGTTAATCTATAATAAAGGTAATATGAAATATAAAATCACCTGCATATAGTCTATTGGGTAATTCGAATAGTCTTGATCATGCCTGTACCTAAAGCTACCACGATACGCGCCCCGGCCACCTCGTCCTCCTCTCCCCCTAAAACTCCGTCCACCACGCCCACCTCTTGTACTATATCCTGTCCTATCATGCTCCCTATCTCTGTACGAATCTGTTTTCGCTAAAATCCAGAAATTCCAGATTAATGATCAACAAATGTTCAATGTTCCTACATTTAGAAGGACGATACTTACGAAGAGTATGTAACAATAATTAAATATTACATACCTTCGTTGTTCTTTTCCCTTTGGTTGTGATACTTTGGAGAACGTTCCCTATTACTTCGGTTCTTCGTTATGTCAATTTCCAACGGTACCCATTTTTGTTTGCTTACTGTAAAGTGAAAAAGAAACTGTTAACTATCGATTATTATCATAAACAGAAGGGATACCTTCTCGATACTTTATCCAGAATATACTGACGATTACCTTTCTTTTTCTTTTCACTGCCATCCGTGTGATCGTCGCTATCATCTTGGCAGTGATTCTGTTCCTTGTTCTCCTTTCCCCTGTTCTCTATAGTTCCGCTATTTTCTTTAGCGTTACTTTGTTCAACACCGTTTTGCTTCTGTGTTGTCACAGCTGTCTTCTTCTAACAGAAAATACCCTATTTGTCAGCACATTTAAACAATCTTCGCATTACGCGTTATTGTACGATACAATTTTAGAGAAAACGCAAACGATTGTACGAACACAACGATACTGCACGAACCAATGGTCAAGTCCGTAACACGATCGCATTCGATATTACTTTAGCAAAGCTTCTACGCTCGCAGGTACGTGAGAATACTTAACGAGTTCTAGCTTTTGCATTGGTCATTCTTTTTCGCTAATTCTTTCTAAGAAAAACGATTAATAAATTAAACTCACCTCTCCTTGAGCACCCAAGGTTGGCCAATCGCCGATGTTCGAGAAATCGCTCGCCTATTAAACGTACGAATTAAATTTTAATTATATTCTACAATACGGAACGAAGAAAGTCACATTTCATGTAATTTACATATATAAAAAGTACAAAAAATTTTAATAAAGGGGGTAAAAATGATTCCTCGTGCGAATAGATTTTATAAATAAACTATGCACAGACGAAACGTTGCAAAAAGCAAAGAAAATGCTTCTGAAATTGCGTCTAAACGCGTATATACAGTATTCCGCGCTTTTCCACTCGCAACCGAGTAGAGAACTTCATTGCATTGTTATTGTCATCGTGCAATTCGAATCATCACGCACCTTTTGATTAAATTTTCTTCTATCGTTTGTAGCTGTGATTATAGTTGGATGATTTCCGGCGTTGATACCGTTTTCTGTAACAAACAATGAAATATTCGGTCGACACGATGTTCGTACAATTCGACGTCCATTTTTTTTTTTTTATGTATTCTTATCGTGTCGTTTTTAACCCGTTCAAAACTTACGACCTCGATTATCTTCGTGCAGCACAGACATGCATATATTTCGTGAATATTTTTATCTATAACTGTGCGTCACAGGGAAATAACGTGAGAATTTTCAACAAAAAATGTTAACATTGTTTTACCGACTTCTATTATTACGATTCCGTCTAATACTTTCGCGCGCGCAGAAGCGTATATAAAGCAGAACTATTTGCTCGAGCATTTAAAATTCAAATCGTGTAAAAGAAACTATTCCCGTCGTATCGAACGCCCTCGATTTGTTTCGTCTGTACCTTAAACGTTTCGTATATTGGGACCTCTATCTTATAGGAAACTTTAAAAAAATTAGATCTATAAATTTCGAAGAAAATTTGCGGTCGAACGGTTCCGTGTACGTTTCACGAACTTTTCCACGAATCCACTCGACGTTAACCGTCGATTTTCTTATTTTCTATAAATAAGCAATGCAACCTCGGTTAGAAGCGAACAGCTCCACTCTAACCGCAGCACGTTACGCAAGTGATACAGCCGTAGATTTGCTCGTTGACCCCTTTTCATTCGAGTCAATCTTTCGTTCGCTTCAAAAACACAAATCACCGCGAAAGCGAAAGTAACCTGCCACTGTGCGCCACTCCTCGTGTTACAATCTCGATATTTTCAGAGACTGACAACATAATGCAGAGAAGAGTCCTGCGATTGACGCGATGCAAACGAAATAAACTTCGAATGCATCTGTCCACGCGTCTTGCGCAACGTTTGTCGAACAACCACCAGGAGCCACTCTAATAGCTCGACACTCGACACTCGAGAAATCTACGAAGAAACTTCTTGACGATCGATTGTTCGAGCGAATTACTTCTCAATTATCTAATGAAAATAAAGTTAAATTACAAATTCGTCGAGTCGGAACTCACAGTTTGCTGTCCGCGCGAGCTATCTTAGAGTCAATATCTCTCGTCGTTGGAGTTACCTCGACTTTGTCTCGTTGCCAAGTTAGGTCGTGGGCCGGTCTACGCCGGAATACTAATGAAACGTTGGCCTGAACGCGCGTTGTCAACAACCGCGAGCAAACAATAAACTATATTTCGTTAGATCTGGGTTAGACCAAATGTTGAAGACAATCGGCGAAAGGAGTCACTGGGACACCAGAGACAATTACACCTCTCTGATACCTTTTTTAATTTATTTATACCTTTAGTAATTTATTTTATTTAATTCAGTATCGGTATCAGAAAATTTCGGTTTCGAAACCGGGCACGGTTTTTAGGTAGAAAAGTAAAAAGTACAAAGATCGGGGAACTCACGTTGAACGGGTTCGTTTTTATTTTTGTTGATCTTCATCGTCTGTATTGTACACGACTATCTTCACCTGCAAAACATAACCGTCTCTTCGGACATTCTCGAGTCTTCTAACTGGACATCGTTTCGCTTCCACGAAGGAGGGTACTCATAAGTTTTACATAACGTTTATGTAAACGTGAACACGCGTAATCCGATAGGTCCCGAGAACGGTATGCTACGAGGAACTTGACAAAAGTACCGCGTTCGACGAACGCGGTAAAATCGCGCGCGCACTTTAGCACTCGACCGACCGACCGACCAACCAGTCACTTTATCGTGGAACCTTCGACGCAGCGTAACAGGTGTCCGTAAACTTTTTTTCCTTTGTTTATCCGGGACGATTTCGCCGTTCGAAACAAGAAAAGTAATGTAAATAAAAAAGATAGATCTAATATACGTACGATACAGCGAACAACTTAAAAAGCACGAATAATATCGTAAAATAACGCCTCAAGTATTTAGTATCGAAAAGATAACGTAAAACGTTTCACTGTCCTTGCAGACGCGTACAAACACCGACTAGAAGTCGTTTATACTTGTTACCGCCATATGCTATAAACTTTTGCGTACCTTTCGCCGAAGGCAGTGGCTAGAAATTATAAATAAAACATAAATACGTTTCAGTGGCGACGTTATTCCCTGGCGAAACTAACGTACAACGAAATTCCCCTATTACTCGTGCCACGATGCATCGTTGTTTTCTATCGTCGATGTTTTCGAAATTCTGCGCAACAACGCGCAACTGAACGTTCTTTCGACGAATTTCTTGGCACTTTTCCGCCAGTGGACACTACGGAAGAGTCTTTTCCCCGTCGAACGATGACGACGACGAAAAGCTCTGCCCGCTTGATCGGCACGATCACAGCTCGAGAGTCAACGGTGCACTGAGCTACACCAGGCTAAAACGGAGAATCGATGAAGGACTTGCAGCGGCCAAACACGCTCGCAGCTGCTTTGCTAGCCTTTGACGCGCAAGCAACATTAAATTCAGCTTTCGTCTCCTTCTTAACCGGGACCCTCTTTCTCGTCGTTTTGGGAATGTCCGTTACTAGCCAGATAGCGATGGAGATAATTTACTCGTAATCAAGCAATAATACTCAACTGTGCAAAATTATAAAACACGTGTCTTTAGAAACCAAATGAACGTTACCGCCCTACGTTACCCTACTGGCCGAAGAAAGAAAACAAAACGATACCAATTATAATTCTTGTGCAAACACCGTTATTAAAGTTAAATACGTAAACTCTTCGTTCCGATAAACATTATGTAAAAACACGACACGCAATACTCGAAGCAGTACTTAATATTAAACGATAACGCATAATTCGTTTTATCGACGACTTTGCGATACACGCGAGAAATCAATGCCTCGTACGAGTATAGTAACCAAGCAGAAAAGTTTGGTGGCAACCGATTTGTCTCGGTATATTACATCGATAACTAGGCGGAATAATGGTGGATGAACACGTACGTACACCTAATAGTATCTGATTGAAACGGATCATCTGTATGCCATACACTTAAGGATTAGCATGTTCTTAGATTCATGGTCATTCCACGTGCAACTTTCTCAAACATATAACAATTTACCGTTATTAAACGTTCGAATCTAAGTTTCGCAATACCTGAACGCGAATATCGAAACTCATCGTGCTCATCGATATTCGGTTATCTACTTCATATATTTTATCGTATTTATGGCGGTCTCGAAAGGAAAAGGAACTGATCTTGACACTTCGCGTCGTTTTTGTTGTTCCTACTCTCGTTCGAAATACGCATATACGGTTGAAAAGCATTCATTGGCCTTTACGATTGTACTTTTATCGAGGGTAGAAGGTCTGGCGGCTTGAAACAGGTTTCCTCTCACCACACTCACTTTCTGCGACACATTTCAATGTGTATCGAACGCTGAAAATAAGTCTATCGATACCTACAACGTTTTCCTGCGCTACTATCATTCGTTAACCTATCTCTGGGCACGAATTTAAGTTACGTTTAGTCACAGACTACACAAAGTGTTGGGCCACGACTGGGAAAAATTTTAATGGGAGATTCTAGAGGCCAAAATAAGACGAAAATCAAGAATATCAATTTCTCGACTGAGGCTTCATTAAAAAGTAATAAAAAAATTAAATTAGAAAATTTCAGATCATTCTGAAAAAATTATTTTTGGTTGCAGAGGACAATTACAATCATTTTTTGTGAATGCACATAAACCCGAAATTCTACGCATTTTCGACAAAAAAATTCGAGCTCAGACAAATTTTTCGACAAAATTAAAAAATTTCAAATAGTTCTGGAAAAATTATTTTTGGTTGCGGGGCTCAATTACAATCATTTTTGGTGAATACACATACCCCTGAAATCCTACTCAATTTCAAGAAAAAAATTCGAGTAGGTACTGAAATTTTTAGACGAAATTAAAAAACTTCAATTAATACTAAAAAAAATTATTTTTACTTGCGGGGGTCGATTACAATCATTTTTGGTGAATAGACATACCCCCGAAATCTTACACACTTTCGAGAAAAAAATTCCTTACCGAAAATCTAATTTGAAGTCAGAAATGCTTCCCTGAAATTTCATGCGAATCTTTAAAATGTCATAACTCCTGTACGGATTGGAGGATTTTAATTTTTCAAAATGCAAACAACGCGTATTTTAGTGGAGAATATGTAGCAATTCTAACAATATTGAAATAGTTATTTCTTGACACCGTAAAGTGAGATAAACCTCCTAAAACTAGTCCAATTTTCAAACGACCATAACTCCTACAATAGTGAACGTATCTCATTGAGATTTAGTAGGGAAGTAGAGCTCATGGATACCTACAAAAAAGTATGAAACAACTTTTCTGTACAGCGTCAACCAAATTTATTAAAAATGAAAAACAAATGTTTAAGAGAAATCGACAAGAATTTTTCAGCGAAAAAAAAATTTCAAATCATTCTGAAAAAATTATTTTTGGTTGCGGGGGTCAATTAAAATCATTTTTCGTGAATAGACACACCCCCGAAATCCTACCCATTTTCTAGAAAAAAATTCGAGGATGGGTGAAATTTTTCGTCAGAATTAAAAAATTTCAAATATTTCTGGAAAAAATTATTTTCGATCGCGGGGGTCAATTACAATCGTTTTTGGTGAATAGACGTACCCCCGAAATCCTGCGTATTTTCGAGAAAAAAATTTAGTATGGGCGGAACTTTAAACGTTAATAACTTTTTAACAAAATCTGGAACAACAAATTGGTATTCTTGATTTTCGTCTTATTTTGGCCTCTAGAATCTCCCATTAAAATTTTTCCCAGAGGTGGCCGAACGCCCTGTATAATTCGCGAATGATACTGATCTATCGCTTCGAGATTACTGTTGCTTTTCTACGATCGAAAATTTTACTTTTCCATACAACCAATGCACACGCGATCGTGTTAGCTGTTCGTCGATTAGATGCCAGTGAAATTCGAGAGTGAATGTTTAGGTTACAGCGAAGAACGTAATGCAGTTACGAGGCTCTGTAATTGCATCATGTGCTGTGACCCAGTGTCGACCGCTTAGAAAGAGTGTCAATGTCGTTGCCCTCGACGTTTTTCTGTTAATAGAATGATCGGGGAATAAGGGAAAGTAAACGATTAAATCTGGATCAATACAATTTCCAGAGAGAAAATAAATAAATTCAACGTATAGGGTCAGGTCTGTAGATATCAATTCGAAGCTACGCTTCGTTCTAGTTTCTGCAATCACCCTGTATAATGCAATGCTATAAGGTTTTAACTTTGTCAATCCATGTATAATTAAGTCGATAATAACTCAAAGTATCGTTGTAACTCTAAATCTGTATTGAAAAAACAATCATTAATTCACATTGTATCGCATTATTGATAATTGATAAAGCAATCTAGTTCACGTCCTTATAGCTCAAACATGGCTGAATTGATATCAGAGCACGTAATCGAAAATTTTACATATCGAGTTGTCGAAAATCGATAATGATCGTTTCACCATTTTGTTAGACATGGCTCAAATAATATCGAAACATATGTTAGGCGGTTAAATGTTGGTCGTGCAAATGAGGAAATACTATATGTGACGTGTTAAGACTCGATGGCCAGCATGGTTACTTTTTTCTTTGCCACGTGTGTCGAAAACTCGTTGGCAATGAATAAATAAGATGATCGAATTGGACCGTACAAAATTCCATATATTATCGTCGTAATGATCAAACACCTAAACTACAGACACGTTCAACGTCTACTCACGTTCTGTCCAACAATGGCACTTTCTTTTTTCGATACTATAATAACTGAATATATTTCCCGAAATATTTATATCGCACGAAACAAGGAATATACTTCGCTCGAACTTTTTAATAAATTAATTTTAAAATATCTCTAACATAAAAGTTGAACACACCATTACGTAATACCGACAGACAAAAAGATAAAGCCAACTTTCGAAACTGATATAGAATCGCCCATCGTATAATGTACAAAATACATTACGAGTAAAAGTAAATTATTTTTTTTTTATCGCAAAATGTCTCTTGATAATTCGATAGACACTTTAGTCGAGAATCTTTACCAAAACGATGGAATTTATATACGATAAAGAAATTATTGTGTAATTTCTATCAAGTTACTACAGAACCTTTAACTCTCTCCCCTCTAGCCTGTAAATACTTAGCTGGTATCAGCAGTACCTTTGAAGAAGTAGAAATATATGTAGTTCCATATTCTCGAACTTGATAAGAGCCTCTTTCATCACATGTACAAAGTACAAGGTCATTTTCATATACAAACCACGAAGGAGCGTTTAAAATGCTAAAAACCCTTGTGTTAGTTTTGTATTTGTGCGTTCGATGTAACTACGCGAAGCCATTAACATTTGCTATCCATATTTATCATACTTTTCGAAAACATACAATTACCTTACATTATGAACATACTTTAAAGATTACAACCATTTGTTGCACATATTATTCAATCTATACCTGAAATTTCGTTTTATACTTTACTTCCGATTAAATAAAGAAATCAAACATTATGAATATGTTTTGAATAAATATTCAATATTTACCGTACAAATAAATTTTATCAACAGCAAACTTAACGGTTGACAATTTATATAACCGTTATTTATTATTTGTAATTTTTATAAATTCTTCAAATATTCTAAAAAGTTTAAATATCTTGAACCAAAATACTTTTCTATTAGAAAACATAATATATATCTTTATAAATTAAACATCATACTTCGATGGAACAATATTACAACAATATGTTTAGTTCAAATCCTATAACTATTAATATTTCTAATTGAAAAAAATAGAATTTGAAAAGCTTAGTATGTGATAACAAAGTAAATTCCATCGAGTACATATCGATACTCACCAACAATTTCTTGTTGTTGTTGTTGTGGTTGAAGTACTCTCTTCTCCTTTTCACTCTGCTTCTCAGCAGTCATTAAACTTCCAGAAGGCATGGCAGTAACAGAATTCAAAGGCACCGCTTGAATTGTAGCTTTACTTTTGGTCCAAGGATTAACTGTAGGTAAAGGAGCCTCCACATATTTAATCGGTTGCGAAGGCTGAGCATCTGATTCTGCTTCGGATTCCTCTTTATCTTTTGAAGCCTCTTTACTTCCTACAACGTAATCCAAGCCGCTTCTATCTCCACGATCGCGTTCCTTGTGAGATCTTTCGTTACTTTCGCTATGACCACGAAGCGGATGTCTGTAATCTCTATGTCTATGTCGTTCTCTGTGTTCTCGATGTTGTTCTCGCAATTTTTCCTTCCTCCTAGCACTCTTTGGCGCTACTGTCTGAAATTCTCCGTTGCTTCCAATGTCGCCATTCGTCTGCTCTGTCTCAGGAATGGCTTGTTGCTGTCGCTTGACTGGCACCTCCTTCTGAACAATCAACCGACTCTGTTCGACCGAAGGTGTTGATTCATTTTCATAAGGCTTATCCAATTTGATGTGTGGATTGAATCTCCTGCCGCTTCTCTGATAAAATTTTCCCTTGGTGGTTAGATTTTGAGAAGACACGTAATCCTTGACAAGTGCTATTTGCTGGACCACCTGACCGCCAATGTTCTCCTTATTGTTACCCTTAGTATTAGAAGGTCGGTTCTCGTTTCTACTCTTAGAGTTCAAAATACTTGCATAAGAGACTCCAGGGCCCTCCTCTCTTTCGGTACTTCCCTGAGCGCCGGTGGCCACCTTGGCCGCCATCTTGAACGATACGCGCCGAAAGACAAAAACACGAGGTCCCGGAACACGAGGGATCTAACTTGAATATTTTTACAGGACGTTGCTCCCTCTCAGGCAATCCAGGAGTCCTGAGAAACGTCAAACACTTTGGGGCACATTAATTCACCCGAGCAGCCTCGTCACGAGATCGAAGAATTCGAAACGATTCGTTCGTCGATGCGGCTTTAAAGCACCAATCTCGGAGCATCCTCCACGCCGTGGACCGAACGCATGTCTGCTCGAAGTCCGTGCAGTATCGCACGAACGAGTTTAATTTTTCACAGAAAGTCCGTGATATATGCGTCGAATCACGGGCGTCGGTCCTTCTGCCAGTACAAGAGAACGCCCACTCGAGAGACTCGTCACGAGGGATCGCTCTTTCCAGAAGGCGCACCGTGCACGCACGCGGTCGTTACCAAATAATGTCCGAAATATGTTTCTTCTTATTGCTCACGTATCAAAATTCTCTCGATAATTCGACAGACAAAACGAGAAAGTCAAAGTAATGAGGAGCGGTGTTCGATGATTCGATCGAACACATTCGACAAAATTAAAACACGACGTACACGAGGCGCGTTCTCCGAGTTGCGTGGTTAAGAATATGCTGACTCGGCGATTTCACGAAACGAGCGAGAATCAACCGGCACGAGTTATTAAACGACGACGATTCGTTTTACTTGTTCGTGGACGAAAGTTTGGCGATATAAAATACGCAAGTGAAGAACGTATGTATTCCAAGTACAATAAAGGGAGCTAGCAGACAATCAGAGTACACCTCGTTGGCACGGATAATTTTTCTTTGTCGCGGATATCCCATAGAATTCGTCAGTTTTCCTTCGGATTTGCTTTCAACACAGGCCCAGAAATTTTGTCACAATCGTAGCGAGTTTAAAAGCACCGTTTTCAACGTCACTTTACCACGGATTACGTAAACACGGCATTTTCGGCGATCTTTTTCCACGGAAAAGCGGTCCGCAAAACACATGTGGCCAACGCTGGCTCCTGGCCTTTACGCGAGCGGCTATGAAGCATCCGGTTGGATAGATTGCAACTCCGCTAGGTAGCGCCACTCAGTTTCCTTTTTCCTCAATTCCCGCGCTATTTAACCTCCCATCTAACGAACATTTATTTTTTAAACGTGGGAGAAATACATTAGATAAATTAATAAAATCAGAATTATGAGAAATGTTTAAACATTAATATCTTATTTGTAACAATTATTTGTTATATGTGTATATAATAAACCACGAAAGTACGACGCATATTTTCCGGCAGGAAACAGAGGACTATGTACATGATGTTATTTTATACAACGAATTAAAAATAACAAATGAAACTTACAATAGATAAAGAATATACTTCTATTTTAATACGTACGAAGTACATTTAACTGAAATTTTATTTTTTATTTGTTGAGAACCACTTGTGGACATACTTGTATTAAATACAAAATACATCGATTATCAAAATATTACGTTGTCTACGAACAAAAACGCTATTTTTCAAGACAAACTGTCTATATGTGCATCTTATCACAAATACACCGTGTACGTTATTCAAATTACATTAGTCACAGTGCTGAATGTTATATTCAATTTTGTAAATCGAAGTCTTGCTCGTATTTTGCTTTCATCTCTTTAAAAATAAATGATTCCGATATTACAATCGTTATATAACGAAGCGAAAGTTCATTTCAAAAGAGATAATAAACTTTTTTGCAAAATAAAAATTTGATTGTATTGAAGTTATCCATTATTCACGAATGATATCTACTTCGTTTTATGTCCTATATTTATATACACATTGAATAATATCTACGTTTCAATACTATGATATAAGCAATTTATTGCAATAAATTTTCGTTCATAATAATAAAATTCATTTTATTTTATATTAATTTACACATAATTAAAGAAGAGTAAGATAACCACATAACCACAATTTATTTCTTTTTACAGAATATATTACCATTTACATGTATTTCATAGGCACTTCATATAGTTTTTCTCCTTTTTATGCTATAACAACACTAGAATATTCTGTACACGTTGAACACATAAAGAATCGTATTTGCTTACATTCATAATTATTGTTCTTGTGTTAAATATTTATAAGATTGCAAACGCATGAGCCCTAGAAACTGTAATGTTTCTTCAACAAAGTATTGCCCCGTAAAAATTGTTTAAGACAATTTTGACTTGTCTTAGATTCTCGCTAAAATTACACATGTATCAACTGACTTGTAAAGGATATTTTTTTAAAGATCGCTGAAATGCTTCTGCTATAGTAGATCTGAAAATAATAATTAAACCGATGTCTAATTACGGTTACCGAATATAAGCAGAATGAGACTTATTTACACACCTAAATACTTTCTGGTGAAGAAGATACGCGCTTACATGGCCCGCTTCGATGTATCGAATTTCAACGCCAGGCCAGATTTTTTCTAAGCTCATACAACCGTCACGTGGCACATATGCATCATCCCTCGCGCAAACAGCGATGATAAGTTCGGTATCAACAGGTACTTCAAAATTTTTTAAATGCGTACATTCATCCATTATCCCACACATGAATTGCAATGCTTCTCGTTCGCGCCATTTGTAATCCGAAAATAATGGATGCCTCGTAACTGGTAATAAACAAACGCCTATTGCCAAAGGAATACACATAATAGTCATGCTCGTAATCAATCATGCTTTTGACTTACGTTATACTGCATAATAATTAATAAAAGCAGGTAAAAATTAAATTCGCACAATGCTTATGAACGTACACACTTGCTAGCAAGGACTGATTAATTCAAAATTCATACTTTGTCCTTCTTTCATGATTCGTTGTAATTTCGTTTAAATTGCTTTATTCTATTAATGTAACATATTGTTAAAATAATTTCTACTGGACACAAGTCTGCTAAACAATAAGAATATAGATTATTATTTTAACTAATATTATTTTAACCCTTGTACAGCGTATATGTATAATATCGATTCGATATATCGAATGCATTTCGTCCATACACATTAGTGTTTCTCAAACATTTTTAAATCTTGCCCTAAATCAATACTTTAAAGATTTTTGTGTTGTAAAAAACAACGTTGATTTCTTTACTATATTGGTTATGAAAGTGACGAATGCTGAAATTCTAATTACTCCCTGTGGAGCGTATGTTTTACGTTGGGAAACACTAATTTAGATTGTTAAAGTTTTTTATAGGGGGAAAAAAATATTTCTTAGAAGAATCGACAAAGCAATTACTTGCAGACAACATTGAATAGCATGCAACAAAATTTAAAAATACAAATATAGCACTACATAAATATACAGTAAATGATTTCGAAGTTGTTAACAGACCAATAAACAGAGAAAAACAAATGATATCAGAACCACAGCAAAAAATGTTTGAACTGTTTCTACATTGATATCAACGTTAATACTAAATATGGAATAAGGATGTGAAAATTTAACATACCCATTTAGAAAACTCACACTAAAAATGCACATACGTCTATTTTGGATGCCAAATGTACCTAACAAGGAAACAAAAGTGTATGCTTGTACATTTGCGTGCGTGTGTTCATTGTTACACACACATTTATCCACGCAGACAAAAAGTGTATGTGTGCGTGTTAATAATTCTGTTACAAAGTAATATCTCGGTTACATTTAATGATACAAGGAAATACCTAAGAAACGAATTAGTTGTTTCAATGGAATACATACTATAACATTTTTTTCAAGGTCATATTTTATAAAATATTAAAATTCTAACTCATCGATATATTTCTTTAAACAAGACTACGTATTTTTATCATTGTAATACAATAACTGAAGTTAAAGCAAATGCAATCATGTATAATAACATAATCTTCAAATGATCTTAAATACGGAAAATCCAGTATATCCCTCTTAACTATACGCCTTCCGAGGGTTAAAATACTAATTTGCATTTATGAAAGAAAGAGCAAAGAAAATTAATACTCTACAAAAACTAATTGTTGCATTTAAGCTCAGGATGTTAAAATTTAATTAGATACGAATTACGATTATTATAACATTGCATTAATTAAAACCCAATTTCTACCAGCCTCCAAAAATACCTGCCTTTGAGAGCATTTGAATCTTTTAGCTTAAATCTGTTAGAAATGAGGCTTAGAGGAAATATTTTGGCTGCTTCTTTTTCTTCTACAACTTCTTTCTTCAGCTTATTGTCATTGTTTTCAAATTCACATTTCTTATTTGATTTAGTATTTATCACAGTCTGAATAGCAGTTGCAGTGTCTGTTTCTTTATTAACACTTTCTGATTTTTCTTTTAATTCATTCACTCTATTCATGCTTACAGGATAATGTTGAGCAAAATGTTGACCTGCTAAAAACGCATCCTATAAATGAAAGAACGAAGATATCTGTCGTGTAATTAATACTTAAAATTCGTCGTTTTATCAAAAAGTATTGGACACTCACTTCCTCCCCAACAATTTTGACCATTTTGGCGAGATCGTTTTGGTAAAGCTCGTTCGCGAAATATTGGTTTTCTAAAAGTGTCCAATTAATGGAGGCACTCATTACTCCTTGAGTGAATACCGGCGATGCTGTTGACCATGAAAGACAAGGAATTAACGGTATCGGTTTTGGCCAATTAGTTGCTGCCAAAGAAGCCATCTACAAAGTTACAAAAAAAGTTATACATCGCGTGTAATGTCGCTATAACTACTATCAATATTAGACGTTCGATATTAATATAAGATACATACATGACCACCCATTGACAATCCTGTAAGGCCTAAAGGTCCAAAACCTTGCCGCTCGCACCAATTCAGTAAAACAATTGATTCCATTATTAAACATCCTCCCATGATAAAAATATCACATACATTATGCAAACAAGAACGTCTATAAGATATGCACATGTTAATTAAATTACAAAACTACATTGTAAACTTAATATATGTTTACTCTTACAAACCTTTCAAATACAAGTTCTTACATTTGATTTTGTGGCTTTCTTAATCCATAAAATGGATTTTCCAGTAATAAAGATGCAATTCCAGATTCTTTAAGCAGGGGTTTTGCAATCAAATTTCTTCTCCTCCAGAAATACTAAAAAAAACAATCAATTTGTTAATATTTCAATTTATATTCATTGTATATTTATACAATAAAATATTAATCTAACAAAACTAAGATAATGTTATAATAAAAATTGGAATCAAATTAACTTACATGATCTCCTGTACCTGCAAGATGTAAACAAATAGGTTTTGTTTTGTGTGAATACCATTTACGTGGTAGAACCAATTGAAAATGTGCACTTATTGTTTCATTTGGCATTATACCAGGAAGATGCTTGTGAAATGGGCTTTCAAAACATCCTTCTATGATATGGCAATCTGACCATTCTTCATCCTATATATATGCACATATATCTACTTATAAAAATAATTATGTATGCAAATTTTCTAGAAGTTTTAAGACAATTCTAAAAAAAACATTTACATCGTACCTTAGTTATATTGATTGGATAATCACGGGGTATAAGATTATAACATGCTTCTCTATTGGCAATAACTTTTCTAAATTCAAAAATCCTATAAACCACATTTGCTTGTAAACATTTTATTGAAGACAAGTAGAACAAAATATATTATTCTACCATTTATACTACAACAGTTCTAATATTTTAACCATTCAACGTTTTAAATTTACATTAGTTTTTTTTAAATGAATTGTTGCAATTCGCAATCATTTATTAAAAAGGTACCAATCGAATCCTTTAAAATCACATTTACATATTAAAATGAAAGGTGCGAAGGAAATTTTGTAGCGTAATATATGTACAGAATTGAATTATATCACACTGTACGAATTATAGAAAATATTCTTGGCGAAGGAAACGAATGTTCGAATTTGTTTTCTGTAAAGACAAGGTTAGGATGTCTGTACTCACCTTTTTAAGTTCTGAGGGCTACCCCAGCCCTTCGTGAAGAATTTCGTAAGGAGGATGCTTCTGTAAACGGCGTCTAAACGACTAGGTGGCATCGTATAAATGTATAAATTAATCTTAGCCAAAACTAAATATTGCACGATATATATCGATCGAAGAAATTTACGTGAAATTCAATAATATTAATTTCTTCAGATACTTGTTCTCACGACTCGAAATAATTCGGGTGTTCTGCACGAGAACACTCATGTCGCTGTTTCTAAAAGACTAGCAATAATGTGGACATGATCTTGAATGGGTTGCAGACCTTCACCGCTGAAGATAGTTATCGGATACTTTGATCAGGCGATTGGCACAACCGGATCGGATGACGTTCTGCGAGTATATCGCGTATGAAAGTCCATTTCTCGCATCTTCATTCGTGTACGAAAACAATCACAATTTTAATGAATAAGTTCCTTAAATATCAACCGATCGTTTGCGAGAGGATATTACGAGACGGAAGTACGCGCCGCGGTTTTTCAAAATTGATACTCGAATCTCGATGTGACAGATCACCGCTGATCATGAAATTCTATAGATTTTCGTAATTTTCATTTCGAGTCTCATTCTTAATGTCCATGAACAACGATAAGATAGCCTAAAGGCGGTTTTCAAACTTGCCATTAGAGGGCTACGAGAGGTCAGTCGATTACGAAATTTGTTGAAAAAATAAAAATAAAAGGATATTCTCATCTAAAAGTTTTAAAAAATGAATTTTTCCTTTTTTCATTTTCATAAAGTATGTATCTTCGAAAACATGTCTGGTGTTGTTGCAGCTGTTTGAAGAGTACAGCTTGTAGCTCTAATGAACTATCGTATATATTTAAACGCATTTTTCTTGAAACATTTTTTTAACTAACCCAAGAAGTTATATTGTCCGTCAGCCCATTTTTTTACTTTTCAAAATACTGATAAGAGACAAGGATAAGAGAATCGAATTTTATATTATATACAAGGTATATTGAAGCATCTTATAAAGAATAATTTAATTAAGATTAAGAATTGCAGTCACCGTGAGCAAATTCACTGAAGTACGTTGGGACTTGGAATAATAAAATTACGATGATTCTGTACGCCATCTGTAGTGCCGATGTCAGCCACAGATGGTGCAAAGTACATCTTCGTACTTATACATGGTTAATATGCATACATTTATAAACCAATACGAAAGTTACGCGCATGATATTTTGTCAAAGAAAGTTCTGTGTAATTTTGATTAATTTCTGTTAGTATCGGTGAATTTTTATTGTTTTTAAGCAATTATAATTCTTTAATCAAATTATTAGCGAATATATACGCGCATATTCTATCACCGAGCAATCAATAAGAATTATGGTCGCCTCCGTTATCTTTGTCGCATGTTAAATCGTGATTGAGCATTTGTTTGCTGAATGTTTTACAAAGTCTTCTAAACAATGCTTCGTTAAGAACAGCTGGGTTTCGGAAAGAGTGAAAGCAGATTGTATCTCCACGTGGAAGAAAATAAAAAGAAAGAGTATATAGGAATACGATACGTTCCTTCGTTCGTGTTCCTAACCTGCGAAGATAAAAAACAGTGCCAAGCACGTTTTCGTCTCCGCGAATATATACCCGGTGGTACTGACAGAAAAGAAAACACGTTTGACGGTCGAGCCTTGACCGATAATTTATTCTTGTCCTGGGCGACAAAGTGGGCAGAGCAACTGGCATGCTGGGAAAGACGAAAACAATGTCAACGAGGTTACGATATATCCTTGTGTTTATCGAACGTTACGTACTTTGGAAACAAAATAAAGTGAAATAGTGTTTACCATTGTTAGCACAAGTTAGTATATTTACACGCACTAACTTATATTGTACATATAGACTTCGTTTTTTGCTTCGTTAATATCATCTCTATTTTTGTATAATAAACTGTAAATTGTTAGTATACATATTGTTAATGTAAGTACGTTCGTTCCGCCGTCTTCAAGATTTCAGTTGGATACATTTATGTTTGCGTACGAATTAGCCACAGAATGCGTCTGGTTAACACAGAAAAATTAACTGATATTCAGAGCAATCCTGCTAATATTAGAAATATTTGTATATTGGCGCACGTCGATCATGGCAAGACCACCTTGGCTGATTCGCTGGTTGCCAGCAACGGAATCATTTCTAACAAACTTGCTGGCAAACTCCGGTATTTGGATAGTCGTCCGGATGAGCAGATGCGAGGAATTACAATGAAGTCGAGTTCTATCGCTCTTTACCATAAATATAATTGTCAGGAGTTTGCTATTAACATAATAGATTCTCCAGGCCACGTAGACTTTGCCTCTGAAGTTTCGACGGCCGTTAGATTATGCGACGGGGCGATTATCGTCGTCGACGCGGTGGAAGGCGTATGCCCGCAAACACGCAGTGCTCTGTCCATTTCCTACGTAGAAAGTCTGAAACCAATTTTAGTATTAAACAAAATTGATAGATTAATTACGGAAATGAAATTATCGCCGTTAGATGCTTACGTGCATTTAACGCAGGTTCTGGAACAAGTCAATGCTGTAATGGGCGAACTGTTTGCTAGCGACGTAATGGAGCGAGAAGAAAAAGAGGAATTAAAAAAGGAAAGCGTGGAATATGTTACGGAAGAGAATCTAGCAGATTGGCAGACCATACACGAAGACTGGGACGATTCTGGTTTATATTTCTCTCCGGAGCAAGGTAACGTTTTGTTTTCCAGTGCCACGGATGGCTGGGGATTCGGCGTGAAAGACTTTGCCAAAATGTTTTCCGCGAAATTAGGCTTCAGCGAGAAAGTTTTATCGAAAACGCTTTGGGGCGATTTTTATGCAAACACAAAAACGAAAAGGATAATGAAAGGAGCCCAAGAGAAAGCTAAAAAACCATTATTCGTTCAGCTTATATTGGACAACCTTTGGACGTTATACGATACGGTGATCGTACGAAAGGATAAAGAAAAGATAGCTACGATGGTAGAAAGGTTGGATATTAAATTAACAACAAGAGATTTGAGACACACAGACCCTAAGATTCAACTGCAAGCTATTTGTTCCCAGTGGTTGCCTTTGTCCCGTGTTTGTCTCGATACGATATGCGAGAAAGTTCCATCGCCCGATAATTTATCCCCCGAAAAGGTAGAACGTTTGTTATGCGGGAACTTTGATTTCTCTTCATTGCCCGTCGAAACGCAACGGTTAAAGGAAGCGTTCTTAGCTTGCGATTCTTCTCCAGATTCACCCGTTGTTGTATTCGTTTCAAAAATGTTTCCGGTGGAAGAGAAAACGCTACCAGAAAATAAACCGAAGCAGCTGACCGCGGAAGAGCTGGCGCAACGAAAAGAAGTAGCGCGCATGAGACACGCCGAGAAACTGACGAAGGAACTGCGACCGGAAGAAAGATCAGAACGCGACGAAAGCGTGGAAAGATCGGACAACGAGGTGAAATCATCCGAGAACACGGTTAACGAGGCGAACGACGGAAATTCAGAGATCAGTTTAGTAGCGTTCGCTAGAATTTATTCCGGGATTTTAAGAAAAGGGAGCACTGTGTTCGTTCTGGGTCCAAAACACGATCCCCGCGTGGCATTGGAGGATGAGAAGTCGGGCAAGTCACCGGTGGACGAGAATACCACGCTCAAAGACTTGAAACCAGGCAGACACGTGACCAAAGTTACGCTGCAAAGACTGTACCGTCTGATGGGCAGAGAACTAGAATGCACGGACAGAGTGTCGGCGGGTAACGTGTTCGGAATCGGCGATTTAGAGGAGCACGTGTTAAAAACAGCGACTCTATCCACCACGATCGCTTGCCCGTCCTTTTCGGAACTAACGTCGCTGGGTGTGCCTATAATGCGAGTAGCTCTTGAGCCGAAACATCCGAACGATCTGCAGGCGTTGATCAACGGTCTAAAATTGCTTAATCAGGCGGACGCTTGCGCCATCGTTTGTATCCAAGAGAGCGGCGAGATCGTGCTGAGCACCGCCGGAGAAGTGCACCTGGAAAGATGCTTGGAAGATTTGAGACTGAGGTACGCAAAGGTCGAGATAAACGTGTCGGAGCCCATCGTATCGTTCAGAGAGACGGTCGTCCTTCCCCCGAAGGTAGACATGGTGAACGAAGCGATCGAAAAGAAAACCGAGGAAGCGTGTTTCGCCACTTGGACCATGAATCGACAGTGTCATTTCGAGATCGACGTTAGACCCTTGCCGGACAAGGTCACGAAAATTTTAGAGAGTAACTCGGATTTGATAAAGGCATTGTATCATCATTATGGTAAATTAACGTCGGAAATGGAGAGAACAGCGGAAGAGGAGGAGGATGAAACGGATGGGTTGCGTTCGATGTACGAAAGGAAACTGAAAGCATCGGAGTCGTTCAAGTTAGAGCTGGCGGCTGCTTTTCAAGAGGCTGGCCAACGGGAGGACATATTAGATCGAATATGGTCGTTCGGTCCACGGAATTGCGGACCCAATATTCTACTGAACGAAACCGATTATAAACAGAACAAGTTTTGGGAAGCACGCTCCAAGTCTACCGATCCACGTTTTCCGTGAGTATTTAACAATTTGCCGGACCAAGGTTCAACAAGTACTCGGATCCAGGGTTCTATATAACCGTATCTAGTTGCGTTTCGATCCGTGTCACGATACTTTCGCCGAGCAATTTGTTGAGCTTTGAGAATCAAAGAAACGGTCGGGTCAGAAGATTATTCAGAAATGCTAATCGATGCGATTTGATTCTAGCGCGGCTGCGGCCGCGTCCCGTCGTCGCGGGTGCGCGAAAACAAAGGAAATGAAATGATCGTACGTCTAAGAAAGCATGTAATGTTATTTGTGATGTATCAGATACGAAAGCGGTATGGTCAATGGCTTTCAATTGGCAACGCTTGCCGGACCGTTGTGCGAAGAGCCCATGACGGGTGTCTGTTTTGTCCTGAAGAAGTGGCAAGTGCATCACGATCCCCATAGGTACAAATTACTCTCTGTTCACTCGCGTTAATAGATCTTTACTTACTGTTCGAGTCCGTAAAAATATCGAGAAACTAGTACGAATAAAACTTACTTAAAAAAATTTCAGTTATGCTCCTTGCTGTTGTACACTTTTAAGTAGTTCTCTGTTAGCTTCCAAGACAAGACTACCTTCTTCCTTGCTTCTACGATATCTTATTTAAACAATGCATTCTGTCAACAGTGAAAATAGCGGTCAACTTCAAGGTCACGCGGGTGGTCGTTTAATATCAGCGTGCAAGGAAGCTTGTCGACGTGCATTTAACGCCAGACGTCCTCGACTAGTCACGCCGATGTACAGTTGCAGCGTTTTAGTAAATTCGGACGTGCTCGGTAAGTCGGACGTAGAAACGTTTTACACTTATCTGCTCTTTTGGTTACGGTTTCCACAGTTGCTACCTCTTTTATCTTAAAAACGTCTTATCGCGATGCTGATTAATCCGGGGAAAATCAATTTTTCCAAACGCATCTTATACTGCCGATCATTTTTTATTTCCAATCCGTCCAAAGTAGCCGTCTTGTTGGTAAACATTTTTCTCGAAACGCATTCTTCTCGTACGATACACGATGTTCTTGGTTAAAACCCGCGAGAAAAGAAAAAAAACAAATTTCGTAGGTGATTTTTCAGACGTTTTGTACAGCTCGAGCGAGTTCGAGTACCCGCGATTAGAATAAAACGTACGAGATACGAGAGGTTGCTAACGAAGGATGACGAGTGGTTCGCTGGACGACTCGTTGCATAAATTTTCCCCGTCCAGTGTTGATTTTGTTACACCGTGTTGTGCCATCGTTAAAGCGAAACGGCCCCCACGACCGCAGGAATTTCAGCAACCCGATGGCTTTCGCCGCCGTCTTGTGGTCAAGTCTATCAGCGCGACGCTGTTTCTGCCGACAATGCAGTCCGCGCCGTCGAAATAAAATAATAAGACACCGTTGTAATCACCGTAAAATTAAAGGAAGGATCACCCGTAACGGAGAATTCAGTCCTGCGTTCCTCGAACATTTAGCCCCATAAATTTCACGTATTCTACAACACACGATCAAAATTACAGAGTCGAACGAACTTGTACGTAATTTCCAAAATGGCGACTCTATCGCGGACCGGTCCTCTCGGATTTACCCTTCCGCTCGGACTCGATTATACGCGTATACAAGTATTATTATAAATAAGGAGAAGTGAAAGACAAAATGAGTTGCTAAACGAAGGAAAGCCAGAGAAAGCGAAGCGAAATGCTTAATAAATAAACGGATGAATGGCAATAAGCAAATTGCGCGTGAAACGAACAATTTTTGATAATTCGATGTACGTTGAAAATGGAGGCCAATGGATCTAATCCCAAACGGCTACGTTCATCAGTTGTTGGACCTTGTACCACGGAAAGCTCAATCGGTCCTCCGTTCCTTCTTTCTCGTTGCGAATAGAATCTTGGTTGGTTTCTTTGTTTGGATGATCTGTGGACAAACAGGACTCGTTGATCGTACCTAATTTTTGATATATTTATCGCTGTCGCGTGTGTACCCACCGAAAATGCTGCGAGTGTATCTCAATGGTCGACCTCTTCTGTTTCCTTGCACACACATCATCCCGTAAACGCGAATTCCTGGCACGCTGGCGTACGTCGGTTGATCGTGACTCATAGGACCTTCTGGGAAACACGGAAACACAATTACGCGATTACACACTTTCTTTGTTCGCCCCAACAAACGGATCGTTGATATCGCCGCGAAGGTCCGTGGATCGTTTAACCCTTTAATAAATATACGAAAAAAAAAACGTCGTTACTCCGATATTCACTTACCGAGTATATTGGCGTCTGGGCATCGGCATATTACGAGGTAATGAGATTTTCCTGTTCTTACGTTTTGCAACGCGAGGAGAGACCAGTCCCTCGGTGTTCTACACTCTCGCATTTCCGCCACCGGTTCGCAAGTTTTCACCAAAGTGAGAGCCTAAACCGAGCAATATCCGATCGTTAGATTTACATACGCGTAAATCTTGTTATCAGAAGTCGAAAATCGCTGTTATTTAAATAAGAAACTGTTCGAATAGCATTTGTCCTCGGAAGCTACGATTTCTCCCTACTTTTCTGGCAAACATCGAACGCAACGAAAGTTCATTCGGCAACTTGTGGAGAGGCGTATCTTCCAAAGCACGTTGCAACGACCTCCATCGGTGCATTTGTTTAACGGGTATCGTGTTTGTTAAATATCGTTGTTCGGTTTTCTCCGTTGCATCGTAAGTATGTAGGTACTCGAGAGGCGTCGTATATCGTTCGCGATGGAAGGAACACTCGTCTCGTCTCGAGGAGAGAACTCGCTTTCGCTTCAAAGCGCCTACGCGATTCTTTCGTTCTACAATCCTACATAAGCATAATACGTACTTAGCGCGCGGCTAACTTTCTAAGCGCTTCGGTAAATTTCGATGCGCGCCTTAACTGCGTCGCGCTGTATCGATCGCCGCGATAAAGATCATTTCTTTTTCTTTCAAGAATACACGTACACGCGTATCGTAGTAAAGCGTATCAATACTCCGAATTTACCTCTTGGCTACGTAGTCCTGGATAGAACGCAGGATGGCTATCTGTCGTCGATCGGTACGAGCGGAGATCGAATCGCGAGGCCGCGTAATTAGGTGAAAAGTATGCATAGGATTGTTCGTGTGCCATTGGAGCGAAACGATCGACTCGGTTCGTTTGGTCAGCGAAGCAAAAAGAAGCGCGAGCGCGGGAGATGCGGGTAAAGAGAAGAAGCGTCGGTAGTAAAGTAGAAAACAAGTAAAGGCAAGGCGACTAACCTTGGTCCGTGGGTCGGTGACCAGCTCCGTAGTGTGGAGGTCGTCGCTGTCGAGAGAGGCGCTGCAAGGGTCGCGATATCTTCCTGGACAGGCGCACAGAGGCTGAGTAAAATTCAGTCGAACGTAAACGGCATTGCAAACCTGCTGAACTGCGCACTCCGGTAGCAAATAGATGTGTTGATTGTGCGGATAGTAGTGATATTTGGTCGGTTTCGCGAGAGCTGCGCTCGCACCTTCCGGTAGCCGTACACCCGTCTGTAAATTCATCGAGAAAACTGTATCGTTAACGTTCGTTGCACGGCAGTCCTGTTCCTATAATTATAAAATCGTTTGATGGAATTTCAACTCGTTTGACAAACTCCACGACGTTTCGTCCCTGCCTTAAACGTCCGAGTATTAGGTCCTTTATCTTACTTAACGGATTTCACCGCGTCGAATCGTTTCCCAACGAAAGCGTCGAGCGCGCCTCGCAACTTTCGCCCGTGTGTCTTCGTACACGGGATTCGTTCGAAATCATTTTTCCGCGGGACAGTGACGTTTTCAAATTCAGACGCGTTCGAAGAATATACGAGCGCCGAATCGTTTAAAAGAATCATTATTTATGCTGTCTCTAGCTGGCTGGAACAACCACACGATCGTATCGCGTGATTCGCTGGATTTGTTACGCTATTTCCTTTCCGTAAATTACCGTCGCTTCTTCGCCTCGGGCAAATCATATCTCTTCGTTGTGTAGCGGCAATTGACGGGAAGAAACAATGGGATAATACGAGAGGAAGAGATTCGGTCGAAACGCGGATAAAAAGATACGGCGAACAAAAAGGACAAGAAATTCAAACGCGGAATCGCGAACAAGTCGGGGATAAATCAGAATTCGCCGAGTCACGAGGCCACGATCATGATTCTAACCGTTTTCCGCGAACCACAAACTTGAACGTTCCATTACGAATAAGGTGGTATTATTACAGCTACGATTCCCAGTCGATGGCGATTCACGACTTTATTTTATTCCTCGAGTTCCAAGAGTCTTTTCAACTGTATTTGTTTGATTGGTTCTTTCATTCCACTTAATCTCCAATTTAACTTGATATTTTACCTACGTATATCCATTGCTATTACTTTTATTCGTATTCTTCCAATTCTGCTTTGTTTCTTTCGTTCGTAATCATCAAGATTGGTTATAAGCCCGTATCGTTACGCGAACCTGTACGGTACCAACAACGAAATCGTTTACCTCCTTTTACCCTTTTCTTTTCCTCCGACCTGTTCTTCCGTTTTCCTTTCTTTTCCTTTAAATCGTTTCTTTTTCTTTTGGTATCGTCACGTTCCACTACCGATATTAACACCGGTCGATCCGCTCGCGCGTCACGGTCATGAACACTTGCCCTCCTTTTGAAATGCTAAAACAAGCAACCCGATTCGTGACAACTTCCTAAGTAACTCCGAACGATCTTTACTCGGCTCGTTCGAGCGGAACGATTCGAAAAACTCGAGCAGTTCTTTACGATGCAAACGAATTCGAGGGAAAAGGAACTTTTTTTCTTCACGATCAACGACCAACACCGAGGGATGAGAGTCTAGGGCGGCGCATAAAGAAACGAGAAATCAACTACTTGGAATCTACGACGGGGCGATCCATCCCTCGCCTCGACTCGAACGATTATTTCGGTATTGCGGTTCCGAATGCAATCAACGAAAATTGTCGGTTGCGAGTCACGAAACGATCGTCTAGAAATGAAAAATAACAGACCAGCCAATGAATTCGTTTGAAACTTATAAACGATGCGCGGCGTCGGTGATCTGGCCGACGAAGCGAACGAATCAGGGATTGAAAACTGTTATAACTGTTATTGGAATAGCGGTTCTGTTGCACCTAATATCGGTTTCAGTTCCATTTCGGGTGCAGTTGCTCCCACAGATACAACTCGATTCAATTGTATCAACATTAAATTCGTACGACTCTGCTTCGTGTGACTTCGCATCAGATCTTTCTCCAACTTTCTGGCTCCTCAATGTTGCATTTTCACACCACCCTGCACACCAATTTCACATTCTCGTATATCTGGTGTTTCGTTATTGTTGGAATAATACCGGTGTGAAATCCCTGGTTCCAACGTAATTCGAGGTACCGGTATGGCAGCTTTGCTCGTATCATCGAAAGAGAAAGGTCGTGGTAATGGACAAGAAGAAGAATAGTTTCGTTCTGTCGCCAGTCATTCTATTCCGTAACGACCACGACGCATCTTTGACCCGTGAAATTTAACCGCTTTATAGCAGCGTACTTACGGTACTCGCGTTAGCATAGTTGAGCGTAGTTATAGCTTAAACAGTTATATTTTGCGGGTACAAGTTCCTACGCAATATACATATACTGGTGAAACGAACGACTCGTGGAAAATAGGATTAACGGCTAATTCCGGACGAAATTGGTCCGGATTACGATTCACGGTACCAGCGTTTAAGCTTCCAGTCGAACGAGAACGTACAAATTGTATTCGACCGAGAATTAGTACTCGCGAATATATTCGACTCGCTCGATAACCGTTGAATAACCGTATCTCTGGATGAATCTAATCGCGGTAAATTACTTTCGAAATACCTTTGAGATTGCCCTGTCTTTTTCTCTGCCCATATGCAGTTACATGCGCGAGTCTGTTAAAAATAATCTAAATATATTCGCGGTTAATCGCATTTTAATTGGAACTCCATCACTAATCTATTAGTAATACTCTTCCGTCATAAATATTAGCCGAACGATGTCTGTCTTTTATTGGTAAACAAACTCTGACCATTCGCAAACGGATGTTTCATCGCTTCTTTTATTAAAGATCTCGTCGCTCTCTTACCGTTACTGTCTTCGCTCGTTCCGATCGAGGTTTATTTCCTGCAGAACCAGACTCTTCGCACTTTGTTTTACATTTCTCACTGTCGAGAAACTCGACTGCGACGCTCTGCCGATTTTTCGTAAACTTTCATCGCTCTTACGCAGGAAAATAACTTTGTTCCGTAGACATTTTGCTTTTCTTGGCGGTCATACTTTCTCTACCGAGTGTAAATGCAGACTAACTGCGTAAATCGAGAGAAATGAATCATAGAAACAAAGTCTGTTTACATCCGTATCTTCGCAATAATAGAAGAATATCGATATATTTACGTAAAATGTATAGTTTTGTCAGCAACGTAAAGGTTTAACGCTGCAATAGCAAGAGACTGTCCAACGGTATACTGCCTGCCCGTGATCACGATCAACATATCGCGGTTAATTAATTATTAATCGTACCACGTCGAACCTATGCAAATCGAACTGCGCTCAGCCACGATTGTTGAATCAACGTAGCCCAAATATATCGTACCCTTATTAAATACACACGCGAATAGCACAAACATAACGATTAGTTACTTTCTAGGTCGACCCATATGACATTTTTTCTCAAGTTCGTGACACTTGACGGTCCTTGCTGCACGACTCGAATCTGGGCCCCTTTCTACTCTATTGCTCGACGTAGCTGCTTTCCTCTCCTTTCTTCGCGCAACGTTACGGAGAACATTAACAGAAGTTGTACCTGTCGTTCTGTCAATTAATCGTACGACGAGTTTGCAAAATATCGATCATGGTTCGAAAAAGTTGTTTAAGAGATGATGTTTACTTACCTCGCTGAGACTGGTGTAGTTGGTGGTCAGTTTGATCTGAGGGCGAATTTTACCCGGCGATTCACGCGTTTCCTTCGCTAAACCGGAAGCAGGGGTGGTCGTGAATTCGACGAAACCTGTGGTAGATTTTTTCGAGGACGAGAGGAAAATGTCGTTGTCCTGAACGGAGGAGATCGTTCTGGAAGAAGTTTCGGTGGGCGGTGAGCTCGAGGTAGTGGCGTTAGCCGGTGCAGCGGTGGTCTTTCTTGCGATGGTCGTGCCTGTTGCGATGGTCGATGCACCAAAGTCGATGCCTGCGAGCGGCGATGTGGTGGGCATCGTCTCGATCATTTCCGTAAGGGAATTACGACCCGTCGATACCAGCGGTATTACAGGCAGCGAGGATGGAGACGGCGAAGACAGCGGCGACGACGACGACGACGACGATGATACGGTTGCCGCATCGTTGGTAATCGTTGCGACGGATTGAACACCGAGAGAAACCGGCTTCGATACCGTACTGCTATCGTCTCTGATACTGCTATTACCGCCATTATTGGTGCTGGCAATGGTGCTCGATGCCAGTGCCAAAGTACTAGAACCGTCCTCGCTGAAATACATCGACGTCGTCTGCTTTGTCTTCGCTTGGTTAGCCCGAAAGTGGGTTTGCGATTGCGATTGGGACGGCAGAGCCGCGCTTCCGGCCAGCAGCATCACGAACCACGCTGCTCCACGTACAGCCTTCATTTTCGTTCCGATCTCGTATCGATGGAACGATCAAACGAAAGGGGCAACTTTCTGCGATTCTTTTGCGTGTAGCGGTGACGGTGGCTGCGTTACGCTTCCTAAAACGAACGAGGAAAGTAAAACGTGTCCGCGAAATGGAACCGCGACCGCGTATGCCGCCCCCCTCCCCCCCCACGATAACATGTCCTACGATTTCGATCATCGAAGACTACGGACTAAATGTCGAACTCGGTCGCGATCGGGGGATCGTTTCGAGGCAACCGTCTCCGTTTTCATTTCCGTTTCCATCTTCGTCTTAATGAATATTGGTGTCGCGAACGCGCGAAAGAGATGCAGTTGGGAAGATAGAATACGAGATCGCATAGAATCCCGACCAGATGGGTATCCTCGTTTCTCACGCATATTTTATACCTTGCACGGTGGAGGTGACGCGCAACAAGAGCGGTTCGTTGAAGGAAAAAAAAACTACGTCATGTAAAAATAAGAGAAGGAGAAGGGAGGGAAGCAGAACGGGGGAGGGGAAAACGGCGAACGCAGGGGGAGCTCAAGATCCCTTAACGGTATAACGATATTTTTTCGTCGATAGACTGGACGCGATTTCCTAGCCGGTCGATTCGATCGCAAAATTTAAACGCGTACCGAGAGCACCGATGTAGCACATCGGGCCACGTGTGTCGCCCCTGTTCCCACCCTACCCCCACACTCTTTCTCTCTTTTCTTTATGTACATACTCTCCACATACGTCTCGTTGCAACGTTAAAGCGAAACGAACAATGCCACGGTGTAAGCGGACCGGTAAAGAAACAAATACGGCGATACACTTGTTAAATTCATAATTCGTAACAGGTTGCTTTTGCAAATGAAAATGTATCCGCGCGTATTTGCACAGGTAAACGAGGAAGCTGGCTGATCGGTGAACCGGTGAACGCTGATTATCTTTTTTCATTCCCGCGAAGGCGTCCAGGATGCCACAACAATTATCTCGCGATATAATTTATCACGCGGATACGGTGAAATTAGGTTAACTGGTACTCGCGTTTCTCGTGGGCCGTTATCTTTGTTCGCATTTTCAAGGTCGCGATGTACGGTAACTAGCAGAATATACTCAACCGACTGTATCCGCGATTCGCGTTAACCGCTCGATACACTGCCAAAAATTTCGACAAAGCCACTTTGTACTTCGATTTTCTGTGGATTCAACGGGATGGGGTAGTTCGGTTGCTATTAAAACACGTCTTGGACTTAAACGAAAAGGAATCAGACAGATCGGACGGTCATAAATGCTACTTGCACGATTTAACGAAAACAATTAACGTCCCAATGAATCGTAACTTTGGTGGTGCCCCGGTAATCATTTGTACTGCATTCAAAGCCGATTCAGAAAGAAGAAATTCATCGTTTAGTATGGAATGCGTAATCGTAAATAATATCGTGAGAAAGAATGGCGGTATTACGATCAAACCCGAAACGATTTGCTCGATTTTCTCATCGTTTCTATAAAAGTGAAAAAAGATCGAGACTATCGGGTACTCGCGACGGTGGTTCTTATTTCCTGAACGGTAGTCGATCCGTTTCCGGCGGGTGTTGGTTACATTGTCGAGTTCTCGTTGCACAGTGGGGTACATATATAATATATACACACAATATATATCTGTCCAAGCAATTTAAAAAAATTAACGAACGGTGTAATACATTAATATATCAAAATGATTTCTTGATGATAAAAATCCGGGCGAATACCCCACAATGCGTCGTTTCGATCGCTTATTTAGCAAAAAAAAGACGTGGAAACGGTGAACGAGATCGTACCTTTTGAAACGAAATCTCGAGGCGCAAGCAGACGAATCGACCCTGGACTCGACCTCGACCTCGACCTCGACCTCGACCTCGACCTCGACCTCGACCTCGATCTCGATCTTGATCTCGGTCCGATCTGAATCTCGACCTCGAACCCGAGTTCCCTACCTCGATCTAGTCTTCGAGTTTCGGCTCTCGTGGTCCAGAAGAGGGTGGTACGGTACGGCCTTCGCAGCGATATTATGAGAGAGCAGAAAAAAAAAAACAACGAAAGACGAAGCACGAAAAACTGAACCGCGTTGCGTAGAAAAAAGAAACTTGATCGAATGCCGTTGAGATAATCTTGCGATCGTTAATTCTCCACTATGTTTCGGGCAAACTCAAACGGTGGCGAACTTGTCCGCGTTCCTCCGCATCGTCGAACGTTTTATCGAGTATCGAAAGAAGCTGCACGAGTAGCAAGTTTGCCGGAAAATCGATGCGCGGTTAGGTGCGTTTGAGTTCCGAGTAGGACTGCGAGCTCTCGTAGGAGACATGCTGCCTATGAGTCCCAGCTAGTCCCACTTACCAACCAACCAGAAACCCCTCGACTATGCGTGGAATCCTAAGCTGCATCATCTCCGCCAATCCTCTACCTTCGTTTGCGCTCTACGCTCACCTATACACGGCCACCTGGATACTCTGGATATGTATACCAGGCACACCTACGATAGCCTTGCTTCCCCGTCCTTCGGAGAGGGACGGTACCACAGAACCAAGGAATACGAGGACTCGCAGTCGGGACCCGAGATTCAGCCTAGAAACGAAAAACAGCCACCTCGTGACAACAACTCCTTTCCATTCCTTTCCATTCTATTTTCTTTCTTTTCCTTTCGCTGCTCCCCTATTTTTCTTTCGTTTAGCCCGCTTTCCTTTCTTCTATCTTTTTTACCTCGCGTTCTCGCAACTTTAATACGCCGAGTGTTATTAGTAAATTAAATCTTTTCACCTTCCGGACCACTCTGTCCTACAAATATATTCCGACCGTTCTTAATTAAACTCGGCTGCATTTTTCCACGAACCGTCTAAACATCTAATCGGGCATCTTTTGTCAGTCGATCGATAGGACGTGGTATGTTTGCGCGTAAAGGGCAGGAATCAATTGTTCCATCGATACGAGAAAGGAACGCGGGCTAGATGGACAAAACTTTTCAATGGTCATTCTTCTCTTATCGTTACGGTTTAACTGTACGTAAACTTGCAAATACGTTGAAACATTTTAACATCTACGAAACGTCTATCGAAATCTATCTGTGTATCGTTAGTTGGCTATCTCTCGAGACAGATTTTTGGTCCGTTCGTTTGAACGATCGTCGATGTCAAAGCGTATCTTGGAACAGAGTCCGTTGCATGCGGCTCGAGAAAAGCGAGAAGAGAAACGAATTGGAGCAACGATAGAGGTACCGCTAGTTTTCGCGAGTTCGATCGAATACCAGAAAAATATATCGAGCATGAAATCACTGTAGTGTTCTCATCGACAAACTAGTTGGTTAAGTTCACTGGCATTCGGATCAGATCCCGGAACGTTAGGCTCTCTCATAGCGATCGAACGATCGTGTTGGCGCTCGCTCGCTCTCATTTGCCACGGCGCTTTTACAGTCGCAGTAACGCGTCCTCCGATGGAGGAATGCAACGCTGACCGCTCTACGTGACCGATTCGCAATATGGATCGTTGCTCGGAAGCTTTTCCCGCGCTAGCAACCTCACTCAACACCTCCATCCAGGCTCTTTCCAAACATATGCCCACTAACAACGGATCATATCGAACCGACAATACCCGATTTCGATGAAACTTGCCACGATGTTAGAGTAACCAAATTATTTGACAGGGCTATCGAGCACAGTCGTGAGATTGTTATTAAGGATGGACACCAGTCTTTGTGCTTAGCCAGGAAGAAGTTCGTCCAATCTCTTGATGTTACGGCAAGAAGGAAGCCTGTTTGATACGTTTGAACGCGATCCTGGACGTGAAGCGTCTGGCGAGTGATGTAGGAACCCCAATGCTACTGTTTCAATCTTCTCAGATTTTTAAAATTTCTTAAGCTATAACAAAAACAGGTATTTTTGTTAAATAATTGCAAAATAAATTCTTTTTAGATAATGGTTTCCGTCCGCCTGTTCTAATCGATGGTCAGAGAAGCTGACTAAAAAAATTAGGCGCACGTAGACCCGACTATGAATCCAGGTGCAATAATAATAATTATGCAAACGAAATATTATAGACTCAACGTCGCATGATGGCGCTCGATACGTATGCTATGATCGTATAGTCGCTGCAATACCTGCAGAGTGTTTGAAACGCGTTACGAGAAGGTTTGCTCCTGGGGGATTTGTTATCTAAGAATGGAGAGTAGCTAATGGAAACTTGACCCTGCATTAAACGCGTAAAGGATTTTCTGTCTACCAAAATATTAAACGAGGCTGCAAATTATACCCATCCGTCTCGTAATTCTCTGGTGATAAGTGCGGAACAAGTCACCACAGACAACTTACACGAGAAGACCTTTCACCCAATGTATTTTTTCGGCCCATTTTTCTGGGGTCTCGAGACCCCATTACCATTTTCGCGTCACTCGCAACGTTACCAACGGGTTTAGCTAAAAATAATTTTTTTAGGGCGATTTGAAATTCTTCGATTTCGCCGAAAAATTTCAGCATCTACTCGAATTTTTTTCTCGAAAATCGTTGGGATTTCGGGGGTATATCTATGGACCAAAAATGTTTGCAATTAACCCCCCTAGTTAAAAAAATTTTTTCAGAACGATTTGAAATTTTTTTGTTCGCCGAAAAATTTAGGCACTTACTCCCTCTCAATTTTTCTTAAAAATTCGTTTTTGATTTTTAAAATTTGCTTCGCTCTCGATCATTTTTCTTGTACTTTTTCCAAAAAAGCAACTATAACTAAGTTACTTCGGAAAACCTGTAATTTTCCACGCAATTTATTTAATAAAACTTTTAACGGATGAGTTAACGGCGTAAACTCTTGTACGCTTATTCTTTACACTATTAAGAGAACGGTATCGACTATTCACTAATTAATTTAACAATTTTTCGTTCATATCCTGAATATTCGGAAACTAAAGAAACTAAGAAACGTTCACATTCTCCGTATTCATATACATATATTATGTAAATGGGACTGCCTCGTTAAATATTTAAATAAGTAAATAAGCGGAGAAATCCTCATATCAGCACCATAGCAACATCAATGAAAAAAGACTTAACACGAATAATGGAATTTCTTTATTGCGCAGTTGTTCATATTTATCGTATCGAGATTATTCCGCTACTTTCGGAAATGAAATATTTACAAGAGTAACGATACGTAGGTGTAATAATGTAACGTGAAAGGGAATTTACAGATAGTTTCGTTATGAGCGTAGAGGTCGAAATACGGTGTAGACGCGGTTGTATCGGCGCAGACACAGCTGCAGAAGAGTAAATTTCTAAAAAAAAAATGACAATATATAGTAATGCACGGTTGAATTTCATCAAATTCGGGACTTCGCAGCGAAATTCTCACGTGCAAGATAACATATTTTTTGTATTTTTGTCTAAAACTAGACTCGAACATTACCTGACAAGAAAAGAGAAATTGTTATCCTCCCTACGCAATTCTAGAGATACTCCTCTTTTTTGTCAGAGATACCACCTCGGTCGTCTTATGACAAAACTGTTGACAGTGACACGCGACATTTTCTAAACTACACCCGTCTGTTACAAGTAACATCGATGGTGGGAGACTATATGGCGCGAGGGCCCCCTCTCGTCGATAGGCCTGGTTCGAGTATTATGCGACGTGACTCTTGTTCATGTTGAACAGAATCTGTTCCAACAATAATTTCTTAAAAATAACTCATTCTTGATTACTATGTTTCGTTACGATTAGATGAGAGTATGAAAGTTGGGTAAATCGTAGGACATTTCTGAATAAATCCGTCGCATTCGTCGCTGATTCACGGTCGTGTTTTTTAATCGGTTTCCGCGTTTCCCGCATCGTTTGTCTATATCTTCGATCCAAGACTCGATCGCGTCGATGCGGCTAGCAAAGACTGGGGTCTCATACGGTGTAAACCGCATCGTTCCGATGCGGTTGCGAAGGCACGCAATAACCACTGTAAGTTTTGATTTCCAAAACGCCGGAATACGATCTAGCCGGAAGCGATCCCGGATCCGTGTGACGTCTGGGACACCGATGACCCTTTGGACACTGGCAAAGAGGCGACGCGTTCACCTCCTCGAGCTGCGAGCTCCGTCTTTTTCGTACCGTGAACAGTCGACAGGGTTCCTTGCGTTGACAACGCAGCCTCTGAAATCGAACATTTCTTTCAATCGGTACGATCTTCGATCCCGGATATTTTCTATTATCCGTTCGGACACGGAACGTTTACTTGTACGATCGGTGTGCGTTCGGTAACGTTTCGGTCGCGTCGCTTCGTTAAAAACATTCAGAATATTTGAAACGCGACGCGTTTGAACTGAACCGCAACGCTATACGTATATGTATAAAGATTGGTATCTTACTGCCTATAAGACCGTTTGTTTGAACCGGATCGTGCCGTAAACGTTCCGCGTCTATAAATCGAGCTTAAAACGCGACGCGCGAAAGCAAACGAGAACGAGGGGACTTACGCTTTGCGGAGAGCACGCAAACGCATAAATAAATCCTGGATTTCCCTCGGGAGACCTGAATGGCTGTCTTCGAACTAGATAGGGTACGCTGGCCGGTCGACAACGACAGTAAACTCGCTGAACCGTCGCGTTTGCTGGCCCCCCTCCAGGAGCTAGAGTCCACGTGACGTCCCTGTAAACAGCAAATAACCATCCTGTGTGCATAATACGCGTGGACGCGCGTGTAGTACGCGTTAAAGCATCTGAGAATCGGTTCGTTTGATCGTTCCGCTATATGTACTTGGTTAGACAACCGACTAACTTGAAGTAACGACAGATGGGAAGACGTTTCACTGGCTCGCAGAGCTTGTACTGGCGTGTTTTATCGACTATCGTATGCCCGTCGTCCCCGTGCAAGCTGCTAGGACAGGTACGACCATCCGGGCAACGACACTGCCTCTCGACCCATGGCGACCCATATAAATCCACCTTGCTGCAAACTTCGCTTCTGTCCGAACATTCAGGCAACTCCTCCTCGCTGTCCTGAAAATCGTAAATGGTCGCGATACGTTCCAATTTTCGTGCACCCGCTTGTATACGTTCGATTCTGCGATAGGTCAAGGTGCGCCACTGTGACAAATGTGACAAAAATCGGTAATCGACGGTTCGTTATGTTCCCTTGTTAGAGAGAATCGAGGTTCTAAATTCCGGGGTCAAGCGCGGTATCGCCCGTTCTAATAATCAATGGATTTTGCCGACAAAAACTTTGCGTATCGTCTAACACTGTCTTTAATAGAGAGAATGGTTTCGGTCACGAGTAGAAGACAAATCGCGATATTGCGAGAATCTAGAAGGTCGGATAGTACGGAGGGAGTGGCAGGCGTGGGGATCGGGGCCGGTGGGAGGGCCAGAGGAAGAGAAGGAAACTCTGTAGCAAACTTGCTAAAGAATACGTATATCTCCCCACTCCTTTAAAGAATAGACATCTGGTCTAACTGCGCTATTGAAACAGCGTCGGTCAATCCACTGAATGAGGCAATCACGTACGTCCTGTCGAGTCGTCGCTGGCAATCTACGTCGCGTTCGAGAATCCGAGTAAAACTTGAAATTTTCTGTCCAGATTCGACGTCGTCTACACACGTATGTACGCGAAAGTATTCCAACGCTTATATTTATTACGTTCAACTAATAAAATATGTACGTTAAACCGAAGCATTTGGATCCTAAGATTACATAAGTAAAAAGATTTACAAAGTTATATAAAATGCTTTGGTTTTAGCATATGTACCATTAGTTGAATATTATAAATCTAAGGGTTCGAATAGGTTCGTGTACGAGTGTGTTTTGTTACGAGGATTGTTTGTTTGTATTCGTATTGTATGTATATGGCACGGCCAATGATCGACGCGCGCGCATTTATCGCGATCTCGACGGCGATGCAAAAAAAACTGCATGTCTCGGTGCATCGAATAATGCATATATCGGTCAGCCAAGTCGCTTTTAAAATCGTCGGTCGCATTTCCCACTGTCCGTACCTTGTTGTTGGTTCCCTTCCGTTCTCTCGTGTTCCCTTCTCTTTCTTCTATCCCCTCCTCGGCTCTTCCTCGTGCCGTTCCCAGAAGATCGTTCGTACGTATTAAAACCATCGGTGGCGGTAAACTAAAATGGGATAATAGGGGGACCGGAAAGGCTGTGTGCGATTCATCCGGAAGTTCTCACGAGTCTCTCGCCTCTTTCACAGCCACGGTGAAAATGACACCTGGCTTTCGAGAAGCATATGCGCGCGCGCACGCTACTGCCGGACGGGACGATCCAAAGAACATTCCAATGTGGCGATACACACACACACACACACACACACACACAGAGGCTTGACTGAGTCGAGTCAAATGATCCGGAGGATCGAATAGAAATTCGGGGAAACGAGCGACCGATAGATCGAACCAACAAACGAATAGAAAAATGGACGACGACTGTGCGCGTATTTTTAATTGGTTTCGTGGTGCGATCGATCGGGCAATTGCGTCGCGCTAGGCAGAAAAATGTTCCTTTTAAAAAGCACGCGATCATCGCATTCTAAAAAGAAACTTAAAAATTACAAATCGTTTAATATCCGATTATGAAAAGTAACACGACTCGGATAAAACGGAAAGCTAATAAACCGTTATTGTGGCGGGCTTGAACGATAATGCGAAACGCGTAAAAGAAAATAGGATACATAGATATATCGCGAGCGTAGAAGCTGTTAATGTCACGAGCAAAGGAAAATCGAGGACGACGGTTAGCCAACTGGACGATACGAAAGAACCGTTGAACGAATCGTCTCTGTGCGTAATCGCGTCTAATTCGCGGCGCGAGATACCATACTTACCCCGATTTGATAAAGAACTCTAGGTGGCTGATGCACAGGTCGATACTTCTTTTTTTGGTCAATCAAGTCGATCTCGATCGCTGTGTCTTGAAAGTTGTGCAACTCGGTGATGTATTTGTCTTCGTCTAGAGACAAATATTCGTTGAGAAACTCTTGGCCCCTTTCATCGAGTTCTACGCCGAGAAGGCTACCTTCGATTCCACGAACGAACAACTGTCCAAACATCGCCAATAACAAACACATCGAATCGGCCATCGTTTGGCGCGCGCGCGCGCGCGCACTATTGTTCTTCTTTGGTCGCTCGATAGAAAGGATAAAAAGTAGCTGGTTTCACGAGCGTCGAAAGTTGCTGGATACGTTCGAAGATAGAGACAAAATCGGTAACGTTGACGAGCATTCGGAAGTTACAGGAAAGAATGCACGTATAACGGAGCGTGTAACACGGAGTACGAATCGTTGGGATTCATCGGGAACACTTTACGTCGCGTATCGGAGCACAACATAGTCAAGGAGGACGAGTGACTCGCAGGCGCGTGGTTTCTACGTTGCAGTCATCCTAAAGGCAATATGTACTCGGATATTGTCGGATCTTGAGCGAATAAGAAAGGCTGCCGATCGTTCGGGGGTAGCGAATTCCTTCAATTATTGCATCTTTCCACGTATATTAGATACAATATTAGCGTGCAAGCTGGTCCGAGCGTTGCCGATCGATGTTGCTGGCAAATCCAACGAGAAAACAACGAGTTCTCGTGGTAAATGAACTTTGTTTCAACACGGTTCTAGCGCGTTCTAGAAATCGATCGATCGATCGATCGATCGGTTGGCCGGCCGATCGACCGATCGAACGGATCCAGATCACCTTTGAACCGTAGTCGCTAGATTGTTCTAAAGAAACCAAAGAATTCCTTAAACCTTTCACGGTTAATGTGGTCTTGTCTTCGACGCGGACAGTCTCGATCTCCTCGTGTTTAGCGTCGATGAAATGGTACGCGTTCGTTCCGTTGAGAATCGTGTATCCAGCGTAGGGCACTCAAAAATTCCTCTCCTCTAACCGTATCGTTACTCACGGTACAACCCGCACTTGTTCTTTCTCGTGGCCTTGCCTTACTCCTCCACGTTCTCTCTTCTATATTTCTGTCCTGCGCGCGTCCTACATTTACGTATCGCGACGCGATTCAACTTTCGTGCTACGCGAACCTATACCATTCGTTCGACTGGACTTCTAACAGCTAGAGGCAAAGCATGAATGAATGCTCCCTTCTCTGATCCTCTTTCTCCACTCCACTCCACTCTGCTTTTTACTTTGCTCCACTCCGCTCCACTCCACTCCGCTCCGCTTCATTCCACTTTGCTCCATTCCACTCCACTCCACTCCACTCCACTCCACTCCACTCCACTCCACTCCACTCCACTCCACACCACACCGCTCTACTCCTTTGGACTCCACTCCACTCCACTCCACTCCACTCCACTCCACTCCACTCCACTCCACTCCACTCCACTCCACTCCACTCCACTCCACTCCACTCCACTCCACTCCACTCCACTCCACTCCACTCCACTCTACTCTACTCTACTCTACTCTATTCTACTCTACTCCACTTCTCTATATCGTACCATTTTACTTTACTCTACTGTACGTCGCCTCACTCGTTTCCTTTATCCCTTGTACCTTTCCTTTTTAAATCTACTGCATCCGAAGTATTTTCGTTGCTCCGACTCTATTCGCTTCGCTTTGTTGCTGTTTGCGTTTCACAGTTACGTTGCTGCCATACACGCCTCTTCTTCCTTCTCACAGTCCACCTGAAAAGCATCCGGTTACGGTTAGTTTTTTGAGAACATCGTGAAATAAAGAATAGAGCTGTCCTGTAGTAGATACATATTCCGCGAGGCAGGCAACGCGAACCACATAATCGGTACAACAGCCCACGTGCAAGGCAAGCATACGCATACTTGACGCGTAGCACGCGTAGGCGGTTCACACGGTTCACGCGATTCTGCCGGTCGAATCGCGCGACCGTGTTTCTATTCAAAGGATGTTATTACTTTCCGAGTTCTCAAACTTGCATGGACGTTCAACCAAAGTTTTCCACTTTAATTTTCCTTCGCGCGCATGTCTTTCTGGCTAGTTCGAACTTGCAACAAAGACACGATTGATTCGTTTACCTATTATCGGATTAGCTAACCGGCGCGCGTAACATTAGTACCGTTCGTGACCAGCAAGTTGCGAATCGAAAACGATTCTCCAAGGATCACGTTTGAGGATCGCTGTTTCATTGATGGAGGCCACCATCCATTCACTCGCACTTTCTCTCTTTTTCTTTTCTGCTCCTTGCTCTCTCATTCCCACGCTCCCCAATCCACGGCCTTCTCCGATGTCTCCACAAACGTTACGCTACTCTCGTTGCTGCCCTTTTGCATTTCTGAAAACGCATAACATGAGATCGGATTTCATCGACCCGAAACGTTCGTGTCCTATTATTCTCGCGTTATGTGTAATAGTTGCGACATTCCACGCAATTACCACTTACAAATCTATCGTAAGACGTAGGAGAACCGCTGAATGACATGAATGAACTCTCCTCGGCGAGAAGAGCTGGAGGGAAAACGCTTGGCAACGGATTGCCGAGCAACAGTGGAGTAGGGTGCGGTTGAGTGGAACTGAGTTTATCGAGCTTCGAGAACCGTGAAGAGCCGAGTCACATTTGGTTCGATGTGTCCGAAAATCTTGAAAAATCTTGGTTTCCCTTCTATGACAATCTCTATTGTTTATTATTCTTTTCTATAATCGTTAAACGGTTATCTCGTTAACATATAGGACGTTGATGATACAGAACAAACGATGAACAAGTTCGATTTTGTTTCAGGAAAACTGTATGCGGTATTTGGAAAAAGGCAAGGCCGTGTGATTGCTGCGGAAAGTGCTGGATTCGGTGGACAGTTTCGCGTGTTGGCAACGTTACCTGTACCGGAGAGTTTTAAACTTGCCAGAGAGTTGCGAACTCAAACGTCCGGACTCGCCAGCCCTCAACTGGTTTTCAGTCATTGGGAGGCAAGTTTTTCCATATCAACGAACGCACGATATGTATTTGCCTTTTCTTCTTTTTTTTTTCTTTTTTCTTATTGTAACTTTTCTCGATCATAGACTGATAGAAAGCGTGTATCGCTTACATTTACAATCCTTTCTACCTGTACTTATGACCTGATCGTTTAAAACAAGCTACCCGAGTGGCATTTCTTCTTTGTTTCAAAGCGAAAGCGCCAAAAGTCTTGATAGCAACTGCTGATAAATCTACGATGATTTTATACGCGACTTTATACGCGTCGTAGGTGATCGAGCAAGATCCTTACTGGACACCTTCCACGGACGAGGAATACCTTCACTTCGGTGACAAAGCAGACAGCGAAAACAGAGCCAAGAAGTATATGGATGCGGTTCGTCGACGCAAAGGTTTACCCGTGGATTCTCAGCTCGTTATGCATGCAGAAAAACAACGCACTCTCTCGAAAAACAAGTAATTCGAACATGGTCATTATCGAGTCATCGATGCCACCGTCATCGCTATATCAGAAAAACACTCGCTAACGCTCGACAAGTATCCAATGTAACCGATATGTACCCATATGAAAACTAAACGTTAAAGTAATCAAAATTATCAAGAAAAATACAATTATAAACAATCGATATATACTTGTCTTTGTTAGCATTAGGAGAAACGTACGAGATCCGAGATTATATCGTACGTGGCACATTCCTATTAGTTTTAAAACAAATTCACGTTTTCGACTAAAAGATTACGCCGCGTGAGTAAGTATTGCTTGCCTTATCGATTCGAAACTTTCGAGTTTTGAAAATGTATTCCCAACGTGATTTATGTCATCTTTCAATTATATGACAAACGAATACAAACTTGTACATTTACACGAATACAGTCTGTCCCGAAATTCCTTGTTCTCAAATAATTCGTCCAAAATTTCGATGTTATACGTACGGCTGCATCTGTTCCCGTTTGATATTTATAAACAATCGTGAAATAGCATTGTACCTTGTGCCGAATATAGCGACACTAGTTCACAATTAAAAGGGGCAATTAATATTTTCCGACACCACGTACAATTTTCAAAAGTTCATAGTCGAATGCTGCAGTTCCTGTTATTCAAATTTAAGTGAAAATAAACAAATATTCCTGCCTTTATTATGTTCTCGTATTATTGTCAGCGTCGTAATGGTGTAAATATTGTTGGTGCTGTGCTCATGTACTGGCTTTTATACAGTATTTTGATTTTTCAGAATTTTTAAGTCATTTTCCGCACAAAAATTCACACGAAGAGGAAGACGTGAGTAACATTATCCGGTAGAAGGAAAACCAAAAAATAAGTATGTTTTTAAATCTTTTCGCCAACTAATTTACACTATTTTTTGGTTAACACGTTCCGTACCACGTGTACCACCGATGGTACACGTTAAACTTTATCTTCAGGCCACGTGTACCACCGATGGTACACTCAGACATACTTATTTAATGCGCTGAAAATATATGTTTATGACAAATTTAATTCTGTAAAAAAATAGTTCTACTAAAAGATTGAGGCATTATACAAAATGCAGTATAGAACGAAGCACATAAGTTTGTTTAATTGTTATATTTACAATAATTAATATTTACATGTAATGGTTGATTTTGTTAAAGCAAAAGATACATAAAAACGGCTTTTTCGGGCAATCGCTCTTATAGTTTTTTGTCTTGCTACTTCAAATTTTGTTACATTTTGTTTATAGCAAGAACTGCAACGTTGTCTAGCTGTCCTCGCTTTGCCCTCTTGCTTTTTAATTTCATGTCGTTTTCTAGAGTTTGTCGCAATTTCAGAAGACGAGTTGTTGTTTTCATCCTCACAGTAACATAAATAATTAGCTAATCGTTTTCTAAATTCTACTATTGATATAGGACTCCGTTGCTGAGTATTATATAATATCCAAGCATTTACAACTGATGCGTTTAAGAGACGCTCAAATGCTACTTTTTTATATCATTTGACAGTTTTGTGAACTCTTGACTTCATTGTAATCAATCACAAGTTTCGGTTTTACGATATCATATCCTTTTTTTTTTTTTATCAATAGCCTTCTCTACAGAATATTTTATTTGCCTCTTTTTTTATTTAAAACAAATTCGAATGCAGCAGGTTCTTTACTAGTCCAGATGTTTCGAACAGACTGACGTTTGCAATCGAACTGATCGCAGCGCCACGTGTACTACAAGTGGTACACGACGTAATAACTACTCTAAACAAGGTAACTGCTTATCGATTGATGATATAATGAAATATTGTGTGATAATATATCAATCTTTAGTCGCAATATCAAATGGTCTGAACGACAAGTCAAGCAAAACGGGCTTGGCACGGAACTTGTTAATAAACCAATACGTGCACCACGAAACATTTTAAGATCAAACTTCGCTACCGTGAACGCGAGACATGGTTCGAATTATACACTACAACTCGAAAGTTAAGCATATTCCCAACATCAGATTTATTTAAAAGTGTATTAAACAAGGTATAATTGAAATAATTGAAATAATGGTGGTTGTTCGATTGGTCATACAGTAGCGATTATTCGCTCCAATCTTATCGCTCGCTTACCATTTTTTGAAAATTTGTACTTTGTTTACTTAAATCTCGTCGAATCGAATCTTTTTTCCTTGAAAACCTTGTTTCATGATCTCCTGTTGTTTCCTCCTAGCTGCCCACGAAGGATGTAGATTTTTATTCTCCAAAAGATTTTTATTCTTAATGTCTCCCTGCGCAACGTTTGCTTTTCCGACCGACGTTATTTTATTTTGTTTCGAACACGAGACGCTTGTTTGCTTCGTTACGCTGTTCCTATCGTTGGAAGTGTCCTCGTTATTGATTTTCCGTACTTTATTATTTCTTTTATCTTCGTTTGCTTCGTCTCTACAAAATCTCTCTCTTTCATTTTTTACTCGGAACGCCTTAGGTTTGCTATCACCGACATTTCTGCTTCTTTCTTGCGAATGTATTTCAATATTTAAACACGGTTCGATCTCGTCCGAATTTAGAAAAAAGTCATCTACCATTCTTGTAATTTCCACTGACTCTCTAGATAATGATTGCCTGTTGTCTGCTTTGCAACTATCATTTTTTCTCTCTGTCTTTGTCTCCTGCAAAAGTTCTGTAAATCTTTTAACGGCAGCCTCGTTACTAATAACTTTAGCTGCAGATTTTGATGTTTGATCCTTATCTGTATATTTTGCGTTCCCTTTGAACTGTTTTTCAGATTTGTTTACATCTGGTTTGTACAATGATGTTTCTCTGGACGGCTTAATGTATTTTGTATCTGTTTTCACATTTTGTTGTCGAGTTGTATATTGTGAACAATCACTGGAGGTTACATTAATTGAATTTTTATCACCTTCTGCATATATATTCACCTTTGCTTCATTTCTATCGTTTACCAACAGTTTTGAGTTTTCTTCTTGGATCTGATCTATAGAATTCTGTTTTCTTTTTTTGACTGATTGCTTCTTTTTTGCGCAAGAAATCTTTTCTTGATAATCTGGAAACTTCTCTTTAAATGCTATTATTTTTTCTTTTAAAGACTTGTAACTAACAACTTTGGTCATAGCCCTAGATTCATCCTCAGTTTGTGAGTTCTGCAATATTTCTTGTAGACATTCTAGGTTAACGATTCCAAATTTTGATATCTCATCGTCTTTGATACGTTTTAACGCAGAAACCTCCCTCAAAAATTTATCTGCTTTATTTTTATTCTTTTCCAGTTGCTTCTCGCTGCCACGATTGGTACGTAATCGTTTAGCTTCTCTTATCAATTTATTTACGACGCAGATACGTGCCTGACGAACGTGTTGTCTTAATAAAACAATCTAAAAGAATCAACGTAAAGTCCATAGAAATTGAAGGTTCGCATATTTATTTAAAATATAACAGAACCATACCTCGTTATTTATTTCTGTTCGGGCTGCCGTCAAAGTCATGTTGTCGACGGAAGTATCGTGTTAATATTTATAAACAAAGCGAATGAAATACATATATGAATCAAACTGTCCTATACCTGCTGTTTTACGCGCGCTAAAATAGTTTCTAAACATGTTTATGTAACATCATAACATCCGCGTTACATGACCGCGTGCTATGTGAACACAATGTAGAATAATACTTGCATAAACGAGGCGAACCAATAAAATATTTATTTAGGTAAGGTAAAGAAAAATGATACACCAAATATGTGACTGGCCGAAATTCTTTGAAATCGTTCGTAAGATGACGGAACAAACTAATCGTTGATCCACGGTCACGCTAAAATTGCTATTGCATGTGCAAAAATATCTACATATGCATAGATTCATACACGAGACACTACCAAGCGCCCTCGAGTGACAGTACCGTGTAGCATTCTGACGTTTTGTTGCCTTGTAGAAACGTCATTTCGTTTAATGCATGCTCATGCAAGGAACGTCGTTTAACTTCGGCTATAAAATCTAACTAACGCGAGCGTGTAGAAATTATTCTGCCTAGAGAACGAAACGACTGAATCAACGGAACAACTGTGACGTTTGGATTACTGGAAGGAGAATCAGCCATTAGTGGGAGAGTCTACATCATTTCTCTGGCCGTGACTGACTGCACATATATATACATATATTCGCCACGTATGTAGGTATGTGCGTATGCGACCCTGTTGTACGATTCTCCAGCAATTTTGGTGGTTTCTAGATATTTCGTTGATATGGAAGTAAATTATGCGCAACTTGAGCACCGATTGTTGTCAAGCAAATATTAAAAACAACAAATACAATATCGAAAAATTTTAGAGGGAAATCGTCGAATGACCTTGAACATGGTCAAGCGATTGTTGGACCTTCTAACGCGATGTGTCAGACAGTCATGTCTTCAAATTAATCTGTTTCTTTAATTCATTCGCGGTAAATAATTTGTACAAAATTTTTTCGTTCGGTGTTGTGTTTTTATACGTTTTATGCAAAAAATAAATAAATTATGAATAATAACGAACTTTATGTGCGGTAGTGTTTATTCGGAAGGTTAGTATTTACGACACTTGAGTGTTTTCGTCCAACCTCGAGCTTCTTCAATGTTTATTTTTATATTGACGTTACGCCTGGCATCCATATTTTGCCTTCCTGATACATATATTATAGCTTCGTTCGTTCTATAAACACCGAGCCACAGTGTCAAATCTGCTGCAATACACTTTTTATTCTTTGATAGCGTATTCCCGTTATTCTTTAATGCTCGATAAAAGAGCTACCGAATTTATTTCATGTTTGCACGATAATTCGAATTTGGTGTAAATACGAAATTAAAGTAGAATTTTATCAATATTTACGACAACTTACGATATATTTTATACTTATAATCGGTGACAATATAATTTCTGTAACACAATAAACCAAACGTTTCTTTGATTATATCTTTTCTATTCCACTATTCTTATTGATAGCACACTTTTTCCACATATGCAACTACATTTTTCTTATTATGTTATCTGTTTTATGTTGTAACTGGCTTCTTACTCTACATAAATTTCTAATAAAAATGAAAAGATCAGTTTTATTTTCATATGTCTCGTTCTATAATTTTAGGTTTTACCTAGTGTGATTTTAATATTTATTTTATTATTTTGATACTGTACCACAAATAATCAAGGATCAGAAATGAGTTGTGTTCGTTGCTGTTTAATCGGTGCTGGCCGTATAGCATCCTCTAATCACATAGCAAATCATGGTAAGTATGTTGTCCATTTGCTTTCATGATGTTTGAAAATTATTTTAATTATAACATAAATAACTTTATATTTTCCATATTAGTTCACAAAATTGTGAGAGTTGCTGTGATTAGATCATTGACAATCGGTAGTGCTTTAGGGAAAGCACCTACCGAACCTACACCGCCTGGCAAAAACAGTAGTAACGGAGTGTCCTCTGTTGGCGGCGGTGGTGGAGGAAAAAAAAATACCCTCACCTGTCCAAAGTGTGGAGACCCTTGTACACACGTAGAAACCTTTGTGTGTAAGTAGAGAATGTGCGTAAGTTCTTTTATAGAGTACTTATAGGAATATTCCAGAATTATGTAGAATACAAGAGCACCTTTTTTGTTAGCATCAACGAGGTTCGTAAAGTGCGAGAAATGCCATCATTTCTTTGTTGTTTTGTCAGAGATAGACTCAAAGAGAAGTTTCAAAGAAGCATTAAGATCAGAGGATACAAAACAAGGGTTTTATAGAAAACCACCACCTCCACCAAAGAAGGTAACAGATACAAAGATACGATTTTATTACATACATGCATAATTAATTCACCTGTTTAGTACATACGCGAAAACGCGTATCTTATTGGTATTTTCAGATATTCGAGTACCTAAATAAACATGTTGTGGGACAGGAGTTTGCTAAAAAAGTTCTGAGCGTTGCCGTTTACAATCACTACAAACGAATCTACAATAATTTGCCAATGCAGAATTCGGCACAAGGATCTACCAATTCAGCCGGTACACAAGATCTGAATCATCCGTTCACTCACAGAGGTCTTAAACCACGTAAATAACAGTTTCCCCATTTTACACAAAATCGTATAAAGACAAAACATAATATGTGACTTACAGTTTTTTAGTATGAAATATTTAGTAATTAAACACTAATGTTTTACTAGGGTAACTGTTTCTGACAGACCATTAAAATCGTCTATGTGTTCTATGAATTTTGACCAAAGACACTCATTACTTTTTATTGTAGATTTGTTACATATTTCGACAATCGGAAATTCACTCGGCGTTGGATTTCAACAATTTCCTAGTGGAAACGAGCAAAAGTCAGCTGGCAATCAATCGGCCCCTGGTTCTGATATTTTAGATAGTAAACAACATCAGTTAAAATTAGAGAAAAGTAACATTTTATTACTTGGCCCAACCGGTAGTGGGAAAACATTGCTTGCACAGACAATAGCCCAATGCTTAGACGTACCATTTGCAATCTGTGACTGTACAACATTAACACAAGCAGGTTATGTTGGGGAAGATATAGAAAGCGTTATCGCAAAACTCCTTCAAGATGCTAACTACATAGTAGAAAGAGCGCAAATGGGTATTGTATTTTTAGACGAAGTTGATAAAATTGGTGCTGTTCCTGGCATACATCAATTGCGAGATGTTGGCGGAGAAGGCGTACAACAAGGAATGTTAAAAATGTTAGAGGGTACGATTGTAAATGTGCCCGAAAGAAATAGTTCCAGAAAATTACGCGGAGATACCATGCAAGTTGACACTACAAATATTTTATTCGTTGCTTCCGGTGCTTACAATGGATTAGATAGGTTAATTTCGCGGCGAAAAACCGAAAAGTACCTTGGATTTGGCGCAACGCCGTCTTCTGAAAGTCCCGGAAGGAGAGCCGCGAGTCTAGCAGATGTTGCAAATATGTCGCCCTCCACAGAAAAGGATAATAAAGAGAAAGACTTTTTATTACAGCAAGTTGAAGCAAGAGACTTAATTGATTTCGGTATGATTCCCGAATTTGTTGGCAGGTTTCCTGTTCTTGTACCTTTTCACACTCTTGATAGAGATATGTTGGTTAGAATTTTGACCGAACCTCAGAACGCCATGGTGCCTCAATACCAAATGTTATTTTCAATGGACAAGGTATAAAATATCTTATAAAACTATTAATATATGCACGTACAAACTGTCTGATTTCTATCAAGCTTCTTTGTTGGTTTTCAGGTGGAATTAACGTTTACTACGGAGGCTTTGAACGCAATAGCTACATTAGCGATGGAAAAAAAAACAGGCGCAAGAGGACTTCGAGCAATCATGGAGTCATTATTATTGGAACCCATGTTCGAAGTTCCAGGTAGCGACGTAATGACTGTCCATGTAACTGAAGGTTGTGTACAAGGAAACGAGAAACCACAGTATATCAAAAGAGGCGATGCCACCGAAGAAGAGCTACAAGCTCAACATATACATAATTAACAAATAATTCATAGGAAAAACGTGCCGCACGTTTGATCCTTTCCTCTCATCTACCATTAAAATATCTTTCGAAACTACATTTACGGAGATATTTTTTGGTACATTATACAAGATAAACTACAAGTGAAATTTGATTTGTAATATATCAACATATGTAAAACAAGATTTTACAGAGAAAAATATGCATACAAAATTGGGAAATATTTTTAGAAACTACGTTTTCCATGAGAATACGTACGCATATCGAACGGGTTATACTACAAGGTATTGTGTCAACTTTGCTAATAATTTGAAACCACAAGATGCTTGGTCAAGAAATGCATTTTTTTTTTATTTTTTTTTTTTACTTCACTTCTGACTACATATAGAATTAAGACTTTCGAATACTGTTGATTAGATTAGATATATTTCGACTACAATGGGAACATAAAATTTATATATTTTTGTCCCTTATAAATATAACATTTATGCGTGCGTTCGATATATTATTGTATTATAACAGATATAGAGAAAATTAGCGATATTTGTGACCTAATTTATACATTTTGTATAACGGGTACCATAAAAAACACATGTAATTAACGTAATACTTGAACATAGCTATTTGAAAGTCAAAACACTTCGTAAAATAACTTAAACTTGAATTTTAAATTTAGGAGAAAGGACTTTTAGGGAAATATTAAGTCTTATAAATGAAACGTGAGAGTTTGAAAATCGAAAAGAATATTGCGTTGACGGATAAATCAAGAATGTTTGTAACATATTGTACATACACATAATAGACTAGCAAAAACGATGAAATTAAAAGTTTAGAAATTGCATATACTTTGTAAAAGTATCTTTATACAAAAACGCTCGTTAGCGATAAACATAATTTATCTCAACAAATTATTTGACTATATATACATATATATATATATATATATATATGTGAAATGTATATATCATATACGTTGTATATGCGATAGATATAAAAGAAAGGCTGTGTAATATATGATGCAAGATGAAAAAAGTACATATGTGAAACTATAAACAAACATTACTGAGATTGTATATCATGTGATACTTATTTCATCGAATCTGTTATCGGTTTTCGAGCATCGACACTTCATCTTTTTATTAGTAATAAATCAAAAGTAATACAATATGTATATAGAGTACTTTCTTTATCTAGTATATTGAAACGAACAAGTAAACTTTTTATATAACCAAGTCTCAATAACTACTCCATGCGATCTTAATTTGAAATGTTACTTTTAAATAGTTTTTTTGTCAAATGTGAAGGTAAATGTTCATTTTAGTGACTTTGCCCTAAAACAAAATCACTAATGTAAACATTTACCGATATGACTGTTTTCGTGGCGACTTTTCTTTCGGCCTTATTGCTGTTATAAATTCTGTAACTACCCATTTAATTGCTTGTGCTACTACCACATTTACAGTATATTCTAAAAGAAGAGCTCCAAACCCTTTATACAAACCAAGAGGACCTTCGGTAGAAATAATTGTATTGTAACAATCCATTGCTCCGCTGTATCCGGTTAGGAGCGGCGTTACGCTACGTCCCGTGTCCAAATTATCGATAATAGTACGTGTACCTTGAAGGTGAAGTCTACAAATCACAGTGTCCCATGGATAAAACAATACGTCTGCCATGAATGAAGAAACTAGCACTGACTGGAGCTGTATATCCATCTTATATGCTTCTTCGGATAGGAAATCTCTACTATATGCACCCTTGATGTAAAATACAAATAATGTTTAGTTTACATATTCCAAAGTACAATAGTGCCCAGATAAATGACCGCGGTTATCCCCACCAATTCTTAGAAGCCAAGCGGCTTCGAACATCAAGTGTGTCGAATGTAACTTGACGCCGGTCGTTATCGATACATTGTATTCTATATGGTTTCGAAAGCCAGCTATTGTATCTCATTCGCACTTATCCTCTTTCTTTATCTCCGTTGAATTCTGAGAAGCAACCATGCCCACATAAATGACCGCGGTCGATCCCGAGCATGGTCATTTATGTGGGCACTACTGTATTTACTATTGACAGCATACTCCGTTTCATTGATAACTTACTCGTACTTCTTTAGAATGTTTCTGCCTAATTTGCATGATGTAACTGGTAACTCCATGGACAGCCATGGTAAAAAGATATTTACAAATTCCGTGAGCAATAGTTGGTGGCAAAAGCGAATATATAGGTATTAGTCTACCCTTGTTGCTCACTTCAACTAAACGAATTGCACCATCTCGAAAGACGTCTAATATTCCAGGACTTTCAGAAGCAATTTCAGACTGTACCGTTTCAACTAAAGATGCAGAGAAAAATGGCGTTGCCAGGCCTAGAGTTACACTGTTATATTTTCTATTAATATTCTTTATAAATATATTTAAGGTACAAAAAACATATACACCAATTTACTATTACCATTTCAAAAGAATATGCTGACCAAATGCTTTCAATGAACTGCTCCATGTTATTTCCCTGAAATAAAATGCCTTATAATTATTAATTCATACTTTTCATTCTAAAATTCATCTTACTTTGGCCATGGTGTAATTTTGGAAATTACATCTTCAACAGCTAACATCATTCCCTTAACAAGCAACACTGATCCAACACCTTTCCAAAGAGTATTTATTCCTTGAGTCTGATGAAGTCTTATAACTATAGGTACCAATGTAAATGGTATTATGTGATAATTGTTCGATCCAGGGTTTACCTGACATTGCCTCCTTAGAACGATAAATGGATGAACTAATAAAGTTTCTGTAATTAAGCTTGCTAGACCACAACCCGCGGCAATGCATGTTCTCATAGCAGAATCTGAAAGACAAAAGTTATTCGGAATACTAACTAAATTTTAGTCGCTAGTCTACAAGTTACACTTTTAGTTTCGAAGAATCGAAGAATCATGTTTTATCGAAATTTACCATCAACAGAAGGGCTATCTTCAGCTAGGGGATGTACAGTGAGAACATCTAAAGGGCGAATAACCTCTCGTCCATTGTATGTTTTCAAGTAATTACTTTCACTTCTCCAAGAGTTCGAAGGTCTTCCTCGATATACACCCGTAACCGTCTCGTCGATGTAATCTTCTAATCCGGCCATTTTTACATTGAGTGATTTTCAAACATCGTAATTAACAGATCCCAAGTTAATTCTTTTAATTTCGAAACTATGTACTGCTATACTGCTATGTACTCCTGACCCCGATGGCTCATTACGCTTTACGTTGGTAGTGTTACCAGACTGGGCACCGAGTGCACCGAGAACCGCAAACCGAATCCTTTTATTGGTGCGTTTGTCACACTAGTACTTACAGCGGTGTAACAGTAGACTGAACTGTACTACTATTCGCTAATGTTGATTCGGTCAGGTGTAATTCAACCGATTGTTGTATTACATAAGTTCTAGTTAAGATCTTCCTCTAAAAGCAGGGAATCGTTTTCACAATCTAACCAGCGTTAAAAACAAAGAATATGGGAGACGGAGGAAAGGAACCTGATGGCGAATGGGCCATTGATCTTCTAACAAGAGATATGGGTTATAAGACGCAATTTTACAATACATATTTCAGCGAAATGTTGTTTGGAATCGCAGGTTTTTGTGCACCATTATCAGCGAACGTGTGGGTGAGGCAGCCTCTATTCTCTCGTAAGTAAATCGAATAAAAATAATACTTCCAAATATGTAATCTACGAATATAAAGAAATAAATTCTTGGAACTGCCGCAACTTACGATAAGTAAATGACCTTTACACAGTTTGTTTCGTCATCTTTCCGTTAGACGTGTAAATAAAAATTTCATATAAAAAAAGTATAGAATTAGTCACAGAATTAAACTACAGCATTTGATACAATATAACACATATAACATGGGATGGGTCACATGATTACATAAATGAAATTAGAAAATAATTCAACAATATGTAACTCGTTCAAATAACACCGAATTAATTCATATTTTATTATTAGTTCAATAGTATTAAAAAGTACATGTAATTAAGGACTGTACATCTTTTACTTTCATTAGATCTTCCAATTGCTATTGTCGGAGGCTTGATAGGAGTAGCTATTGGAAATTTTGTTACAAAGAAGGTCGATTTCTTCTTTGCACGACGTGATGCCAAATTAATAGATTATATTAGACTACATCCAGATCGTTTCCCTGCACCAGGTAACTTGTTATATACTGAATTAAATTGTAACTTTTCATCTATCATTATTAAAACTTGTTTTTACTGTTACAGAAAATAAGAAATATGCAGATATATTTCAGCCATGGGTGCCTCTTCGATAGGTAATTACAATACATTTTTAAAGTCGGACAGTACTTGATCATAGTAGCAAATGAGAAAATAAAATTCATAGGTGATCATTGCTTTTTACAAGAATATGTTATATTCTTACATTATATCTTACTATATTAAAGATATGTTATACATTTTTTAAAATATTTGGATTTACAAGTATATATTATGTATATGTATGCATATACTTACTTCAAATCTGTCAACATTTTATTTAAATTCTTTGTACCTGAGAACAAGGATAATACAATAATTTAATTTTTTTCTTTGTCACATTTTAAAATCAGAAGTGTATAGGCTTATCGTTTAATGTTCTAAATAATTGTAAGCGACAATTATTTTACAATAAATGGTTATGCATTTATAGAAAATAAACAACAAAGTCGCTATATAAAAGAATAACATAAAATTATATATAGTGAAACTAGCGTTACGTGAAGTATGAATAAAACAAAATTAACAGAGCATTATTGTAGTTTATTTATCATTTTTACGAAAGTTTTTCGATATATCAATCTATAGTGATTTCTGCTTTAAGGTGTGATTCAAGCCAAAGAGTTTCAAATTTATTATACGTATTATTCATTTAGATAACAGTAAATGAGAATTAATTGAACTCTTTCTAATCATCGTTCTAGCACGTTTATACAAATTTCTACTTCTTTTCAGGATTATAATTATCATTGTATAGTCCAGTCCCTTTCGAATCTCCTAGCCACGGATATTTATTGGGGCATTCCCTACATGTTTCTAAATACCTGTAAATATATTTGTTATTAATATCGTCACAAAAATTCTTAGATATACCTTTTGTATATCATTAATTACTTACCTAGTAGTAGTAAAATTAGATTCTGTAGGTTTGAAATCTAAAGCACATTTATTCGCGTTGTTACATGGCGGTCCAGGAATATTTTCTTTCTTTTTACATGACCATCCCTCATAATTGTTCAAAGATTTAATTGGTTTCGGATCAGTCATCCATGTAAGTGCTTGCGTGGCTGTTACAAAGTACACGTCAGGTCTGTAAACGTACGGCATATGGTTATACAATTACAATTTTAGATGATGCTCCATTAAGCGGAAGATTAACATGTTCGTTGTACAAGCTTTGATCGTAGACTTTAACTCTTCGATAGTCGCACGTACTAGATATCAACGGAGATATCACCGTAAATATCAAAGAGAGTATTTTCATATTCTTAGTTATCCTCAGAAACATTCGTTACAAACTATTACCGAATTATGAATTTATATATAATACATAACTGATTATGTAACTTTTACTTACAATGTCACTGCCCAGTCAAGAAACTTCGATAGACCTCGTTCAAGTTCCTTTATTTGGAACCAGTTTGTGTGGAAAGGCATCATGTACGGCGCTCTGTTTTGTTCATAGTATCGATTGAAATCTTCTTGTAGCCATTCAAAGACTTCTTCAGGATCATGATTGTGAAGTACACATTGATCCAAATAAGGACAATGCCCTCCTTCGTAGCTTTCGACGTAATGTGCATTTAATGGCAATTCCCACACACCTGAAAATAATTGAAATATTTTCCTGTTAAATTACATTCCGGATTTGGTGGATTTAACGTCAATCAGCCGGTGTATTCTGACTCATTCACATCAAATGTAAATAAAATTCTCACAAACCTTGGAACGATTTAGTGGGGCACGTTCCCGCTTTACATTCATGCGGAATCTTATAATCGAGAGTATATGGCCAAATTGGTACTTTTAATGGTGAAATTCCAATACTGCTGTCATATATGTATCCAAAGTCTTGCAGCACTTTGTATTGAGTATTCCGTCCTGGTTTCAAGTACGGTGCTCTCATACCAACAACTTCGCTCCTCGTGATGTTGCTAAAATGCGTCATTATCTCTCGCATTCCTATCATTTCTCCCACCCATTCTTCGTATCCTTTATCTTCCAAACCCTTTTGCAGTCTAAATATCATCGATTATGAGTAACGTGATACTTACATAACTACATACATACACTGCCGGTCATAAGTCCAGTGCTAATTGTCGTTACGTTGTTCGCACGTATGGAGCTACCACTCTGCCAAACTTCATTAAAATCGATTAGAATCACATCTCAGACTTCCTCGTAAGTATTCTAAGACTTACGACCGGCAGTGTACTTTATCGATATCGATACTCACGATATTGTTTCTGTAGCAATTTCATGCCCATCGTGTGCTAAACTTTGTACCATATTGTAATTACAATATTCGTGTGAAATGAAGAAAGTACCTTTCAATGGGCAATTGTTTGGATTCAGTCTGTCAGTAGCAAATATTTTTTGGTAATGGTCGAAATTATTATGATTTATCGCTCCGTCGAATGTCATTATTATCATTTGGGGTGTCTGAAATCGATCAGCATCGCGCGAAAAATGTATTAATTTATATACGTATACTATGTATACATATGTATATACATGTATACAGGGTGTTCGGCCATCCCTGGGAAAAATTGTAATGGGAGATTTTAGAGATCAAAATAGTACGAAAATCAAGAATACCAATTTAAAGTTTCGCCCGTACTAAATTTTTTTCACGAATATGTGCAGGATTTCGGGTGTATGTCTATTCACCAAAAATGATTGTAATTGACCCCTGTAACCAAAAATAATTTTTCCAAAACGATTTCAAATTTTTTAATTTTGTTGAAAAATTCGTCCATCTACTCGAATTTTTTTCTCGAAAGTGCGTGGGATTTGGGGGGTATGTCAATTCACTAAAAATGACTGTAATTTACCTCTGTAACCAAAAATAATTTTTTTTAAACGATTTGAAATTTTTTTCACGTCGAAAAATTTCAGCACCTACCCCATTGTCGATTTTTCTTAAAAATTCGTTTTTGATTTTTAATAATTTTGTTTGGCGCCCAGAAAAAAGTTTCATTGAAATATATTCACTATTGTAGGAGTTATGACGTTTTAAAGATGCGCATGAAATTTTAGGGAAGCATTCCTTGGCCTCACATTAGATTTTCCGTAAGGAATTTTTTTCTCGAAAATACGTAGGATTTCGGGGGTATGTGTAATGACAAAAAATGATTGTAATTGATCCTTGGAAATAAAAATAATTTTTCTAGAACGATTTGAAATTTTTTAATTTTATTGAAAAATTTCTCCATCTACTCGAATTGTTTTCTTGAAAGTGAGTAGAATTTCGGGGGTATATGTGTTCACCAAAAATGACTGTAATTGACCTCCGCATCCAAAAATAATTTTTTTCAGAATAATTAGCAATTTTTTAGTTTAAGTTTTTAATACCTTGTTAGCGAAGCCTGAGTCAAGAAATTGATATTCTTGATTTTCGTCTTATTTTGGCCTCTAGAATCTCCCATTAAAATTTTTCCCAGAGGTGGCCGAACACCCTGTATAAAATGTAAGTATATATGTATATGTATACCTCGTCTGGGTGAATACCACCAGGAATTATTGTACCGTCCCTCGAGCAATAGCAGTATGGTAACTGACAATTTGAGGTATCACATTTCTCTGCTAAATCCGTTGGTGGTTCCGTCACTGGCGGCGGGGCTAAAATTCGACAAATTTCGATTAATACAAAACCGACGAGGCTGCAGCGCGTAGGCAATGTTTAAAAAAAAAAAATCTTTACTCGTGGCGATGGGCCCGCATCGAGCTTCATTTTTGAAGGTGCAAAACTTGCTGATGTCGTCGAAGTGTAACCCTGAGGGACACCTGTTTAGATACGGGTATCCATCGACACACTGTTGAAATTATATTAAAAATTATTTGCACAGGATGTTCCAGCATCGGCGGATACAACCGAGGAGGGGGCGATTCTACCATGGATACCACCGATGCTGGGACACCCTGTATAAAATAAAATAACGTTTCATTTAAAATTAATTACCTGGTAAAACCTTCTACACGTTGCTGGATCGGCGAAGTTACCGTTGCCTTGACCTTCCGGGCACGTGAATTCCTCATCTTTTTTCTCTTCATCCTTCTTAGCATTTTTTTGCCCGTAGACTAGAAAATAAATTACATACGAATTAATTGTACCTTTTTCCCCTTTCGCATATTATAAAAAAAAAACCCGTATTTAAACAGTTCTAAGCTGTAATATTATCTAAAGAATGGGTTTAAAGATATTCCAGAACATAATATATCCGTATCTTTGCTGAGAATAAAACAGTCTGTGGGAAATATATATAAAATAAGCGGAGCCATCGAGGATTAGAATTCCAGCAAAAGGTCAAGGTTGAAGACTGCTCGAACACGCTAACGCGTTCGTATATTTATGCCCCATGCGGACCGAATATTTAATTATTCACATTCTACTTTTCTTGCATTCTTTCCGTTGACTCCTATTACAGCTCTAAAGAAATAGTATCTAATCTTTGCTCGATCGTTTATACGGTAAAATATTTTTATTTAGCGATGCCGTAATTAATTAAAGATTCGTATCTTGTTACGAAGAAACTGGACAAAGCAGAAACGCGGAATGTATGTACGCGTGTACACAGAAAGCTGCAAATGCTTGTAGAAAATGTCTGAGAGAAATTCCAAGGGTATCGCAGAAAAGACGGTCGAGAAAGCGAGAAAGGTGGTAGCAAGAATTCCATCGTCTAGAGACGCCATTGTGCGTCTATGTTGGGTGCTTGAGTGTCGATTGCGTTCGAGTTTATTTATATGTATTCAAGTGTCGATGGCATTTGAATTAGTCGGATCCATAATTCGTCGTATAAATGAGCACAAATGTGTCTGGACTTGCTTGTAAAATAATATCTAGACTGCGGATGTTTATGCATTTATGGGAAATTTTAATCCTCAAAACACTACAGAATGCACTTAATACTAAAAAATATAAGAAATATTTAAAGTAAGATACGAATTATTATATTTAGGGGTTGAGACAGCCCTCTGCGAAGCTTCCGTTTCATTAATTCTATTAATAAAAATGTGAATTTGCATAAAGATCCGCAGTCTAATAATATCCATACTGTACGATTTTTGTCGCGGGTAATTGTATATTATTTGGGCCAATGGCAAGATCAAGGATCGGCATTTACTCACGCACCACTAACGCTGAAATGTAGAGACAGTTATTTCGTATATTTTTAAATACCTGGTACCGATAATCGTCTTGCGTGTGCATAAAATTTATTTACTCGACTAACTAACGAGCAAACGCACTCGAGTTTAACAGCTACCGGCATTAATTCCCGCATTCCTTTTCGTCAAAGCGAATACAGAATCTAGTCGAAGTTTATTAATCTTCGTTTTGGGGGACCAGAAATTTTCGCCCTATTTTTTTTTACCATTGATACATTTTTGAAGTCATTTATCGCCACATCAAATCCTACCACATAATATAAAAGTAATATAATTTTTTGTTATTTTTCTAGTTGTCCTTTGAGCGAATCCACCATCGTTATAACAACGTGACGTGCTCGAGACGATCGTGTTCGGTAATCATGAGACGAATTCGTAATTACAGGGATATTTTTATTCCAAACGTATAGTAAAAAGGTGCCCTCTCCTCCCCCGCACAATACAATCATGTCCCTATCGTTTCAAGGTATGGTCGCTTTCAGAAAAGTATCTTACCATTCATTATCTTCGAAAGAAATTTCATAGCATTTTTTTATTCTGCAAAATTCATCGTCATTTCTCAATATTTATAATGCTGATCAAGTCGGTACGTTAAGAATAATTATAGACGAATATAAATTTTGTTCAATGGATAGGAAGATCGTATTTAAACATGTTGAAATCTTACGCAGATGATCTATGAGGAGAAAGTGGTATTCGCGAAGAAGCTTCCACCATGATTTTATAACAGTTAAGCATGATACAAGAGTCTTGAAACCAGTAACTTTTGAACACTAAACTGTTGTACGTACAAGTTGGGAACATGTATATAAACACTTTAACAAAATTCTCGATGAATTGTCAAATTTAATTTTCTTGAGAACGCAGCCCCGTATAAACAAATTTTATTCTATGCATGTGATTTATTTTTTTATAAATTCTCGTCCCCTGCACAGCCGTACGACGACCAACGGAACACCTTATATAATGAAAAAAGGAATTTCCAATTGCTTAGGAATAAATTAAAATTAATGTAACCAAATAGCTTCGTCCACAAATCTTGGGACCAGGAACTCTCTCTTCTTTTTTAGGGAGTGCCTTTGAAAAAGTTTCGAAATCGCTGATGTGAAAAGTGAATTGAATGTATTGGAATGAAAACCGTGTTTATTTACCGTTAATAAAGGAAATCTCGCGTGTATCGATGCCAAAAAGATTGGTTTAGCGGTAAAGTGGAAAGTGAAGGTACCGCTCTGGCAATGACGTTGTGGTAAATCGTTCAGGTGCAACATTTCCATCGGCCGTGTACCATGCACGCATACTTGTACCCGTGAATTCAGATCTCTATGAGTGTGGCGCACCGCACACCATATACGTAAACGACGAAACTTATGTAAACACCAGTGAAACCGCCATGGAACCTAATTTAACAGCGCTTCACCGCTGGTCGTTGCTTCCTCCATCTTCTCGTTTTTATCTGTGTCAACTTTATTTACGATGTGTCCGAACAGAGACGTACAGTAATGCATGGTAGCGTATTTTTTATGGAACCGAACGTCGAAAATTGCTCGACAACGGGCGGAAACGAGATGGAACTCGGTACTTTAAAAACGAAAGACATTAAGAAAAAAAGATTTTCAAAATTGTTACGATAAAAATTTGTCGAAAAACAAATCCTCTGATTGGTATTGCCAGGAATCAACGAAAATGGACGGTCAATTATGCAATTTGTTTAAGATAATATAATCATAAAATGTGATTTATTATGTTACGAGAATATTATAAGAATGAAGCGAATAATTTGCTAAAGAATTTCTTCTTAAGATATACAGAGTGATCCGTTTGAATCGACCAACTCGAAATCTTCGATTATATCCATTGATGCAACTCGTAATTCCCTACAGAAAAGTACCAAGCCACTTATGGCGAAAAATTGTGGGAGGTAAAATAACAAGCACGATATTATTGAAATATTCCAATTAAAATATCTTCTAAAGTAATGCTTTTTTGCCGCGGGTGGTTCCGCTAACTACATAATTCCATTTAAGAAAACAAAGTTGACCTTCAACGGTCAATAGTTTCGAAAATATTCGAGTGGATCAATTTAAATGGGCCACCCTGTATAGGAGAATGTCTGCAGAAGGTCGTTCCCTCGTTGTACCCACGTTTCCAGCGATTCAGCTTTGTGACACTGATCGGTTTGATAATTCATCTACCAAGGAATTGTTCAACAAAGAGATTGAAATTTTCGATTGAAGGTAACAAAGATGTTGAAGTAAAATGTTGTGACATCGATACGCGATACGTCGAAGAGTTTCATCATAAACGTCGTCTCTTTGAACTCTAACTTTCGTTAATAAACATTTTTATCGTTCGACGTTACAATTATATTAATCGTTACCGTCTCTATAACACGAATTAAAATGTGCAGTGCACGAGCAATAACGAATAAAAATGTTAGATTCGTTCGTAAACCAACTTTTGCCCAGGGCCTCGCTCGTCCGAATATTGGTTTAAAAATTTCGTTAACAAATCCTAATTTATAAATGAATTCATGAATGAAATGTACGTAGAAGTTGATTTACGAATCGATCGGAAATTTCTATTCGTTGCTCGTGAATAGAAATTTACCCAATTCTGTGTATCGTGTTGAGAATTCCAAGTTAATCGAACAGATTCATAAAGTTCATGCAACTTTCATATTCTGTCGTTACACATCAATACCGCGTATGGTTCGTTCGCGATCGCGAGCCACACGACTCGACGAGCGCCAATCCCGCAAAATCTTTTCAAACCTATTCATCCCGAATCGAAACGATGCAAAGATAAATTTCTCTTTTCCGATCGTTTCGCGACGAAAGATTGCGACAGGGGGCAAAGAAGAGGGTCGCTTCTTCGATCGACGCGCACGCAATCTCCTTCGATCTCTCTTCGGTGACAAGAGACGATTGGAAACGTGGATTCGTTTCCAGGCGTGCCTTCCTACCTGAGACGACCAAGACGGCGTAAAGAAGCAATTTCCTTCTCCGTGGCAACATAGTTCCCGTCGGTGTAAACGTTGGAGCAGTCTTCTCTGTTTGAATTTGATGATTCCTCGAACTTCACAGCACTTTTTGCGCACGAATGGATCAGCTTCGGGAGCCCGTGGTTCGCGAGGACTTGTAATCGGCGGTAACACTTGGTGAACCTACTCTCGCAACACTGACTTACGAGGGGTTCGCCAGCAATACCTTCTGTCGTGACTACGGGACTCGGAAACCGGACGGTAGGAACCGTTCTTAGCTCATTGGCAGTGATGCCAGACGGAGCCCTCGCCTTCATTGGTTGACCACTTTCTCGAGAAATCTTGGCTTGGCTTTTATTTGCGTTAGAACGCGCGCACGGTTCCGTGTAAAGTCTTCTGAAAGCTGAAAGTTTTTTTTTTTATACGTTTCTTCGTCGATCCTTGCGATCATTTAACTCTTTGCAGTTACGAGACAATTCTGATTAATTCGGTTCCAACCAGGTCCAGCGCGTAAAATGTTTTAGGCGCACGCAATTCAACTGTTTCCATTAGAATCTTACAAAACGTTTTATTCGTCCGCGAAATAAACGATTATACAAACGTGTAGAAGAAATAATTGTTATAAAGCGCATAATTATTTAGCAACGGTAGACCGTCAGAAAATGTGTAAGAACGAAAGTTTCATAACTCGATTTTGGTCATTTGTGGCCCCCTTTTTCGTTTCTCCTTCTTCGACGACCTCTTTGTTTTCGTTTCCCTTTTGTTTCCGTCTCGAGACTCGGCCAACCGCCGATAAGGATTGATATATCCTGGTTCACGTTCCGTGATACGAAGTTCTTGACTCATTAGCTTAATTATATCGAGACTTTCCTGATCCAACAGATACCTAGTACGGTTCGTAAAATTTAAGGACCAGTCTATGATCTGATTCCACTTCTCTTGCTTCTTCAATATACGATGCATTACGTGAGGAAAATGGAGGACAATGTCGCCAAAAAGCAGGGTGTTTTCTAACACACCTAATATTGCTGGAAAAATGCACAAGATGTAAATAAATGATAAATACAGGGCTTAATTTTCCAACCTATGCTTTGGGTGTAGCGAAACTAAATGAATTTTGTACTTTTTTAAATAAACAAAGTGTTATTAAAATCTGTATAAAATTACCGCTTTGTATAGTAAAGTTTTGTGATAAAGATTTACGATCGGGATCGAAGTCTGCTCTCTCGATCATTTCCTTATTCGTTTCTATCGTGTCGATCATATTTTCACCGAGAATCATTATCATCTTGTATAAACGTTCGTAGTTATCTATTTTCTCGAGACGTTTCACTGCGTGTGCGTGATCCATACGTTGATGTTTGAATGATTTTTTGACTAATGAAATCTCAGTTAAGGAACGTTCGTAAACATAATCGTATAGCGAAACAACAATATATTAACTAAAAAAATAATGTCTTTTATCGATTTTGAGAACAAATAATTCAAAGAGATACTCTTATATTGCCGAATTCCAAGTTATCAAAGATTATTCATTATTTACTAAACAATGATATGATGAATTATGACTGTCCGTTTACGTCAATGTTGACTTCCAGATCATTCTAGTTATCCTTGTGCATAACGAACAGAAGACTAGAACGAAAAAATGATGACGAATACTACACAATGGAGCAGAAATTCTGCTGTAACATAAATTTTCGTATTTGTATAATTTTAAGTGTACACGATGTTGATTTCGAATTATCATGTTTTCAATGGATACATAATTCTTCGTGGACCGCCTTCACCTGCGGTTCTTCGTCGATTCGCTGATCCTCGGTCATTAAAGATACTTGTTGCACTTGCGCAGTGCATATCAATACTGATACGACTACAATGTAAACGAATACGCGTGGCATTTCGTCAGATTGAGAAACGTTTGAAATAAAAAAGAAAGAAACGATATATCGACAGAAAATAATCATACGTCGAAGGAAGAAGCGACTCTTACATCCTTTCAGAAAATAATTGTACAATTTCGATCAGCATTTAACAGGCAAAGCTAAACTGAAACCACGAGTTTTCGACCGTAATATCTTTACGACACTGCTGCCACCTGCAAATTGTGTGTAATATCGAATGTATCAACTTCGGCGACAATTTACTTGAAAATAATTAAGAGACGTGTTACGATTAAAGTATAATTATGTGATGTGTAAGAAGCATTTAAGTTGCAATGAGTGTATAAGTTTCAAAATTTTTCATCGACATTGTTTGTGACAAACCTTACAGGTGTATATGCAAACGCGATAACAGTATTTGATTCCAGTAATGGCATGATCGTATTAAGTGCAAAAGGCTTAATTCGTACTACGTACATATGGCAGTGATTTAATTTGATATGACAATAATATAAGTTTGCGTAACATCTAAATAATATATTTAATTACTTTCGTAATCTGAGTCTCGTGTCCGGCAACAAATATGGCAGCGACAAATGATACAAATCTCGATGTAAGTATATGTAATATACTTTATATACGATCATCGTAAGCCGTATTCTGAAACCATACATGTCCTATGAAATGATATCAAATTTATTGTGTACACTTTGCTGTCCTTAACTCGCTGCAATTGATTTGATGGGAACCTTTTTATTTCAAGTTTAAGGTTACAATGGAATATGCTGACCCACAAAATGTTGAGGGTGAAATGACAGTAGGCTCTAAACAGAAATCAAATCTTGGGGAACCTGAATTCAATACCTTAGACGAACCAATCAGAGATACAATTGTAAGTTTACATAGTTAAGGAATTATTCTTATAGTCTGTGAAATGGATATAGTTAATTTATAAATTAAATAAAGCATGAATTTATGGAATTGAAAATCAAAGAACTGTTATTAAAAATTTGGATGAAACTTTCAGAATTGTTAATGCTGTAAGAAAAATATTAAATTAATTATATTAACAATATTTCTTACAGCTTAGAGATGTTCGAGCAGTGGGCAAGAAGTTTTTTCATGTTTTATATCCCGTAGAGAAGAAAAGCTTATTAAAAGAATGTTAGTATATGAAATTTTCTCTATATACCATTTTACATGGTTCATTATTTTGTTATAACAAAAAATATTTCTAATTTTAGGGGATCTTTGGGGACCATTAGTATTATGTACATTCATGGCAATGTAAGTATAGTACATTTAGATTTTTTGAAATGTAACATATTTCATAGTTATAATTGTAAGGTTCCTATTACTATTTCAGGATATTGCAAGGTTCTTCTGATACAGCAGATAGTTCAAACGATGGAGGACCAGAATTTGCTGAGGTTTTTGTAATTGTATGGATTGGATCTATGGTTGTTACGTTAAACTCCAAATTATTGGGTGGTAATATGTAAGTAATTATAATAATTAAAGAGTATGTTTAAATTTTAATATTTTTCTATTTAGTGTTGACAAATATTATACAATATTGCATGTTCAATGTACATGAAATTGTAAATCAAAAAATGTTATATTTTATTTCTGGTCTGTCTTAATGTGTTATAGATCCTTCTTCCAAAGTATTTGCGTCTTAGGATACTGCTTATTGCCGACCGCCATTGCTCTAATTTTATGTAGAATTATATTAATGGCAGAACAGACTACTTTCCTGTTTAGTCTAAGGTTTGTTATTTCTAAGATCGGATTCGCATGGGCAACATATGGTTAGTATCTGTTTATTTCGTTGTATATTGTAAATCCTTCATTCTGCATTTACAAGCATGATTGTGTACAATCATATTTTAGCATCAATGGCATTCCTTGGTGACAGTCAACCCGTAGGGCGGAAAGCTCTAGCCGTATATCCAATATTTTTATTCTACTTTGTAATTTCATGGCTGGTTATATCTCACACTACATAAGATAAAATATAAATCGTTTACAATAATAAAGACTGTACATTACTCCGTGTCTGTACACAAAGTGACGAAAAAATTGCAATTGTAGTCTGCATTGTATTTTGTAATTATCGAAATCGAAGTATAATGTCTCGTATTAAGTTTTCTGTAGATAACATTTATTATTATCGTAGATGCATACGTTATTTATTACTATGCACTTTAGAGAATCACCAGTTTATATGTCAATTACAATTATCTATATGAAAAATATATACATATATGAGTATAGGATATAAAGTAATGAATAATACTTAGGTAAATTATTATCAGATTGTTATATATTTATACAGAAGCTTGATAAGGAGAATTAGTCAATGTGATACAGAAAATAATTTCTATTTCATTGATTTAGAATTTTAATCGTTCAATGTGTATAATCTTCCATAATATTTTTATACAGCTTAAGAGGTTACAGCAATTGTTAGCAGGTAACTCTTTCGCATGCTGACATTCCTATCAATACATTTATTTTATTTAAGTTACTGAAGTCGTTAAGAGTTAAATCATTAAGATTTAAATAGCATTGAATCACACTATTTGTACTTTTTACACATATATTGTGTGCATAATATTTTGTAAAGTTAAAATCAAACATTAAATAAAATGCATCGTTTTTCGTAATGTGGGATGAATTCCTTTCTCTTTACTACGAAATTCACATGTGTGAAAAATATCTTTCTAATTTTTTTAGGAGAATTTTGCTATCACAGTGACTAGGATACGCGCTTAAAGACTTTTGTACTGCGATGTAACTTGTCTGAAGGTCTCCAACCTACGAAATTTTAAATAATAGAAATTCGGTATTAGATAAAAAAAAAACAGACTATATTATAATACGTAATATATTACATCGTATGCCAAGTAAGCGCTATTAAAGTGGGGCTCATAAATAAAATTAGCAATATTAGCTGCAGCGTGAAAATACGTTCGCGCTGCTGTTAGGTTTCCATTTCGTATTTTTATGACTCCAAGATTATTATATGCCAAAGCATGTCTATTATCGCTTATAATAGCCAGTTTTAAACATTCTTCCGCCATTGTTATATCGCCTACAGTCTGAAATTATATCTAAATTAACGTTTCACCGAAGAATTGGTTGGGATCGCTGTTAAATGCTCCAAAAATACTTGTATACATACAAGAGCAATATGAGAAACATTATACCATACATCTGCTACATTTTCATCGGTAGATAAATTGAGTGCCCTCTCGAAGCACGATACAACGTGATCGTATTGTTGAGAATAAAAGCAACATAATCCAAGATTATTGAATAATTCGACGTTGTATACACCCATTTGTAACAATCGCCTGTGGTGGATAACACGATAAAGTGTTGCAATTTAAGTAACTTTCAACTACTATATTTATATTCATGATTACCTATAATACCGCAATGCCAATTCTGGTTGATCGTTATAAAAATGGTGCATCCCAATACTAGCTATCGCTTCTGTATGCGAAGCATCTTCCTGTGCAATGATTTTATAATATTTTAACGACATGCTTGCGTTATTCAGACCATCGAATATACGTCCCATTTCAGTGAGGATATTGACATCATTAGGAAAATATTCAAGGCCTTTCTTACATACGTCCAAACCAGCCAATGGCTGATCCAATCTAACATAAACTCTAACTAGCCTTAAGACCGTCTCAATAGTTTTACAATCTTTCAATGCCGATTTAAACTGCTGTTCTGCATCTCTTATCAATCCTAAACTGTAATAACATTTTCCAAGTTGTACTTTCCACCACCAGTCTTTGTATTGACAGACTTGCGTGGCTTGAACTGCTAAATCTAATGCCTATGCATAGTATTATGACAATTCATATTAAAAATAAAATTTATAATATTTTTAATGAAATTATAGAATTTATATACTTACATATCTTACATCGTGTTCATGATAATATATATATTCGAATAATGGTTTTGCAACACTGGGTTTACTGGCGTACTTAGAAATATTTAAACGCGATAGTTGTATAAAAGGTCCTCCAGGCTCTGTTAACATAGATGCTGTACCTAATCTGTGCAATGTATATTAATTGAATTTTCATTTTCTACTTGAATAATTACCAAACTAATTCCCTGTAATAAGTATACCTAACGCTTCGACCAGAACTTGCTGTAATTGGTCTGGCAGTCATAGCAGTTCTTGGTGTTCTTAATGTTTGTTCCACCGATTGAGACATTGCTGATTGAGTAGCTGGTCTTACAACTCCCGTCAGTGGCCTACCTATACGATGCATTGTCTTTTTAAATTCATATTTATTTTATAATCCCTACTAAGAGTTTCAAGTTGTACACAAGTTTTAAGACCAAACCTGATTGTGTTTTCGGTCGTAAGTATTGCCCTAGATGAGCAGTACCAGGATTTTTTAAGGATGTTCCTGGTCTAGGCATAGAAGATATTGTATAATTATCTAATAGACTTTCAGCGATTCCTTCTTCTTCTCCTTCAATATCGTCTATGTATACTTGTAACGTTAAGGCACGCATTTTTAACACCCAGATCGCCTACAATGGAGAATATCATATTTTAATAAGAAATAGATGGAAAGTGACTATTGTAAATTAACGAGAAATATATTTATACCTGATCCAATGGTGTTTTTCTTAGTAAATCTGTACATATTGTTGCACATTCTTCATACTTCCCTCTACTGAAGAAACTTAAAGCTTTAAACAGCTCCATAGTTTCATGGAAAATTTAACAGTAACTAGTTATAAAAATTGACTAAGTTATACGAATAAAACGAGTGTTTCAAGGGACCATGCTATAGTATCTTTGTATAGCTAGCTATGCAGTAGATAAACGAATTTTCCATGCATGAAGTTATTGATTATTTCACTTATAACTATCTGTACAAACTAAGGGTAGATCAGCAGATATTTCGCTCGTATATTTTACAAATGCGTATAAACATGATAGTAAAAATAAATGAAATAGGAAATAACTTTAAAATGCTATACTTCTATTAATTATTTAATATTTATTAAACAAATTACTGAAACTTATTACATAATATGGTTACTTTTCGCAATAATAAATTCGATTTTGTAAATAACAAAGCACTATCTGTGTTTTAATTAACCTTATTGTATGTATGTTTCTGTAATTTTGCAGTATATTTATTTCATCTTCTTTTATGTTATTTTTATATAAATTACAATTGATATTGCAAACAATGGAAAATTTTGATATTGATGACCCAAGAAGGTTCATATATTTGTTAAAATTAATTACATTTTGTATCATTCATATATATTTCTTATTTAGCATTCAACAAGCTTTCGACGATTTCTTTGGGAAAAAGAGTATAGAGGAGCAATGTACAGAAGAATCCTTGATACATCTACACGAAGCATTTTTGGTACATGGGCGACTAATTAGTTTGCCAAAAATGTTACTTAACTACTACATTAATTCATAATGTTGGTTTATAGACTTCGGATAATGAAGAAATGAACATTTCTCAATTGTATGATGTTTTTAAAAATATATTACACATTAACTTACCGAATGACGAATTTGAAATATTATTTAAGAAAGTAAGAGCGTAAGAGAAATAACTATTATTTTATCCGCATAATTAATATGCTTTTATTTACCAATTACAGATGAACTTCAAGAGAGACGGAAATATTACATGGAATGAATTTATTTCTTATTTATTAGTAGAGTTTCAGAAAAAGGATACTGCTTTGCAATGGCAGATATTGAAATCTCCAATAACAGGCACCCCCCAACTTCTAAAATCACATCACCGTACACCTATACATAAAATAATCTTTTGCCCTGAAGTTTTGCCTGTATAAACAAAAATATATTTAATAAACTTACCAACATTTCGAAATATTATTTTTTATATATCTTTAGGATAGAACTATAGGTTTCCAAAGAGGATGTTACTTAACAGTGACTAAAGATGGAATCATCAATTACTGGTCGTTGGATTTAGAATATGAACGTACCGTACAATCAGTGAATCGTTAGTATTTTTAATACCTAACGTACGTATCTGTATTTTTTCTTTTAAATTGCTATCATTCCTGCCATTGTAGCTTATTTAAGAGTACAACAAACATTGATAACCGACACGATTGTAATGCCAGATGTGCAAGTAGTGTGTACTAGTTCTACCGAATGTGATTTGAGATTTTACGATACCGTGGCAAAAAAATTTGATCTACGAGTGATGGTTTGTTATGTTTTTGATGAACATTGGGTATTTTAATAAATAACGTTTCTTGTATATCAAATAATGAACAGATCTCAGGCTTAGAGAAAGCAGTCACTTGTATGGATTACTACTTCAATAAAAACATCAAAGAGGATTCGTATATTGTACTTGGAGATATGAGTGGATCTATTAAAGTTATATCTTTCTCTCCTATAGATAGAGGACCATTTAGACAAGAACCTCAGCGTGATACTTTGTTTGTTCGCTATGAATCCGTTGTTAAGGTAAATAATATATATTTATGATTGCTTTATGCAATTTCTGAAACTTTAATACAGTTAAAAAAATGTGTTACAGGGTGAATTACAAGGGATGAAAGTTACAGAGTTCAAGGAAATGCATACAGACTGGGTAAAACAAGTAGCATATTATGATAGTCTCAAAGCTTTCGTGTCTAGCAGCAGATGCGGCAGTTGTTCCCTTTTAATTAGTGACATTACAGGAACAAGACTTCAATACAAATTCCAAGTTAATATGGGAATAACTTGTTTTATAGTTTGCGAGGGTAGTTTCAATAGAATGAGGCTTTATTTTAATTTCGATCTGTTTATTTAAACTTTACGAGTAATATGAATCTTTAGAAAGTCAAATGTTGGTCACTGGTGGACCAGATTGTATAGTTCGGGTTTGGAATCCTTTCGTGACAAGACGAGCAAACAATACTTTTCAGGGACACCTTGCAGCTATTTGCGCCTTAGTGACTCAAAATGCTGGCAATCGCGTATATTCGCTGTCAAAGGATCGTTGCGTTAAAGTCTGGGATGTATTGGCTCAATCTTGTATTCAGGTTTTGATAATAATTTTGATAAAACATATACAGAGTATTCAGCCACCTCTGGGAAAAATTTTAATGGGAGGTTCCAGTGGCCAAAATAAGACGAAAATTAAGAATGCCAATTTGTTGATCGAGGCTTCGTTAAAAAGTTATTAACGTTTAAAGTTCCGCCTGTGGTTCTCACTCAGCATGGGAAACTCTACTTGCTGACGTATCGACAGCCTGACAGTTTCCTGAATGAGAATCACTAGGACTGACCTGTCTCAACCTATCGCGTGCAGCGGAACTTTAAACGTTAATAACTTTTTAACGAAGCCTCAATCAACAAATTGGTACTCTTGATTTTCGTCTTATTTTGGCCTCTAGAATCTTCCATTAAAATTTTTCCCAGAGGTAGCCGTGTATACAGCCTGTATAGACATTACTTCAAACAATGTCTTAACTCATTTTATTATATCACTTTATATAGACATATAATGGTCTTCCTAGTGAATTAGGTGAACATACATCGATGACCATAGTTTACAATTCATTGAATCACAAGATGATCATTGCTAGTATGATTATTGCTGTGATCATTTGCGATCCTGTAATCAACGAAGAAGTATCTGATGGTTTTACACACACCAAATCTGTTAGCTGTGTTTTATACAATCATCTTTACAAAGTGGTACTTATTCATATACTTTATGTATACTTTAGATTGTAATTTTTAATTCATTCCAAATGTAGGTAGTTTCTACTGGATTAGATTCTTGTATAATAGTTTGGGATCCGTGGCTTGGAAATCGTTTATATTTAGTAACGCATGCACATAGCCAATTCTTGTATGGTCAGTATCATGACGTTGAGATAACTGCCGCTTGTTTCGACGAATCTGAACAATTGTTAGTGACAGGAGCCCGCGATGGTACACTAAAAATATGGAATTTTAATACAGGCATTTGTTTACGAAACATGGCAGTTGAAAGTAACTGGTACGTTACACGTGTAATTCGTAATCGAGACGTTGGGTAGAAAAAGTGCCGATACCTTAACATATTTATATTGGTACCTTGTAACACAGTGAAATAACAAGTTTAGCTTGGGTGGAAAATCGAATCTTGTCCAGCGGTTGGAACCGTCAAGTTATTGAATTTGCAACTTCCGATACAAACATATACAAAAAGAGTTGGGGAATGAGGCACACCGATGATATTCTTTGTTCAGCCATCTGGTATCCTCAAGTTTTAGCGACAGCTACTTATAACGGAGAAATAATACTTTGGAGATTGGAAACGGGTCAACCGTATCGGAAATACAAAGTAAACGATCCTATGTCTAGGTAAGGTATACATTATGAAACACAGTATAGTAAAATTTCTGTTTAAAATATAAATCTGTAAATGTAACATGATATAATTTTACGTTTAATATATTAATAATGTATTCGATATTCTGTAGATTTAACGTAAGATATGAGACGAACGAAAAAAACATTCAATCAAATAAATTTAATAAGGAAGAAAAATTTATTTTAAACAGGTAACAATATCGTTTACGCGTTATAATTATACTTATTTAAAGTAAGTAATGAAATACAAATATATACGTACGTAAGCTTTTATGCATAGACAAGATTCCACGGTTTCTAAACACCAGGAATCAGCATTAAACATTATACGAATCGTCGCTGTTCGTGCTATGATATTTTTAAGTACACGACCAACTGGACCGACTATTGGAACATTATTAGTTTCCCTCGATTCGGGTTTGATACAAGTTTGGAGTCATCATCCCGGAGGCGGATTTTTACAAGCGTTTTCAGTTATTCATGCTGTCGGTGACTGTGTATTATCATTGACAACCGATCCTAAAGATCGTTTCCTTGTAACAGGTAAAAAAAGGAATATGATATGCTTATGCTTAAGTTTACGTAATCGTAATTGCTTTATAGTATAGATATATCAAAAGACTTAAAGCTTAAAAAAAGAAAAAAGAACTTTCAGGGTTCGTTAGTTCTCATTAAAACTGTAACATCTTATCTAAAATTATCTAGGGCATAACACAGGATACATAAAAGTTTGGTATCTTGCAAATTACTTGATACCAGATCCTCCTAGAACGTGCATGCCTCTTTTGAGATTAGAATTCCCGTTTTTATGGAATGATAAAATTAATGGAAGAGCTAAGAGAGCAGTACGGGATCAGCCATTGCCACTTTTACTTTCTTCTGTACGCGGGCACGATAAAGCAGTCACATCTATTCAAATAATTCCCGATGCACGTATCGTTATTAGGTAATAAATACATCAACATCCCTAATACTGATTAGGATAATGAATTTTTCGTATTCATAACGGATGTCGTTATAAAAATATATTACGCATTTTTACTTTTACACTGCACAATTAATGGGCCGAACGACAGTTCTATTAAACATAATACGAAAAAATTAGTATCTCTGAAATCTTTAAATTTAGGTTCCACGAAGATCCCAGGTAGTTGTTAACCCCTTCCCGTACTTTAACGAGTCTGACTCGTGAGCAAATCACGATCGTGATTGAGTCTTAGTTCCTATGAGTACGCCACAAGAGCATCAGTCTGGTTTGTTTGCAGCGCGTTGACGCCTAGCGTTTGGGCCCGGATGTCGTCGAGCTAAATGGTACGGGAAGGGGTTAACTACCTGGATATTATAAAATGATGTTATACAATGTCTATTAAAAACGATAGAAACTTTTGCACAGCACTAATACAATAGCGTTATGATTATATTATTATCATTTTCAAGTGGTAGTGTAGACCACACGGTGCGCTTATGGACGTTGGGGGGACGTTATATATCTACCTTTGGAACGTTTAAAACATGGTCGCCAATTTTGCCTACAATTCCAGCATATAAGTATTTCCAAGATTATAAAATTCCGCCAGACATTAAAAGAGTCGCAAGTTCAACGACCATAAAGGTAAGTTCAACTACCATAAAGGTAGAAACTTTCGAAAATTGAACGAACTCTTCGTCAAATCGCATTAATATATAAATTCGAAAAAAGGTCTTAAAAGGTGGCATTAGAAAAATTAGAACCGAATCTGAGCTGGGTATATCGGATTTCGAAAAGGCTATAATTTCTGAACATCAACATCCCGAGATAGACGGAAGGAGACTTACTATTTCGGTTATGAGTAAATCAGTCTTGATGCTTTTCTTAGATTATCCTGTGTTGGATAGCTCTTTACCATACGTAAATATGCTTACAAACATGATTGATCGGAAGTAAATATTGAATGTTTTTCAATCAAAACAATTATTACAGATACCTATATACACGCATTTAAAACTAAGATCTTTGAAAAGTGTAAAAACACCAAAACTACCGCCGCTTCTGCAAAAACAAAAAGAATTAACGTAAGTCATTTGAATTTGTATTTATTCAATTGATATAAACATTTCATATGCTTCTATGTATTTTTACATTCAAATTATCAATTATTTACATACAAGATTAATACGTAAAATTAACTTTATACGTACACAAAATTATTCATAATAATTACTTAGCAGAAAACGCAATTGAAGATATATATTAAAATGTAAAAAGAAGGCGAATATCGTATGATGCATTCTAAAATATTTCGAGGACACAGAGAATACTTTCATCGACTTCGTCAAATAGATAAATGTTCCACGAGAAGCGACGTTATGTAAAATATCGAAGACGGATCGAATTGAATAAAATTTATTTTTCGTTGAAATAATTCATACCGGTATAATTACATGTGAAATTAGTATTAATTAATCGTATGACAATTCTCTCGGCCAGTGGCTAGCTCGTACATTACAAAAAATATATAAATAAGGAAGAACGGTAAAGTCTGACCGAAATTTGTAAAAAATAATAGCACTTATTCGCGTGCCACCTTAAGAAAAGCAGTCTTAACATTTTGCTAATATAATGTCAAATCAAATATTTCAAACGATAACATAACATCATTCCTATATCACGTATGTTAAATATGGTATTACAAGCAGTTTCATTATAAGTCACAACATGAAACTAATAGCATTGTATTCAGTAAAACTATACCTTTCATTCAGTTTCCATCATGGAGTATCGTGGCGGCGTTTTCCAAATTGCACTGGACGTACGCTTCAATCTCTTTCTGTCTATACCTTGGAACAATTCAGACAAGTCTGGTGTACACTTTTTACTGTCGAAAAATCTGAAAACTTCTTGATTAGGAATGTATCGTTGAATTGCTAGTTGAGTTCTGCGAACGTGTGCTGAAAAATATACAAAAAAAGAAGCATTTTACACATTATGTACAGCTTTAGTAATAACTAGTTTCAGCTTAGGTAAAATATTTTCATGGATTTGAAAGAGCTTTCAGTTTAAATATAGTAAACAGAATTTTATTTATGAGTATACAATATAAAACTATACTTACTTTGTGCCCAGTACGGAATTACATGTTTTGGTTTAGTTTCATCGTCTGAATAGTCTTCGTCGGGTTCACTATCCAAAATGTAATTTGTTGGGCCCTGATGTTTATTTTCATGTTTAGCCTGAAAAAAAAAACATTTAATTAATGCTAGTTTATTAATAAGGGAAAATTGCGCAAATATATTTGACAAATATGTCTAAACTTACTTGTGCCATAAGCATTTGGTTTTTAACTCTTATCGCTTCGGCAGCAGCTTGTTGCTGAATCCTTGTTTCGGCTTCCTTTCGCTTCTCAGCCTCTTGTTCCCGACGTCTTTGCTCAGCCAATAGTCGTTCCGCTTCTTCTTGTTCTTGCAAACGCTGTAAACGTTGTTGTTCTTCGTGTTTACGTCTTTCTTCTATTTCCTGCAATTTATTACGAACATATTACCGATATAAACGAACTAATAAATCAAGTGGGTAGTCTAAGATTCAAGATTTTTAAATTTGAACACGTACTTGAGCTCGTTGCAATTGGGCCATACGTTTCTTTTCCATTTCCTCGCGATGCTTTTCTTGCATTTGTTGCGCTAAACGCGCCCTCTCCTCCCTTTCTTTCTCAGCCTTCTGACGTTTCTCCAATTCCTGTTTCTCTTTCGCTTCTCTTGCCAGCTTATTTTTCAATTCCTTTTCTTTCCTTTTTCTGTACACAAAATACCACTTTTCGGTAATACGCATCTAAAATTAAATAGATCATGTGTTTAGTATTCACAAACGCCTTACTTTCTCTTTTCTTCTGTTTGAAGTCTCAGAGTTTCCTCTCGTTTCTTTCGAGCGTCCTCATCGTTCATTTTCCGTTTCTTCTCATCTATTTTCTCCGTTGAGTTACGTCTATTAACTGATTTCGCAGATTGAATAAAAGAATCCACTGATGTGATAATATTTGAACGTGTTGCACTTGAAGCCTTGGTTTGCTGAAATTGTAATAATAAGCATTGATATTGAAACAAATATTAAATTTTAAAGAATTCAATTATTTTTCAAACTTTATATCATTAAAATATTTCTTACATTTGTGTTAATTAGATTGTTTGCTGGAGTATGTGTAATACGATTGACAGACATCGGCAAATGAAGTTTCGTTTTCCCTAGTGGAGTCGTTTTTTGTACGTACTTTTGGTTCACTTTTTCAATAGGCACAACTTTATTAGTTTTTTGCGCGCTTGGCACTTTATTCTAAAAAAATTAAAATTTATAATAATTAATATTAATTAACTTTCTACCCACAGTGGTATTCGCGAATAATTAGTCTGTAAGTATCGTATGCGTTATCTGATAGAAATATTTTAATTACCTCTTTAGATTCATCTGTTTCCTTAACATGTTTTGCTAACGAGATTTTTTTAGCTTTTGCAAGCGATTTCCGTGCTAATTTTTGAGCAATCGTCTTATCCATATTCTTACTATTTTCTAAGGCTTCGGCTTGTGCGGCAGCTATAGCTCGTGTTTTTGTTCTTGTCAATCTAGTTGGTACGTCGATTTCAACGGCAGGCTTCGGACTGCTTAGACCTACCTGCTCAAATGCTTCAACCCGTTTTCTTACAGATTCTTTGGCGTAAGGACTGAATAATGCGTTTAGTTTGTAATTGTTCCTTATTTCCTGAAGAATTGTAGTTGCACTCGCCTCCTTCAAAGTTGGTTTCGCAGGCGTATTGAAGACCTCATCCTCGCTCGACGATACATACTTTACTACAGGCCTCTGTCGTTTTTTATTTTCAAGCCTAATTTGCGGCCTGGATTTCTTTATCTCAGGCGACGAATCATCGTCTGTGATTAATTCGTTAATTTCTGCATTTGTCAATGCTTCTTTTCGTAGATGCATCCTGTCCTGCAGGGATTTTGAAGAAGGCGATGGAAGTTTGCACGTTTTGGATAATTTAGATTCGGGCATCGGTTGATTTGGCTTTTGTTCATTGTACCTCGCTATACCATTATTATTGCCTTTATTAATTGTTACAGTTTCATTCAATTTAATCGCTGACAAAGGTTCCAAAACGACTGTTGCATTCATCATTTTGTGCATAGTAACTGTAGTATTCAAATTCATTGTGGAGTTCATGATAGGTACACATTTTTCAATCGCGTCCTCGTACATAGAATGTTCTTCCATAACTCCTATTTTAGGCGCAATGACTGTGTCATTAATAGTATTAGGTTCCTTGGTACTCGAATCATAGTTTTGCGTAAGTGTTCTCTTTCTATTTGAGGAACACATCATTGTCAAAGACTTCCTTAATGTTTCATTTTTATCTTGATGTGTTGCAATCTCTTTTGTAGAAAACTTATCTTCCAAGTTTGTTTCCTCGTTTTTCTTTGTAGAACTTGCTCTGAATGTATTTTCTTCTATTTTAGAATACTTGTTAGGACCTTGACTGTTATCTTCATCTGAGCTACTTCTGGCAGACTTCTTTCTCTTACTTTGGTTCTGGTTTGTATTCTAAAAAATTCAGAAAACTGTTTAATATTGCAAATTGTTCAATGCTTTTACTATAATACAAATACAGGAAATGACAAAAATGAGATATATACTATGCCTATCACATATAGATAATTGAAATAATATGATACAAACCTTCGTATTAGAAACATCCTCATCAGAACTTGATGGTCTTCGTAGTTTCATTATACGTGTCATTGATTGCTGTTTCCTAATATTATCTGCAGCTTTCTTAGAAGCTTGCCTTTTAGAACGACCATTGGTCATTTCTGTCATATTTCCATTTTCTTTTTCCTCTGCACCATCTATACTTTTCCCTTTGATGCTCCTTGTGGCAGAGCCATATATTGTGCAATCAATAATATCATCTTCTGGGATAGTTTCAATACGTTGTATTTCTTTTTTCTTAGGTACTTTGGGTGTTTTTGTTATTAAGGGACCGGATATTGATTGTGGTATTTGAGTAAGCAAAGCATGCAGATATTCTATCGTATCATCTAGATTTTCATCGATGAATTCCTTAGCTTCTGTACAACGATTGCTGATACTTATCATATCATTGACAATCATTGTTTTTATTTTTGCCTTCGATTTATTAGTCATACTGAAAATCTAAAAAAACATTCGATATATTCCTAGCAAACAGCCCGTTCAACGATCCGGGTGAGTTATACGTCATTCGAATCGTCTATTCAGTACATTATTATTTTTATAAACTTGTCGTAAAGTTACAGTAAAAAAGTAAAGTTAGGTATATTTTGACAGATTCACAGGTGGAAACAAGTGACTGTCGTTACTGTGTTCAAAATACCAGGTAGTCAAATGCTAATTTGTTAAACATTTATTGAATGAAATTTCAGCTATTTCTGCTAATATTTCATTGAATAAATCACCATTACCCATAAACACTGTCAGAGGAGGGTGGCAACATTTTTTACTGTTGCTGCATGTACTGTTTACTTATAAGTACTGTCTGAGTAGGGGTGTTAATTGTTTGCAGCACATACTGTCTACCTGACCAACTCATGCAAAGTTTCTGCGTAAAAAACTGATTTTTATGCATACACGTTCTACAAATTCCCATTTGACAATGTAGCATTATCAAATTAGATCAATCATTTATAATTTGTAACATGAACATAGCAACGATAGTCACTTGTTTCTACCTGTGCACCTGTCAAAAAATGTACTTAACCTTACTTTTTTTACTGTAACTTTACGAGCAGTTTATAAAAAAATAACGAATTTTCGCAGATAATGAAATGCATATCAATAATTTACTGAATTAGACGAATCGAATGACGTATAACTCACCCTGATCGTTGAACGGGCCGTTTGTTAGGAATGTTCCAAACATTCATACTTATAATATAAAAGCATATAAGAAAAAGTTTTTTGCAAAAAATTAAGTCGCGTGTACTCTGTACACGTACACGGCCACTTGCAGGTTAATAAAATCAATTCGTTCACTTACCTTTTGTATATATAATGTAATTAGTGAAATGTCAGGAATAAGTTCTACAAGAAAAATACATAAACTACACGATTAATATGTTTCAATAACACAAAGCGCGAAGAAAACAAAAACTTTAACGACAATCTCCATTTCATGCCGTAGGCGGGACGATGCAAGTTTGGTCAGTGTATAACGTTTTTTCGGTTAAATTTGAATTTGTGGCGGATCGGCATCAAACACATTCGACGCGCCATCTAGTCTATTTAGTTCCTTAGTTATTCTGAGGTTGGTTATAGTTGTTGGCGATTCAATTCGATTCCTCGACTTTCCCCTGGTACCAATGGTACCAATGTATCGTCGATGCACTTATAGGGATGCGTAGGGATAAACGGGATTACCACTGGTAATCAGAATCATTTTGGCCTATGGTGCAGCAATACCAACCGTGAAGAAGAGAGTAATTTCAGTAATAGTAAAATCAAAGAACAGTTAAACAAAATGCGATGAAACGAACCTTCTATAATTATTGTTTTATACCGTGGCCTGCTTTGATTCTTCTAATAACAACGTGAAAAATATCCGAAAAGTTCCTACTTTTGCTATTTATGGTTATGTTCACTGTACATCTGGCTAATTTTAATACGTATATATGCTTTTGTACAGTGAACAGTGCTTTGCGAGTGGAATTATTAGGAATTTTGTAAATGACTTGGCACAACGCGATACTATTTTTATATATCTACCACGTCATCCAGTCGACACAGGAAAAGACGCTTTAACGGTAAAATATGTGTTCATTGAGACATTTTACTTCGTAATTCAACTGAAACATGTCAGAGAGTAAGGTGGATGCGGAAATCGTGGGGAAGCAGTATACAAACGATGCAAGTCTTATTGATACAGTCGAAATCATTGACGTATTTACGTTCGACTTTAGTGATACTGATTGTTGGTGAGTAGTATTATTGTAATCTTTAGTTTACTATACAGTTTTTTGATCGATGCTAATTGGTCTTCAAATGTCATTCATGCCCCTAACTGATCTTAATTCCTTTTCAAGGTTCACTGGTTCTGTGCATCTATTTATTACACATATATATGTTTAAACTGTTAAATTATTTTAAAATTATTTTATACTAAACCTTGTAATGTAAAAGTTTATATTAACTATTATTTTTTTGTTAGGTTATACATACCACCAGAGTATCAAACACAAACCACAGTTCAGAATTTACATGCCTGGTTGAGAAGTGAACCTGACCTAATTTTATCAGGTATTGATAATGTTAATTAATTATCGTTCAATGAATTTTATGTAATTTTTTAATACAAATTTCAAACATAATATTTCTTCAGGTAATAGGAGATCTATTGACACAAGAACATTCACAAGACCTAAAAAACGGTCTAGTAGAATTAATTTTGAATCTATTCTTGAAAATTTGTCTCCAACCGTGGCTAATACATGGAAAACTTCATGCCTAAATTGTTTTTCAAATATAGAAGAAGATGTAAGTTTATTTATGTGTTTGCTGCATATATTATACATGTATATTTATGATGTATACATTTAAGTGTTCTTTTTTTTTTATCTTAAAGTTGAGTAAACATTTAGATATACCTAATGCCAAAAAAGAGGAAACTATACCTCTTATGTTAAAAATGACACCTGTGACAAATCTTAGTCTTCTCTCTGATGAAACCATGGCAGGATCAGGTCAAGAAAGTATGGAAGTTTTCTTAAATATGTCTCGTTCAAAGGGAATTGATTCATTTATTAATTTGATGGAACCTGGACTCGGTGATCCTCTAATGAATGTTTCACAGCCTTCTGTTTTCTATTCATCTATCACTTCATTGCCTAGAGATGATTCTTTGCATAATGCTGAATATGTTAAAGAAGAGGAAACTATAAATTTGACTCATTTGAACGGCCATCAAGTTGATAGGCACAAGGATACTACAAATTTGAACATCAATGAAACTTTTTCAATGAATAATGATGTAGACAATAACAAAAGCTACTGTCTGTCTTCGGTAGAGAAAATATTTACAAATAAATCCAACATAAACAAACAAATGGAATTAAACGAAACGTATAAGACAGTTTCTAAAACACTTCTGCCATCAAGTTCAGATAAAATTAAACATGGTACAACTAATTTGTCTTCCACATTTGTAAATAAAGGTGATGAAAATACGAAATTATTACAATCCGAGAATAGCGCAGGGAAAGCTGATAATTCGCTCATTTTAGATGCTACATACTGTACAGCAGAAACTGCAAAAACAGACACAGATACATCTTTAATCGTTAAAAGCGATACGTGCGAAGATAAAAATCAAGCGTGCGATTTACAAAATAATGCAGTCTGCAGTGTTTCAGGAAATTTGATTGAACCTTCCATAGTTCCTGTAAATTGTAGTTTTTCATTCATGAATGATAATGCTTTAGACTCCACGTTCAAGCTGCCAATCGCTCTTGGCAATCAATCAACCCCTAAAAATTTAGATGCATTAAATTCTACATTTAAAATGAGTAATAAAGAACCAACGCGAGTATACAATACAGTCTTTGGTTCAAATTTCAAAGCACCTACATCGTTGAGAAAAGAATTATTGGCAGAAATACATAGAAGCGGTGATCATAAACTTGATTGTACATTTAATCATGCCAGTAATGAAGTTTGTGGTGAAAAGGCTAAGCAAGAAATAGTCCATGAAGTTCCTGATCAGAATATAAGGAACGAGATTCCTGTAGAAAATAAGTATAATACATACAAAAAGGAATCATCGGTTAACAAAACTAATACTCGGACTGAAATCGTGAGTGACAAAGGAGCCTGTATTCCAAGTTCACAAGACAAGAAGTATTACACGTTTACGAAGAAAAATAACGCTCATGGTGGAAAGACTGATATGGAAAATACGGAGTCTTCAAAGGACGTGGACACTACGTTCGTGAAGCCACTTCCAAAACTGCAAAAAAAAAAGCAACATATTCCACGGATGCTTTCAAAATTACCACAGTTTCTTCAAAAGTCTAATCCCAATCTTGTATGTAATTCCTTGAAAACTGTCAATATGACAGGGTGTATGAATCCATCCAGTATTGGATACATGAAAGGCTCGCAACCGAATATCGTACGAGACGTTGAGAAAAGTTTAGCAAATAAATTGTACTCCCTAGGAAAAATGAAAAGTGGTTCCGAGCAACGACTCCTGGAACTTAATACAGGTGTAGGAGAACTTCAAATGATGGGTGCTGGAGGATCTACAGAAAGTATCGAAAGTACACAAAGTGCTCATAGTGCGCCTGATTTAGATGATAGGCTTAGTACATGTTCGGATAGTAGTCACAATTCGTACACTGTGCAGCCAATGAATATCGAGCAATTGCATCAAATAGTACGGATGCAAGAAGAGAGTAAGTCAATACTTAAATATCACTGTTAATTATAAAATTTTGTAACTTTAATTAATCGTGTAAAACTTTTTAATGTCATCAGGCTTGAAACAAGATGCAATGCCGCAATTAAATAATCGAGTTCTGGAAAATAATTGGGTTGACATAGAAAAAGATTTACCTTCTCCTATTATGAAGAATGGCATCAATAGTTGTGAAAGTAATTCTAGTTCGCCATTGAGTACAGATTCTAATATGAAAACAAGCTCTCCAATACTAAGCCCTACCAGATCTAATCAATCAATAAATACTGATGGTAAGATAAAGTATATGTATAGTCTATAACATTTTACAAATTTTTATATTTTTTATCATATATGAATTTCTTACAATGTATTTTTTAAGATCATCCGATGGAACATGTATTAAAAGAACAGACTGAAACTGGCATAATGAACAAAACTGAAGTGAGTTTTTTTTATCTTTACGTATATAAGTTTTGAAAAAAATTATTGATTTTTACGATTGACATTAAATTACAGGTGTTTAATAAACCAACAATGAAAATTGAAAACAGAACGAGGCTGCGACAACCAACGAATTGGAACACTGGAAATAGAACTTCAAATACGATGAGTGCTATACCTAGACCACAGTCGCGTATACCAGGTCCCAGGTTTGTCAGACCAATCGTAAAGAATACCCAAGGTGATGTAAAGCGAGGCTATATGTAAAAATTCAGGCGGTACTAGTAATCAAACCAGAAATGTGTTTCTAAATAAGGCCCTTAATTTAATCCGTATTCATACAATCATTTGTATTAAAGGTGTTTAAATTATGTCCTTGGGGGAAGGGCACTTTTTGAATATGACAAAAGTTCAGTATTATTATACTTCCAAAATGTTAAAAGGTATAATTGAGACCACGTTCTCGATACTTTTTCTTTCCATTTGTTTACGTTTAAAGAGGACAATGACTTTAAAGATGAAATAATTTCCGCCAGATTGAATTCTATCCTAAAAAATAGTTGAAATTTTAAATGTTTTATAAGAAAATAGAATGCAATTTAATTGAAAAGATTGATTACGAAGTTACTAGAATATAATGATTATAATGGTTTTTTATATATTCAAACGGTATGTTTTAAAAAATTGATTTCTAAATGATTTTACTGAAAAAGAAGAACGCAGAAAATTGATGTTGTTGTTTGGACTGACAAGTAGCTCTCTAAATTATTATTCTTTATCTCATTTGTTACTTATATAGCGTATACGCTTGCATTTTGATTCTTGATTTGCAATAGTGTACTTGAACGTTATTCGGTACATTTGCAACGTGAAGCTATAGTTCTTATTACAAATGTAGATACATAAAAATAATTTTTTTACAAGTATATTGTTAAATACGACAAATGACATTGGTTTTCAACAAGAATGTACATATATGCGTAATGCATGTATTCCATTTGAAGGGTTAATGATATACCATTAATGTGCTGTGTATATACATATAGTAAACTTTTGTACAAACTATATGGTTTAAAAAATAGTGGAGAAGGTAAAGTAGACGGATATAAAAAATATTTAAGTATAGAAATGTATTCAGAGATAAGGTTGCATACATAGGTACTGCAGCGACGAATTTATAGTTTATACAAGGAAATTAGGAATAAATTTACAAGGAAAATATTAAAGCAATAAAAGTTCTTGAAAAGTAAAAGATGCAGATGGAGGAAAGTTAGTGAATCAAAATTTGTTTACATAAATTATTTATCTCCTTCAAAATACCGAAATGATACATAAAGTATGAAATTTGTATTAGAAACAACTACAAACAGGTTTTCAGAAGTATGAAAACTGGGATTTTGTAATAGGACAGTAGAAATTCTGAAACGCTGTTTTATAAAGAACTATGGGTAAAAATTTTTCATCCATTTTTATAAATATATATACTAGATACTATCTTTAAAAAAGAAGTATAATACAATATTTTTTAATGTAAATGGCCTATACAAAATTAGTTACACAGCAATTTATTGTACATTATTAATCCTACACAACATATTTGTACATTTTGAATCCTCTCAATCATAATTGTTTTATTGATCTGCAAGAAATATATTTTTAATTGTAAATTTTATATCAGCTTTTATATTCTAGAAATTTCTTAAATAATCTTAACATGCAAGAATTAATAAAACACTTTTATGATTTCAGAGATTCTAAAATTTTAAATTATAGTTACCAAAAGTTAATTACAAAATTGTTCGCATATCATAGAAAGGTTGATGTTAATTGTACTGTTAAGGATATAAACTTTTAGTAATGCCTACTCGTATGTTGAAGTAACAAGAAAGTAAGTTTTGTGCGCTGGCAATTAAGAATTCCGCTAAATACGTATGAAGATGTACATAAAATATCCAAGGCTGTAGATGTGCTCTGTGGTGAAACTCTACAGTGTCCTTCCATTAAGTAATGACAAATATAATTGATTGTAAATTAGGAAATACAGTTGAAAACGAAAGACTGGATCTGTGACTAACGCATCTGTAATAAAATGTAACACTTTCGTGCAAGGACAAGCACAGTAAGCTCCATATCATTAAAAGAATAAGTCGATTTTTATCAGAAATGTAACACTAAAGAAAGAGTAACGTTTCTTTGTAGGTACTTTACCAATCAAACAATTTTTATTCATATAATTCTGAAACATTTTTTCACAAAAGACATTTTATAATTTTGTCTAAGGAGCTTACTCAACGATACGTACGATAAATAATTGTATCTTAAATTTTTTTAAATATTTTCATGATTATTTTTTTTTAACGAAGAATTAGCAATTACTTATCGTATACCTCGTGCATGCTTTTCATTTCCGTCCTGAAATTTTATTTTTTCCAGTAATTTAAAAGTTTGAAAACTGCAACATATCATGGTAAAAATATTAAGAACGGAATTGTATCGATTAAAATATATATGTATTCTAAATCCAAGTTAAAGTACTATTTCCATTGCTGATAAAACAGTATACTATAATGAATATATATTGAATATTAAAGTTTTATAAAAATATCAGACAATGAATAAAAAACACCTATGGTATAGGGTGCTTGTGAGGAGTCTATTAATAATTAGAAAAACATTAATTACATTCGTATACAGGAAGCTCGGAAAATTATTGTTTTTAGAAAACATTACTTTCTGAATACTTTTGACAGATTTGCTTTCAAATAATTTTGAAACTTGGAGAAGGTATAAAGCCAACCATGTTCATTTATTATTTGAGGCTTTTTCATTGTTATCGTAATTACAATATTTTATAATATTGTTGGCTCTTCAGGAATGTTCTATGTACATGCATATGAGCATTACATGCAATATCTTCATGCTGTATTAGTTGCTAGCTTTGTACTTGATGCTCTATTCAACGTTCCTTCTTTTATAATTCTTTGCTTGAAGCAATGACAGCAAGAGGAACAATAAAGTGCTCGTACTTGACCCGTTTTGTTAGAGTATTGTCAGGTTTATGCGCATAGTCGTAATTTGTCCATTTATCATTAAATTTCACTGCTACATATTTTATGATGAATTGTTGCGCTCGTTGCATTGTGTTTGAATTTAACAACACGAGCATAAATCTATGGTTATTTTTTAACATATGTGATACGCAAAATATTTTTGGTCAAATTCGAAATTTTGTTCTAATAATTCTATTCATTTAATTTGATACCTTTACGATTCGTCTGATAAATGAAAACAATCAGAGGACAAAAGATCGACAAGTCTAGACATAATCCAAAAATATTTTTTAACGATGTAAAATCATTGATGAATGTCGAACAATAACGATAATATGTTCAATACATAAATGAAACAATAGATCAAAATAATATTCTTGAAATTTCATTATCGTTTCTGTTTCTTATTAGTGGGTGTTTATAGGAAAAGAATTTGAAAACTTGTATCCTTGTTGTAAATAATAAACATAAAAGTGATAGTAATGTTATATTCTTTATTTATGTCTTTACATGTTAGACCTTAAGTGCCTTTATTGTATTATGATATGAAAAAACTTTTTTATATATTCGAACTAAGAAAGCTAAATAGCTGCTCACTATCATACTGCCCAGTATCTATGTAAAAATACAATGTGATCTTTTTCTATTAAACCCTATAAATAATAAATGTTTTATAATAGTAAAATAAATATTTAATTTTGTAACACTTCCCATTCCTTGTGCCACAAAAGCTATACTTTTGCATAATTTTTTCATGATAAATTTTTTTTATTTCGTTCAAAGTTGAGAAATTATGCTTTGTGCGTCATCGTTTTTATTTGATTTCAAGAACAGATTTAACTTATTTTCAGAAGCGCAAATTGTATTATCCAAATTATATTCTACATGAAATCGTTTAAAAAAATCTTCTGTCTTTTACAGCTAGGCAAATTTTGGAAGCTTGAAAAAAGTGAAAATGTAGCACATATTTGTTCCCTTTGCATATTAGCTTTTAAAGTTACAGTTTAAGATTGAATCAAAATTTCTTTCATTTCTCATTTCGGTTATAGGTCATTGTTATTGAGAGTATGTAATATTCTCGTGCATTTTGGCTACTATCGTACTATCGTAGTCACGACTCTCTGGTAAGGACTCTAACGAGTCCCTACAAAATACTATCTGAAATTCAAACGTGAAGATGATTGTGATAGCTATCTAACTAAAATAGTAATCGTTATAGTTTTGGAAAGTTGTATAGATAATTTTGTTTCCAAATGACCTTCATTGACCTTGAATCGTAAGTCTTATTCTTCTCAAAAGCTGCTATTAAATGGTATTAAAGAAATCAGTTTCATTCATAGTATAAACGTTAAAACGTATAATACATATTCTTCAACTAATGGTAACAAGAAGTTAAAACAATTCTAATCTCGTATAATTTCTTTAATTAGAAAGGAATAGCTTAATCAGAAGTGACACCAAACGTCTACATAAGCAATTAATCGTGTGGAAGATACTTTCCTCTTTAACGGAACGATTCATCTCAACAGATTATCATTGGGAACGTTGTGAACTGTTTTTTAAGTATCTCAATGTACATATTTATCTAGAAAAGTACAGATAGACAGTTCTTGGCTTAATTGCTCCAAATCAAATATGGCGCAAATGATGATACCTAGAATAGCGCTTTCATCCATTAGAAACAGTAATCGTGTAATAACGCGAATTTCTGTGCCCATAAAATATCAACGAACATGTTTTCATACGAGTTGGATTCTCGACGGTATGCAGTTTACTCAGAAATAATTTATTAACACGCTTGTTTGTGACTGAATTGAGGTTAACGTGCAATCATTTATTTCAAATAATTTTTAATTGAGATAAAAGTAATTTGAATGTAAATCTTAATATCGAAAATATTAAAAACACTGTTACTATTATATTTTATTAATTTCTAATATGTAGTATAGCTATAATTTAATAGTTAGTATAACTATTCAAATTGGTTATGCAATCAAATCTACTAATCTAAAACTATATGGGTATTAGCAGTATGCGATAGAATAGTTTGCAGCATAAAATTTTTTCATTTATTTTTAGTAAAAGGGAAAGAGGTTTTAATGCCCTCCTTATCGCCTACTATGGAAATGGGAACCATTGTCAAGTGGCTCAAAAAAGAAGGTGACAAAATTGAACCTGGTGATGCAATTGCTGATATTCAAACTGACAAAGCTGTTGTCACTATGGAAGTTGATGATGAGGCTGTTCTTGCAAAAATAATTGTAAGGTTTGAAAGATGTTATAAACAAACACATTGGTTGTAATTTAGCATATTCTTCCAATAGAATTAATGTATATGGTATGCTCAAAGTATTTCTAGATTTCCTATTAAATTTGAATAAAAAACCTAAATTTAAAAATATAATGTATCATTTAATCAGGTATCAGAAGGAACCAAAGATATCAAAGTAGGAACATTGATAGCACTTACTGTTGAAGCAGATGAAGATTGGAAGGCTGTTGAGATGCCAGATTCTGTTTCTGCTGCACCTGCAGCTTCTCCATCTGCACCTTCCGCACCAGCTAGTGCACCTCCTGCAAGTGTTTCGGCTGAACCACCTCCTGGCCAGTAGGTTATTGTATATTCAAAGCACTATACTTCATTTAGGAGATAAGTAATATATTGACTAAGTAAATTTGTAAATTTTTTAAGGAATAATATTAGTATGCCAGCTTTGTCTCCAACAATGACTACAGGCACAATAGTAAAATGGCTTAAAAAGGAAGGAGAAGAAATACAACCAGGAGATGCAGTCGCAGAAATACAAACGGATAAAGCCGTTATGACGTTCGAATTTGAAGATGAAGCTGTGTTTGCAAAGATTCTGGTACATAATTTTCAGTAATCATTGGATTGCATTCATTAATGTCTTGACTAAAACTATTTGCTTAATAGGTTCCTGAAGGAAGTCAAGTTGAAGTGGGAGAACTAATTGCTATCACAGTGGAAAAGGGAATGGATTGGAAGAATGTAGTTGTTCCAACTACTACAAAACCAGTTGCTGCTGCATCTACTCCTGCTGCACCTACTGCACCTGCTGCACCTACTGCGGCTGCACCTGATAAAAAACCTCCACCAAGTGGACAGTACGCAAAGAAAATATTACTTTTGCAATTACAACTTCAATTGTTTATAAAAAATACGTAAATCTTTTTGATAGAGTATACGGTTTAGCAGTAAAACGGTTGCTGGAGGAATACGGCCTAAGTTCAGGTTCCATCAAAGGTACGGGAAGACCTAATCGATTACTAAAGAGCGACGTATTAGCTTACATTCAAGCACAAAATCTACAAAAAGTTGATCTAACAGCGGGTGTGTAACAGCTGTGTTACTAACATAGATCAGTGATCGGTATTCGGTATTATTTATTAATGATTTTTATTTATCGATGCAGCCGCACCGCCAAAAGTCGGAAAAGGTGATGGGGACCGTGCCGCTACACCTTCGAAAGCTCATACACCCACTGGTCGTCCTTCCGCCTACGAAGATATTCCAGTTTCAAATATACGTGGTGTTATTGCTAAAAGACTCGGAGAATCGAAGGTAATTAGAAACTGCTTTACATAGTTGCACGTAACAGAAATTTATACGAATGTACACGTGGTAATTATATACTTGTGTGCATAACAACTTTTTCAGAGTACTATACCACATTCTTACGCTTACATCGATATTAAAATAGACAAAATAAATGAAATTCGTAGCGAACTCAAGATTGATAATATTAACGTTTCGATAAATGACTTTATCACGAAGGCGACCGCGCATGCGTTAGTTGAATGCCCGGCGATCAATACATTGTATCAGAAGGGTCAGGTCAGTATGAAAATTAACACGAGATAAATTGATGGATGTATTATAACTTCTACACATTTTATAACAGATACTACGTATGTCAAAAGTCGACATTTCTGTAGCAGTTGCTACAGAGAATGGTCTTTTTACACCAATTGTTTTCGACAGTACAGCTAAGAGTTTAACAGATATATCAAAAAATATTAGAGAATTAGCTGAAAAAGCTAAAACCGGTAGGCTACAACCAGATGAATTTCAAGGAGGAACATTTACGTAAGCAGACGAGTCTATATAATATGCGAATATATGAAATTCTAAACAGTATTTTACATATCATTTCCTATGTATTTTAGAATATCCAATCTAGGAATGTTCGGTATCAAGCAATTTAGTGCTATTATAAATCCTCCTCAGACAGCGATACTCGCTGTTGGCGGTGGCCAAAAAGAACTAGGTGAATATATCAAAAAAGCATAGTTTATTGTAAAGATATAGAAAACATTAATTGGTTGTTTTATAGATGCTGCTCTACAAAATGTAACAAAAATGTCAGCAACGTTATCATACGATAGACGGGCAATTACAGAAGACGAAGCTGCCGAATTTTTGGCTGTTTTGAAAGCTATGTTGGAAAATCCAACTTTCCTTGTTGCTGGTAGATTACGGGCTCTTAGGTATGCACAGGATTGACCTTTGGTTATATTTTAATTCTGAGACGTTTATTGAAAATAGGCCTACCTTACAAAATTTTTAGTTTTTCTCCCTATATTAATTCGTACAATATACCGAGGGTTCTGTAACTGGTGATTTAAATAACAATATCGTAATTTTATATGAGAAAATGAATGGAAAATATCAAATAAAATTGTATCATATGACGTTTTGTTTTCGAAAAAATTAATTTTACTCATTATTTTTATATATATTATATTTCGTTGATCTTGCTTTTGATTAATTAAAATCGGTTGAGATGCATTAAGATATTAATAAAAATTTTATTGTATATTTTCGATTTATTTTTTAATGTAGGATGACCATATTGTCGCTTGTGGCATCAGTTACCGGACACTATAAATTCGAAGAACTTACGATTTTTAAAACAAGATAAATTTTTAAGCCATTTATCATATAAACAAATCAGTCAAAACTAGGAGCACCGTTCAAAGCTTCAAATAGTATATGTAAAACTCGACCACAAAAGCTGATAAACGATGAAAAATATTTTGTAATATTAGATCCCAGCTAACGGAATAAATTGGTTACTGGTTTAAATATTATCATTAAAAAAGTACAATGTAGCAAAAAATTAAATAGAAATGTTAAAAAACACACTTAGATCTTAAAATTAGAAACGAAACAATTGTTATCAATACAATGTATAAATTCGAAATTTGTACATATCATTAAAATGATTTAAAGTTATTATTTTGTACATTGTTTAATGTGTTTTACGTTTCCATTAAACTATTCAAATAGACATACATTTTGCTGGCCTTGTCTATGTATACTGAGCATACACCAAAGACTTGTACCAGTATAGTGCATAGAATACATAAAGGTTGCTAATTAATGCAAATTTAAAAGCATTGTCAAATCGGCCACTGTAAATGAAAATTAATGAATAGCTTAATTGTTGTGATCGCAATTGATTAAAAAAATTGCGAATGTAATGTGTTCAATACATACAATTTACGTTTTTGTAAGTAGGAAATTCATATCAAATTAAAATGTCCTATATATATATTTATTTTGATGAAATAGTTACTACACTGTACTTATTTTTGTAATACAATAGATAAAACGCGTACACAATTTATGCGTTTTGCGCGGAGAAACAAGTGCCAAATTTTAAAATTTTCTCTATATTATTGTATTACATAAAATTTGTATAAATATGAACATGATGTAAATACCAGTACTGTTAATTTTATTTATTAGAAATATCTATATGTGATTAAAAACCACTGTGTGAGTTAAAGAAATTTGTGGGAATAGTGAAATGTACAAGAAGATCATAAATTTATCTTGTAAATAAAGTATTTATTGTTTAAAATGACGCGTGATGCTTTTTTCTATACATATTCAGAAATTACACAGAACAAATTGTAACCATTTTATACAATCTTGGAAATATTCTCAATGGTAATTGTTTTCTGTAATTACTGTTCATTGAAAAATTATTACTATATTCGTCACTCTTACATTTCATTATCACTGAAAACAGTATTTGTAAGGCTGTTGTCACAGGATCATATGTATTAATTTGACAAGGCACAAATGTTATGGGTGTCTAAATATAATGAAATTTACATCAAAATTTTTTTAATTCAATTTAACATAAATATAATTAAACATGAAACGTATTTTATGTTTGATGGTTAATTAATCGAATAATTATTTTATATTTTAAAATTAAAACAAATTACAATTGAATCAACCATGCAATATTTTATGAAGTGAAAGTTAATGATATTAATATGACAATAATATAAATGATCGAATATAGTAATATAATTTAATAGGATTTTAACTTTCCTTATCACAGTTGTGACTTTGATAGTTATTACTGCTCAGGCTTTAACTAATTATGGAGAACAGTTAATTGCAGTATAAATTCAGCTATTTTATATAAAAGTACTGTAAATACAAAGTTATACACATAATTTAGCATATAGTACTTGCTAAAATTTGTTATTTGATTTGAGCAGTATTAAGTTCTAAAATACAAATACAAAATTTCTCAAAAAGTTATGCTTTATAATACTTGATAAAATCATATAAAACTAGCTGTATCTCTTAAAACCTTTAAAAAATGCATTCTGTAATGTGCAGTATGTTACATTATTTATAATACTTGGTCATTAATACATATAGGTATAATGTGGAACTGCAAGGTTCAACTTTCAATCTTCTCTGTTTGAATTCTATAATATGTTAATCAAGTATTAAATAATATATTCTAAAATACTCATTTTATATGTAAACTGTTTGATTTGAAATCTATATGGCTTGATAATTTTATTCATTACATTATAAAATCCTATGAAAAGAGCAATTTGGAAAACCTAAACCCTACATGTAGAAAACAAAATACATGTGTATAATTGAAATGTTGATTTGGTAACATTATTAGCTTAAATTGTACTATAACTAAATTGGAATTATTATTTCTCAGTGTTTCAATAACTGTCAAATGTAAAGTTAGACAAGATCCCTGATAGATGCCACGTGCACATACCATGCACTTTCAGTTCTTGGACAAGCTAAGTACAATAATTATAATAAAAGTGTTATACAAATCATATTTTATCATATAATAAATGAAAATATATCTTAATCTATAATAGGACATCAAATGTATGTTTACCACAATGATTATGGCAAAATTGTATTTTAATTACATTCACTATTACTTCTGTAAAGTAATTGCATTATATTGTAAATACAAAATAATTATGTATTTCAATGAATTACAGTCACACAATATTTACAGTATAATGATAATGTAATTATAATGCAATTACTTTATAGAAATATTTGTGACAAATGTAATCAGATTATATTCTGCCCAACACTGGATCATGGCATATTATTTTTGCCTCTACTATTTATTCTGGAATTGATAGAACTTTGTAAATTGCACTTTTCTTAGTATATATATTAAAAAAAAAAATAATAAAAACAAAAAGCACACACAGAGCTTACGTGACACTATACATAAAATGATACACGATATTGCACATAAAACGATTATTAATAATTTATATTAATGATAATTTTTTCATTGACTCGAACAGAAACTAACCTATCGCGTTCACTTTAATAACCATGTATTCGTTATATCCGATAAATTAACGGTTAAAATGAATATTAAAATTGCTTTGCAGTAATTCCTTTGTTACTACAATTTCTACTATTCCTACTATAAATTTGGTAGAACATTGATATTACTGTAGGTAGTTTGCATATAAAATATGTAAAACTGCAGTACTACATACAATTATATTCCTCAAACATTAGAATTATTTTTTGTTGCATAAATTCTATCAATGTAGTATCACACACATTTGATTAATCAAATGCATAATAAAATAAAAACAAATATCTGACTTTTACTTTAGGAAATTACCTAGTAAAATGCTTTATGAAGAATTATTTGTGCTGCTCGAATTAATGGTGTAAGTGTTGTTAAATCTGCACAATTCTCTAGAAATGGATGACATAACAATTCTTCAGCTGTTGCTCTTTCATCAACTTCAACAGCCAAACATCTTTCTAAGAAGTTTTGAAATGTCGGACTTAATGTGTCCCATCTGGGAATAGAAGGTTTACCAATAGCAGCAATTAAATATAAGGCTCTTAAAGGTGTTTCTTTCATGTAAGGTGGTTCACCTTCTATCATTTCAATAGCCATAATACCTAAAGACCAAATGTCCACCTTCTTGCCATATTGTTTTCTTGTCACTACTTCTGGTGCCATCCAATAAGGAGTACCAACCATAGTTTGTCGTTTCTCATCACCATCTATATTAGCACAAAAACCAAAGTCTGTAACTTTCACAGCACCATTCATACCAAGTAGCACATTATCTGATTTAATATCTCTATGAATAATTCCTCTTGAATGTAGAAAATTAATTGCCTTTAAAACCTCTCTGCAAACTGCTGCTATCTGAGTTTCTTTCATTACAGTTTCTGTAACAACGTCCGTAAGCGGTCCACCTTCTAACAATTCCATAATTACCCAGAGATGTTCATTTACAAGATACGCATCCAAAAAGTTGACAAGATTTGGGTGTTGAAACTCTTGGAGAACCTTAATTTCAGTCAATATCAGTTCCTTTTTAGGTTGCTTTGATAAATCTATATCTTTTATAGCAACTCTGTGATTAGTCTGTGAATCAGTGGCTATAAATACAGTACCTGAAGCACCGGCTCCAACTTCCTTAGTTTTTTCAAAACGTAGATTAGGATCTCCATTATGACAAATAGCCCGAAGTTCTTCAAAAATTTCTTCATCAGTGAGTTTCATCACTGTGGAGTCCACCTTCTTTCGAAGAACAGGACTTTCCTCTGCTCTGTTTGGAGCATTTTCATCTTCTGGGAACTGATCATCTTCGATGCGATATGTATTTAAATCTTCAAGGATCTCTGTAAGAGTCTTCTCTACTCTATCGTGGAATATTTCTGGTGTAATTTTTGGAGTCTTGTAAACAATTGCTTTAGGTGGAAGCTCTGGTAACCTCTGTACTTGACTATCCGTAGAACCAACAGAGGTTGAACCGTCCGAATCTCTGGACTGACATTTCTTTGACAGGATTTTATCAATTTCTTGCGATTCTTCCTCGATCAAATCCTCCGTGACGAAAGGTTTGAATACCTTCTCCTCTGGTTTTCGTTTGATCGAATAATTATAGAATTTAATGGCCTGCAAGGCGGCTGCAGGATGCTCGTCCTGCTCTGATTTCGATATCTGAGTGTTGAGCAGGCGAATCCAAGATTCGGGGAGACCTTCCAATTGTCCGGTTTCAGCATTTTTACTCACATGAAATTGATGAGAAACGTTGGTGGGTAAACCAATTTCGGCGGCAACCGTGTCGTTGATTGGGCCAGTTTTTTTCCTCGAGAACAACTTCGTTATGTTGAGACTCATTTTAGCGCGTAGCCTCGCGCTTTTATTGCGTTTCCGTTTACGATATATCGTAATCTTTTTTATCGAGAAGGACGAAAATGGAGGAAGGGGAAAAGCACGGTCCCTTTTTAAACCATAACTCTCATCGTAACGTGACTCGCCTGACTGTCTATCACGGCAGGACATCGAACGCAACTGTAGGCGTGTTACTTTACGTCACCGTATTCAATAGGTGGCGGCACATTTTGAAAATGCGTAGCGCAACCGTAGCCACTTAATCTATGATTCAAATAATACCAATACAAATTTGCCAAAATTCTATTTTATAAAACTGTATTTTATGTTGGAAATAAAGATTAAAGATAAAAATAAATTCCATCTAAAACGATTACCTGCAATGTGATTGTAAGCATAAAAGTGATTTTCATTTTTTAAACGATTAACTAATTTTGCACGATCGCATAAAAACCACGTGTATAAAATTCGTTTGAGAAACACATTTCCTAATACATCGTAATAGGTAAAAAATCGCCCGAAGTATAAACAAGTTTCAAATCGCATACGCAAGCTTGCATCACATATATTGCATAATAATAATTAACGACATTTAAGATAAGTTTATTGAAAAAATGTAATCTGAAGAAGACGTGGATAAAATGTTACAGTAATTATAGCAGATGTAACTACATTTCAAAAGTTTGCATTTTAATATTCCAAATTCTAATTTAATGTTCCAAATGATGACTCTGATCAATAATACATGTTCGAAAGCGGTTTAATGTGGATTGTTTTATTCTTTCTTGTAATTCGTTATAAAAATTTACACGAACTATTCAAGTACGAACTCGTGTCGTTGTCTTGTCATAGAGTAGTGCAAAAATATTATGGCAAATGTGCCGTGTGTACGGCACCGTGGAATGTTAATTGTTTACATATCATGTGGTATTGAAGGGCATGCCATTAGGTTACAGTATAACAAATGTAGAATCATACGTGTTAAAAGCACCAGCACACTATGTCCTCCATGTAATCAAATAACATTTGTTTGAAAATTTTTTTCTATCTTTAAAAATAAATGAGTTACTCTGATATGTCCCATCCAGTATATGTATATATACCACCCAAAAACTGTATCAAGAGGCATTCAGTCCGAATTCTGCTTGCGTTTAGTTCACGTCACATCTCATCACGCCATTTCTCAACTGTTAACCTTGGCACTTTAATTGTGAACTGTGATTATACTTAGAATTTACCCCGTTAAACGCTGTTAGTGTTGAGCGAAATATATAATCTAATTGAATTTGCCACGATTAGATCTACGGAATAATTGTGTTGTAAATGTACGGTAAATTATACGGTTTAATGATTTACGATTATGATTATATGGGGATTACGCAATAATTACAGTGCAATTATTTTGTAAAAATAATCAGATTACACTTTGCCCAACACTGAACGCCGTTTTCTTGATGTAACGCACGTTTTGCGCTTCATAATTGTGTGTTAATCAAAAAGTGCTCCTTCCGTGCAATCGACAAAATGGACGATTAGTGACGAGAATCTTTTCTTTAAAAGCGATTTGTCAAGGCAATGTAACAATCTCTGGGAATTCTTTCAGACTCGTATTATCCAAACATATATTTAAATGAGATAATACCGCGAGCAGACGCGATGTATACAATGTCTATTAAAACTAGTGGCGGTGAGAAAGATACAAAGAAAAATCGTTTCTCTGGATATCAAATTATAACTGTAATTATAACTTTTTAAATGTGATTAGAAGCACATGAACATCTACTATAAGTATATCTGTGTCTTCAACTATCTTTATACATACGATGTATCGTTAAAATGACTCTACTTAGAGCTCTAAATTTTAAGAACGTATCCTGAGCATTAAGCGAAGTCTTACTGTACTATATCGTTAAATACGTCAAGTGTTTACGAGTTTCTTGCCTGTATTACAATAAAATGTAATAAAAGTGGACAAGTTATGTGATTTACTTGTTACCAAGCACAAGTAATATAATTCTACACGTAATATTTGAATAGATTTGCGTAATTCTATCACAATATACATACAATGTGTATAAGTATATGTAATATAGTATTTGTTATAATAAAGGCTAGTAATTAAATAAGACTCTTTAAATACGACAATTTCAATGGACGCGAAAATATTTATGTAAAAGTTATGAAGACGCAATCGTCCGAAAAATGCACCACCATATTAGGTTCGATTTTTGTTCGTTACACTTAATAAATATTTATACGATACTTTTATACGTTGAAGAAACGAGAAACGTTCGGCTCGTTCAACAACAACGCGCGTGCTGCCCTTTCTTATCGCGTGAAGAAACCATATTATCGTCATGTTTTCGACTCTCTGTCCCCCACACCCCACCACAATTTTTCCTCCCCTTTCCCGATGGTGTACAGTACCGAGTTTCATCTCTCACGTACAGGGTGTCTTTAAAATCTTATCACTCTGAATAGTTCGCACGGCTTCATTTTATTTCGTACCGATTGTTCGAATTTCCGTCGTTATGGTCGTCCACGGATTCCACTAATTTAGACGGGAAAATGACTAATGCGTTAAATGCTACTTCGTACTCGGAAACTGCACTTAGCTTTACTATTGTTCCTCCATAGTGAAACAGTGTACGAATTACAAAAGTACGCGTTTACGTGACATATGGGTTGGAGAACATTAGATCGCTAAGGATAACATAAAATACAAAAGTGTTTATATCGATTTCTTTTGGAGTATAACACTCTCGAAATGGCTATCATATCTAACCGTATCATCGTCAAATTCGAGTTGTATTTCTTTTTTTTTTTTTTTTTTTTAAATGTTTAAGTAAGAAGACCGAAGTTATTTAAAACTAAACCAATCCACTAATCCAATTAGAATTAAATGGAAACTTCCGCAACACTGCGTACGTTAAAACTACATATATTAAATCGGTAAATCCTCCCACTTTTCCATTCTTGGATGAAGAGAGGGGATGCTTTGCTCCTCTGTGTCTCTCCTTCACGCGCCTTTCCTGCTAATAAATAAAATATTAACTGATAGTTAATACAAAGACATTATTCGAGAACGCGCTAGGAAGCGGGTGCAAGTTTTCACCTGAAAAATTACAGTTAATGTTCGCGTTTCTAACAGTGATTCCCTATATCACCTGTGACTAATTGTAGACTGTGACAGATTCTGTCTTTGTAAATTTTGTTATTTATTTTTTTTTTGCTATAATCGCTACGATTTTTATATTCTTTTCCTTATTGGTATTTAATCAAGAAGCTGAGACGCGATTTTTAAATCTGTTTCACAAAGTGCTACGTTGCACGTCCGCAAGTTCATGTGATGAGCCTTGTGCACTCGCTGTGGGTTGTTCTGATAAATTAAACGTTTCCTAATCCCAGACCAATATATAGTTACTATGGTCCAATTACGGCGCCAGGTAAGTCGTATTTTAAATATTGTATTTCTTAATGCAGAGTAAAATGTCATAAAATCTCTATTTGTTAATTGTGTACCATACCGTATTGTTGAGTATCAGTTTGTCGTTTGAGGCTTGATGAAACTACCTACAATGTTTGCGAAATTATAGATTCAATTTAAAAAAAATGTAATAACTTCTAAAAATTACACCCCTTCGTTCGTAAAATCTAGCTTGGCTGTTTATCGACGGTTTTGCATTGAATCTTTGCAACTATCTCATTGTTGTTGCAATGATGCAATACTCTTTAAAACGTTTCGTTAAAAACACTGTTTCTTGTCTTTGTTCACTAATGAATGTAATGATTTATGTTATTCCGTGGAAAAGTGCAGATTCATTACTTATGTATTATATACGCAAATAGTTTTCCATTTATTTTAAGTTTGGAACATCAATAATATTTTCCAAATTTCCTTAAAGAAGGGTATTTACTGTAAAGCAAAAAAAACTGAGAAATATTTTATTATGACATTGTCGCTCTTGTTCTTAGAAATTCCAATGAGACATTTAGGCGCGTGCAATACCACGTGCTCGTGTTCTCTTATTTCTGATACTGATGATTTCAATTTAAGAGGGAGAAAAAGAAATTCTATCGAACTGCGATGATTCATTTCATAAAATTTAAATTTCGCGTGTTTTTTAAAACCCGAATGAATGAAATAAAATTTATTAAACCACGCCTACACAATTACATTGGCTGAATCTTATTGTCGGTGCTTCCGTAAGCAACTTATTATCGCACACAACGATTTACAAAAATCATTTATCCTATTTATCGTGACATGTGCGGTAAATGATTTGTAAAGTATAGCACATTATCGCTTTAAATTTTCATGTTTGCTTCGTACGAGTTGAGGTTCACCAGATATATGTATCGTCAAATAAGCACTTTCGTAACTCTGATATAAATTGAACCGGGATTTCTACTGTCATTCAACGGGTCTTTGTTTCGAATAATAAAAATGGCGCTATTACATTTAACTAACTGCTTCTTAACAAATCCCTAACTATATATAAATTTGAAATTAATGAAAAATCTAGTCACCATCGAACAATACACGAATTCATCCAAGTACCTGTATTCGTAACAGACATTAGACGCATTCAAAATTACGCAATAATTTCAATGTCAAAATAAATGCTTAATAATAATGTTTAATTAATAAAGTGATATGTTTGCAATAGATTTTATCCTGCGGGACTTTACTGAATCAATTTCAAACTAATGTTAGATGGAATTCGTCTTTACAAATCAGAGATAAGAAAGTAATACAACCGGAACGCTCTTTCAAGGTATAACGTTTGTGTCATAGAAATATTTAAATAAATTCACAAAACGAGCATTTCAAGTAAAGTTTATAAATATTATATTTATAGTATGCAGATTTATCGGTCCGTCTTGCAGGACCTGAGCAATTACAACCCAAACCCAATGTCAGTGATCTGTTGTTTGGTAAATATTTCACAGATCATATGTTAAAAATATTTTATCACGAGGCTTTGGGAGGATGGCAGGTGCCAGAAATTACACCGTTTGAAAATCTAGTCCTTCATCCAGCATCAAAAGTATTCCATTACGCCGTAGAGGTATGTAAAGCTTACACCTAAAAGGATTTCGCGTTGATTTTGAGAACAATGAGAAAGTTAACTTTATGACGTTTATAAACATAAAATATTGTCTGTACGCGTTACTGTTTCAGTTGTTTGAGAGTCTGAAAGCTTACAGAGGTGTAGATGGAAAAATACGAATTTTTAGACCACAATTAAATATGGAACGAATGAAGAATTCAGCAATACGAACTGGCTTGCCTACTTTTATTGGGGAAGAACTAATCAAATGTTGTTGTAAATTAATTAGTATAGATCAAGAATGGGTACCCCATTCTACTGCTTCTAGTCTCTACGTACGTCCAACTTTTATAGGTATAGATGTAAGTATTTATTTCCTATTACAAACAAAATTCTTTAACTGTGAACAAAAGTTAAAGAGAACAGATATCTGTGAGGTCGCGTCATAGTTATTCTGTACATTACAATCAGTCGGATGATAGGAAGAGTAATCGTGTCACTTATGTCACATATGTCATTAAGACAGATACATATGAAAGTAAGCAATATATTTCCCAATATCTAATGATAATACATGATAAACAGGGGCATGACGCTTTTTCATTGGGACAGGGCCATAAGATACAGCTAGATCAAATGCTACACAATGATGATAACTATAAAATATTTAAATCATGATATACAACCCAAAATAATTGAAACATATTGTTACATATTAAAATTGTTATTCTACAATATTCATGCTTACAACAATGTTATGTAAAATTAATACAAAAAGTGTATTGATATGATATCTTTTTGTGCAAATAAGTTTAGAGAATTCACTGATATATTACTTCCAGATGATGCAACATTGTTATTAGTAGAACTAATCTAAACATGCACAAAATCATAAAAAATTGATTGAGAGATAATGTTTTAGGAACATATATCTATCGTATTTATTTCCGCAATTTTACATACAAGATCAATAACTAGAAATAAAAATAATAATCAGCATTAGAATAAGCATGAAAAAAATACAATATATAATTTAAATTTTTTATTTCTATGTAGCCCATGCTTGGAGTGACATCGTCAGAGTCTGCCTTGCTATATGTTATTTTATCACCTGTGGGTTCCTATTTTAAACAAACAGGTGAACACGTTGGTGTGTCTTTACTAGCAGATCCTCGGTACACAAGAGCATGGCCAGGTGGTTGTGGTAACTACAAAGTAGGTAGCAACTATGGTCCCACTATTTACGTACAAAGAGAAGCCATAGAAAAGGGTTTGCAGCAAGTGCTGTGGCTCTATGGAGAAAATAACGAAGTTACAGAAGCTGGGACTATGAACATCTTTATGATCTGCATAAATGATGATGGAGGTAAGCACGATTTTATAATAACTTTTAATTAACTGTCTTTGCATCTTGTTTGAAATTGATTAAAAATATGTAGTTTAGTTTTATACATTGCTAGAAAAGCAAGCTTATATTCTAGTTATGTTACTACTGTCCTTAACTCTAGTAAATGTTTATTTTGCAATATTTAGAGAAAGAATTAATAACACCATCTTTATCAAATGGATTAATACTTCCTGGGGTTACCAGAAATTCTATTTTAGCAATAGCTAGAGAATGGAATGAATTCAAAGTTACAGAACGAACATTCTGTATGAACGAAGTTTGTCAATTGCTTTCAGAAAATAGAGTAAGATTATTTGTATACTTTTTATTGTATATTTTTTAAATGTTATTTCAAAATTTTATTTTAATTGTAATTTTACTGTAGTTACTGGAACTCTTTGGAGCAGGAACAGCCTGTATAATCAGTCCTATATCGTACATTGAATTTAATGGTCGACCATTACACATACCAACATTGGAGCATTCAGAACCTCTTTATAAAAAGTTTTTAAAACAATTAACGGACATACAGTATGGTGTTATACCGGACCATCCATGGGCTATACCAATCGAATGAAAATAGAGTAATTTATTGGTTCATTTAATATATATCTATTGCTCAGGGTGGATCTATATAGATGAATGTTAGCATTCATTATATTTACAATGCTGAGTGATTTATGAAAATTCATTATATTTAAATTCGTTATATTTAAACTGCAGAGTGATTTATGAAAATTCATTCAATGACAATCAGTGATTTATGAAAATTCATTCAATGACAATCAGTGATTTATGAAAATTCATTCAATGACAATCAGTGAATTATGATTTTTATATTGTTACTTTTACAAACTAAGCATAAGCGACTTTCTTAGAAATATACAGGGTGTTCGGTAACTGGTGGTACAAGCGAAAAGGGGGTGATTCTACATGAAAAAAAAAAATCTAAAATATAGAATAAAAATTTTTCATGCGAGGCTTTGTTTTCGAGAAAATCGGTTTTGAATTTTCGTCGAGTACGCGCACGCTTGATCATGTCTTGTTATAACGGATCTCGCTGTAGATCATTGTCTCGATTGAAGTTTATGTTGATAAACACTTCCAGTGTCACGGAATTGTTTATTAACTTAAACTTAAACTTAAACTCTAAGAATACCCATCGAGACAATCATTTATAGCGAGATCCGCTATAACGAGACATGGTTAAGTGCATGCATAAGTACTCGGCGAAAATTCAAAGTCGATTTTCTCGAAAACAAAGCCCCACATGAAAAATTGTTATTCTATATTTTAAACTTATTTTTTCATGTAGAATCACCCCCTTTTTGCTTGTACCACCAGTTACCGAACACTCTGTATAAGAAATGAAAACATTTGTCTGAGATAAAATTCAGGGATTAACACTTTATCATTGTTGACGAAGTAATTGTTCAACGTTAAATTTTAAAAATATAGATGATAATTTGTATATAAATGTAAAAAAATGCGTGTATATATGTATATGTGTGTGTGTACATGTATGAACACGTATTATTCGTTGAACGAAAATTTGTACTTAGCATGAAGCGTATGATACTATATGTATACGTATAAATATATATTTTTTTAGATTAATCATTACTTTATTTGAAAGATATCATTGTAAAAATTAGATAGTGAAAATACATGATTCTACGGCTAAGGGAGACATTAAGATAAAGTTATTTAAGAAACGTATTGTTATACAGTTTTTTTTATGTGTAATAGTAATTTTGTAAAACAATTTTCAAATGTGATACAATCCGATAACAGGTGATATTTGAAAAAAATAAATTGAAAGTAAACGTTAAGCAATATTTATTTATACATACTTTTATTATTTGAGATAAATGACCGATTTTGAACACGCATGGAATTCGCATGTTTTAACATGAATCCCAGGGTCGTTCCTGGCGAGGGTGCATAAAGTACCCTCGCACCAGGGCGGTCAAACTCAAAGGCGATCGCAGACGATTTGTTATATATAAAGTTTTGACTAACAAGAATAATAATACAAAATTTATACCTTTTCTGAAGATCACTTTATGGGTGGTTTACGATATTGTTAAGGTATACGCGTCAATTCGTTTGTTGTGTTGTAAATTTGTATGTTCGTAGTTCCCACCAAAGATTCAGAGAGAATTACCCGCCAAGATTGTCACTAAGCAACTATTTCACAAACTAGACACTACTGTACGAGCAACGACATAGAACTGAACTACGTACTATATCAGCGCCATTCACGGACTGCTGTGAAAACAAAGTCTGACTTCGCCTTATTGGCCAGAGTACACGAGCACCCATTGGCTCCGGCTATGCTCATGTGCATTTTCAATCGATCTCTCAAAGCGCTTCTATAAGTTTTCTGTCTACGTTGTTAGGTCATTCGAGGTGATAAGTTCGTTAAATTGCGAGTGAGTACGGATTACTTTTACGAAAAGAGCAAATATGTACGGAATTCAGAACATAACTAGGAAAACTCCGCAATTAGCAAAGTTTGTTGTAAATCAACGCAGAACATACCTTGCCACTCCTCCTAGATGTAAAGTATCATTTGCCGTAAGTATTATTTGCATCGAATGTAATTGCGTAATAAGTCGATGGAACGATATAAACTAAAATGTATGTCATATTACGATAATACAGGAGTTACGTATATCTATAATGTATAAGTTTCTTCTTACGTTTAAAAAAAATATTTTTGCAAACTTTTTCTTTTTAATATTTTCATTATTTTTTCTTGTAAAGCCTTGATAAATTGTCAAGAAAGATTGGTTTTTTTCTTCTTTCGTGGTTTTGGAAAATAAAAAAATTGAATAGATAGGTTCTCTGCAAAGTAACATAAAGGATATAAGGTATGTTAATTTGAATTATGCATTTGTTTTCTCCTGTATAATAAAAGGTAAAAAGTATATAATTATTTGGTTTTAAATTATTGGATTGTTAGTGACTAGTAATTATTGATTTTGGTTTGCTTGTTGCAGGAAAAGATGCTTCATGGTGCATTTTTCTACGTAGGAGTGATGGCAGTTCCAATGTGGATTGCATATCACGTAAGAGACTACAATGGAACAAGATAAAAAGTAAAGGACTGAAGTTACCCAATTAGTTGTATGCTAAGATGTAAGAATCAAGCAAACTGTACGTCATAATATATGATCTAAAGTTGAAATATACCAAATTAAATGAAACAAATAAAAGAAGTTTTGATTGATTCTGTAGAACCACATCAGAATATTTAATGTAATTTGCATAAATTTATTATACAAACAATTGCAGTCTTACATTTATGTTTGTACAAAAAATAGTACCATAAAAACGTAAAATATACCGGTTGTTATAAAAATAGATGCACATAAATAGCAATAAAATAACATGGAAATTTACAATTTAATAAAACAAAACGCGAAAACTCATTTTCTTCGTAGCGAAAATGTATTTTATAGCAAAGATTTTACTGTAATAGTACAGAGGGCATAACATCATATTTATGCTAATGATACTTTTTATACTACAAGTGTCAGCAACAGAATAATAAATCCACGATGTTAGATACAAAGTTAATATTCATCTATGCTATTTAATATAAAAATATATTGAGTTTCTGTACACAAATGCACACATCGTGCAGATCGTAATTTCTGTATTTGCACCGTTGGAATGACTGGAGTCGCGAAAATTACAAGCGAGCATTTCTCTCGCGACAGGCGGGTCTAAAAGTTCGTTGATCCAGATGTTGTATTTTGTCAATTAGTCAATCGTCAAGAACGTGTCGTGTGTTTTGTCGGTTGTGTCTGCGTTTTTTGAAGCACGTGGCGCAACATTTCTCCTGGACGATCGATGATATGTCGCACATGCGTCTGTATGTTGCGCACATCGAGTTTGGCACGATGGTATCCCTACACTCTGAAACAAATAAACGTGTTAACGAGGCGGACAGTCCTACAAGAAGAGGACCTTAATCGACGACTTGAATTTCATTGAGCTTTCCAAGACGATAGCAGAAATTGCGGTGGTGAAGCGAGATGATTTCGTGGCTCGTAAACTTATTTTTTCTTACAATTTTTATGTACGTTTGAACTTTTCACATTTTCAGCGAACTACGTTCATCCTCGGTTGCATGTAATTACCGGATTTATCGTTCGCGCACTGCCGCCTCTGATAACAGCGTCTCGTATCGCTGGGCCTTTTCTCGGGGTTGCAATCGTCGGACAGTAAATCCGTTATACGATCGCGGCACTCGACTTCTCTGTGTTTAACGCCGAGCCTCGCTAGACAAGACGCGTTGCAGGATCCCCATCTTCCTGCAAGTATGCCCATAAAGATCAATGCCTTAAAGGATATGCCGATCCGACTTTTCGTTTTCGAGATATCGTAATTTATGTAAAGTGGCAATTATTCAATTTCCACTATCTCTCGGTCCGTCTTATGTACAATAGCCTATTAACGCGTATTAAAAATACCAAAACTTTAGACGCGTGCAGCTTTGAAACTACTCGTGCTTTCTGCATAACTGAGCCATCGTTGGAAGCGGTAAACCTTCCCCTTTAAAATGGCTTTCGGTTTTTGACGATCCGACTTTCCATTTTTGAGATACCGTAATTTATGTAAAAGGTAATTTTTCTAATTTGACTGTCTCTGTCTCCGTCTAACGCGTCGCGTCGGATCTCCTTCTCGCACGTTGACCCACTGACCGAGTGACGTAGTGTTTACTATTTACTACGAGCACGCGCGGTCAACGATCTTGACAAAGCCGTAGTAAGAAAGTAAACAAACCCTTCGGAACCTTATATTTCCGGAACTAGCCACCGCATCGACTTGAAACTAAAATCACTATATCTCCGGAACTAATTGCGCTATCGACTTGTTCGAACGCTCGTTTTAAAGGGCATTTCGTTCTCTATCCAATGATTATACCATCTACTATAATTTATGCTGGCATCCATGTTTGTTTTGAAGTTTACTTTTACGCTACATACTCAAAGAAGTTTCAGCAATTCCTACTGATCATACGACTAGTGTACGATAAAACTGGATCATAAATTATTAATTTAATTGAAAATTAAATTTAAATACAGGATGTTTGCGTAATTACTAGCCAGTACTTTTTCTTAAATAATTGTTTTCTCTAACTATGGTATCGACTTGGAACAAAATTTGTTTTCAAGGGCGTTTTATCTTCTATCCGATGAAAATTAAAAAATTTTTCAACAAAAGAGGATATCTTACGAATAAACATCAAAATACAACTTTCTATAGATATAATGGAAAAATTACAAGTACGTTGCCTCGTAAAATAGAAAAAGAAAGACTGGTCGTTTGACCGGTCATGGTAGGAATGGGTATACACGAGGTGCCGGTGGGTTTAGTGTTAATGGCACCGCTAAATCTGAACACTGTCTTAAGATATTCAGTATATACTTCCATAGGAAGTAGTAGAGACGTAGGAGAGACTACTAACGTATCTTTGAAAATATTCGTATTATTGGAAAAGTAAAATGTTTGGACCATCCTGGGCAATGGAACTGTTTTGGGACTGTTCGTGATCGAGATTAACGAGATACTTACCAGTGATCCACCTTCCACCCTGACACAGTTCAACGGTGGCCGGTTTGGTCTCTGGACTACAATCTCCTTGCACCGAGCAAGTCACTTTTCTGTTTCTCTTCCCGTTGGAACAGTGGCTCCATTTCGAAACGATCCACTTCGATTTGGTATTGTACATGGAATTGTCCGGGTTCTCGTCGACGACGTTGTCGAACTCGAGGATCTCCGGTTCCTCGGTGGTCAGACCGTCGACGATCGTGATACCGTCCTGATCGTTGGAACTTACGTTATAGAAGGAAGCATCCTTATTGTCCGCGTAGACGATCAAAGGTGATTCGGTGGTGGAACCACAACGCGGCAAGTTGGGACACGGGCTGACTTCCTCGGGCCTCGCGTCTCTGTTGCAATCACGATCGGGCAGAGCCAGGTCCGAACGATCAGGACCCATCCCCGAGGAAACGCACATCACCGATCGCTTCCGCAAAGCCCCCTCCCCGCAGGTCACCGGACACATTTGCCACGGGCCGATCCACCATCTGATATTACGCCAGAATGATTTACTATCGCGGGAACTAACTAACTTGTTGCGCGTTAGGTACGAACGACGCGTTTATGTTTTAAAACCGCGATTACATTACACGTAGCGTGGGTTCAGTGAAATCTTTGGACCGTTGTAACTTGGTGAAAAGGATCTTCTACCATCACGATCATAAAGGATTGTTTTCTTAGAGTTATGATAATTTTTATCAGCGTTTCTTTTCTTTATCTCGTTGAACCGTGTACTTTACCTGGCAAGACAGGGGTTCAGATTGCACTCCCGCAAAATCGGCTCGAGTTTCTCGATACTCTCGCAAAAATGATCCTCGACGACTCCGCTCTTTTTCTCGTTGCAGAGGGGTTTCGATATTTGCGTGCCGCCCCCGCAAGTGGCCGTGCAGAGCGACCAGTCGGAGAATACCCAAGAGTACTCTGGCGCCCGGTCGGGCTCTTTCTTCGGCACGGTGTACTCGTATCGTAGTCCGAAATTCCGATAATGTCTTCTGGAAATCAACTGTAGCGATGGCGCAAGGTTATTGAGTACGAGAACAAAGTGGCTACGGGGAGTTACGAGAATCGCGATGGCGTGTGCTTGGAATTTCTACTGAAATTCAATTCTACCTATTTTGAGTCGACGTCGAATACATACGTAGATCGCTATGTCCTCTTTAATGGGCCCAGGGATTCTGATCTTCTCCCTATCGCGATCTCGCTCGTACAAAGCTGGAGTCCCGGCCACTTCGTACTCCCCTGCTAAGGTGATCTGCCTGTCCAGTTAGAACAGAGATCTAAATTTGTTAAAATGTTTTTCGCGACGTTTCGTTTGTTTCGCGTAAAACTCAGTAATCGATTGCTAGCCGATATAAACATTCGCTGTGACCAGATCCGCCGTTAATTGTTTATTTTCTTTCCAAATATTACCCACCGTTTCCCGTTGAGGAAGTACTTGTCGGAATTCGGTACTCCTATGCCAATGTAATTTTTGCTGTTACCGATTTCCTCGATCTTTATGTTCCTCGAGCCGGACGGAACGACGACGACCTGCTTGTACCCGGAACCGTCGTTTTTATCGTAAATACCACCGGTTGTCTCGCATTGGGTCCCATCGCCGTGGCAAATGCCGCAACGGTCTTCGGTGGCGTCGGAATCGACCGTCCAGTCGCAGCCAACTTTCTACGGTTCGAAGGTTAATACGATTCCAAGCTTTATTGGAAACTAGAGTAATAATTGTCATACTTATTGTTATTAACAAGAACAGACTAACTCGACAGATTCCCGAGATGCACATGTCCCTGGTACCAACGTTACAGGGTGTACCATCCAGAGCGGCCTCGCCCCACGGAACGATTACGCTTTCCTCTGTATCGGTGCAATACAATTCGCAAGGTTCCGCTTCAATTAATGACGATATCGATTATTATTCTAGAGATCGAACATCATTGAATCGTCGCTCGAGAGAAAGACACCACGTAGGGCATAATAATTGGGGGAAAAATATCGTTTGATCGAGCGTCGCGGTGAAAAGATATCTTACTTTGATCGAAATACGGTAACCAGGTGTAGTTCTTTCCCTTGTACTCTTTGCCGTCGTAGTCGCTGCACTGAACGGCTCTGAAGCTGGCGGCGCCTTCCGGGCAAGGCTGCGTGTTGCAAATTTTGTATCGTCGCCTCTCGCCTATGCAGAACTTACCATCGTGCGCCGGTTCCGGGTGATCGCACTTCCGTTCGACGATCGAGACACCCGCGCCGCAGCTTCTCGAGCACTCGCTCCAACTGCCCCATTCGCCCCATCCGCCGTCGATCTGACGCGGTCTGTCCACGATCGGCACGCACTCTTGGTTTTGGCACCACTACGACAGAATTATGGTTCTCGATGAACTAGCCTTCGATTCGTAATTAGTCTAGCGGCTAGCCAAACAAGTATAAAAAGGCATTGGACGTGCAAACAGCTAGCACGGTTTATGACATGGACGACAGCGAAACTGTCTTTGAGAAAGCCATTTCTGTAATTAGAATTTTTAAAAGCATGTCCGTAGTAAGAATTTGTTAACGGCCTCGATGGTGAATCGCTAGTGTCAGAAACCCTGAGTTTCCCCAAGGGTCTTCGATGCAAGGACCAGCGACCATCGACTGGTCACGCTGGCGACCTAGGACCTTGGGAAATTCTAAGTCGGTAATTGGTTAACCCCACCTTGTAGGGGGTTGGCCAAAGAAAACGGCGACAGCCGCGTAAAGAAAATGTAAAAAAAAAGATGAGAGTTCTCTCGAAACCGTTGCTCGAGAACGACGTTCAGAAATAAAGAATTTCGAAAAGTGAACGCTGTGATTATATAGTACAAACGCGTGATCCGTTATTTCCATTGCAACGTAGCTATGTATCGAATTAAAAAGATAGTTAGTGATCTATACCATGTGTTTTCCACAGTGGGTCCCCGGAGCAGCCGGATGAAGTATAGTAGTGCAAGCATCGTCAACGATGCACCATAATTTCGAGCAGATCTGTGAACGAGATCACCGAGTTTTAATTACCGTGATAATTGATTGTCTTCTTTTCGTTACCTCCTGCAAGGGGGAGCAAACAGAGGCCTCTCTAACGCCGAATTGAAGTCTGCACTGATGCTCTGCATTATACATCGCGCCCGGTGGTAAATCCGGATACGCGTAATCGTTGTCCGCCGGTTCGTCCTCCAAACACTCGCCTTTTCCTTGACTGAAATAGAAACACGAGTCGTTCACGGTGAATCGAATCGATTCTTTCTCGTCGGGGGTGTTCTTACTCTAGAAAATTCGTGATGTCTCTTTTGGAGCATCTCGACCAGGCTACGCCAATGGTGTCCATCTCGATCGTTGGCGTCATAACGTGCAGCGTGTCACCGTCGCGTTTGCTGCATCCGATTTTCTTCGTATCGTGGTACATCCCGAAGCTGGAATTTCAATCGAAAACGTCCACTGATAACAGAATAATCTTATGGCCGACGAAAGAGGCGATTTAAAGTTAAAATTACGCGACGCGCGCCAATATTCGTATCGTTCGAAACAGGGATCGTTCGAGGGAGGGAAATAATTGTTTTCCATGTCCCAGCGATTATTTTTAAGCCAACGGCGCGCGTGATATCGTGTAATATTGTGTCTTTCGAGGCCACGACGACGGATTTCGCTCACTTGTGTCCCAATTCGTGCGTGATCGTGTGCGCCAGGGTGATTCCGTTGTCCTCGTTGACGCTGCAACTGCGGTCCGGTTGGCACATTCCGGCTACGTGGGCCACTCCCAGCGTGCCGCACGGCGTGTTCGCCCTCGAGCAGATGTCCTCCCTTGTCACCAAAATCGCCACGTCGTGGTGATTCGGATGCGAGTCGTCCGCCGGGTTCAGTTTCTGTTGCCATTTGCAGAAATTGTACAGCGTTCGCTCCGCGTTCACCGTGATGTCAAGCCCTTGCTGATAGAAACGTCGATAAATCAAAATTTTAGATTTCTACCATTCCCCGTCGCGGGTAAGTTTTATAGTAAACGTACGGGTCTCGTGAAACGTGATAGTTTCGTCGGAAGAAAAATTTCATCGTTCGCGCGGTACGATTTTACAAGAATTTTACGCGCGTTCGGATCGCCGAAGGGAATAAAAATCGCTCGAATTCGCACGTACTTCCGCCTCGTCCTCCTCGACGAGAATAATTCTGACCACGACGACGTTGATGAAATTCCCGATGGTGGGGTCCAGATAGAGCGACGACACCATGTTCATGATGGTCAGCAGATACGTCTCGACGTCGCCGTCCTGATGAAAAGCCATCATCGTCGTGTCAGCGACGACGAGGGCCTCGACGTGACGCGGTCGGCTGATCGATCTCTTGGAACGCTGCCATCGTTTCGTCGGATGGTGTTTCCTTCTGCCGCGTCCTTGAACTTGAACGAGACCCGGCTGCGTCTGCCATTCGAGCCGCGTTTCCGTCAATCTCCTCGGCTCTGTGCAACGTTATCGGGCTGATTAACACGAGATCGCCTGGGCCTCCGAGCTCCGCCAAATGCGGGGAAACGAAATCTCTTATAAGCTTTTCGAAGCTTTGAATTCTCCGCATAAATTCTATATAACATCTCGGTGATCGATAGGTCGAAATTAGAGGTAGCGTATCTAGAAATTGTGAGGCGCACGTGCGGTCACAATCACGAAAAAGATGTACACGCGGTAGACACGTAAGACGCGTACGCTCGATCCCTTAATTTATGCAGATTGGTTGATCGCAGGCGTGCAATTAAGATTTCATTCGAGCCTATCCCGATAGATCGGCCGCGTTGCCGAAACGGATATTCGTTGTAGCTAATTACAGGTTTGAGGCGAATTGGATTATTCCGTGTTGGTCGGTTCGTTCGACGCCGCCACCTATCGACCGCGGTGATCTTACTTCTACATATATTGATCTTCTCGCGTTTAATCCGGCCGAAACGCGGGGTCGTAACACGTTTAATAGGTTCGATTCGGAAATCGTGCCACGGTGGTTTTCGAATTAAATCGTGTTCTTGGAAAACTTCAGAGACTAGGATCATTTTTGCAATTAATCGACAATTATCTGCGGTAAAAATTAACGAGATACGCCCACGGATCGATTTGTCGATCTTGAAGATGCGAGAAACGTGGATGTTAAGCGGCATTTGTGGGTGATAGGATAAATAGATCGAGCAGTGTATTAACGCGTTCATCTCGGAGGTAATTAGTGGTGAAACGAGAATAGATGATTGGCGAGATGTTATCGTGCGCGTTGTACCGGGAGCAACCGTTGGACAAGCTCGTAAATATCGAATTTCGATTTTTGTCAGGTAAGCCTGGTCAAAGATGTTCGCGCCGGTAAAAGAACGAGCAGAAGATGTCGCTGGAACGCCCACGTTCTCTGTAGCTCCGATTACATTATACGCGTAGACGGCATAAATAGTTGTAATACGCGCTGCTGGATGAGGAACGAGAACTTGGGAGCCGGACCAGAAACACCGTCGAAGACTGGAAAAGAAAAAGAAGGTGTCGATTCGTTCTCGCTGTGGGTGCCGTTCATCCTTCCTTTCTTCGCTATTAATTACAACTAGCGATGGGTACAACACGAGTCATTCCAAGAACATTCCTTTTATATCTTATGAAACTGTTTTTATGCCATATTATCTCGTTTAAGTGGGTTATAAAAAGATATTCAATTATACGAGATGGATACCTTCGAGTATCTTTTATGTATCGTACGTAACATTGAAACAATGAAACTTTATCGTTACGTGCCGATATTGATCGAGGAACGATAATATTGCATTTAGCAATTAAACGATTTAGCGTATCGAGCGTGTGTCGTTGCGCTTCGCATCGGCCTAATTAGCGGAAGTGTTCGAACAGCGACGTTCGAGGAACATAAACGACAGGAAACAAGGCGTGGCCGTAGTATTTGTCAAAATTGATTTACGATCGTGAATTAATTCTGCTGGTAGTTTGCTAATAGAGAAACACTATAGTCGGTCTAATTTGTTCGTAATACGAAGTTTTACAAATCGGTCTGGCAAAAATGTCTGGTTGGAAAGGCAGTTCCACTCGCTTAATAGTAGCGAACGGAACGTATTTATACGATCGATTTAAAATTCATGACCGTCCATTGAGAAATAACGCGTTTACTATTACAATATCTTACCGGCGACGTTATTAAGCCGTACAATTAGAATAACTAAAATTCATTGCGATCGTAAGTAATCGCATCGATACGAGAACGAGAAAAAATGGTATCGCTTAATTAGGGACCGTGCGTCACCGTGCCCCAAGTCGCCTTTAATTACGCGGTCCCTGCAATTATTGAGAGAAGAGTTCTCGAACGGTAACATTTGTCGTGTCCCGGTGCAATTTACATCCGATAAGAAGATAACGTTTGGCATCGACACGCCCACGCCGTTTGCAGCTCGTGGAATCGGAAGTAAGAGAGACACGAAGACGATAATTGAAAATTTTCCCATCCATCAGAGTTGCAAGGTATGACGGGTGTTCGGCCATCCCTGGAAAAAATTTTAATGGGAGATTCTACAAAATAAGACGAAAATCAAGAATATCAATTTGTTGATCGAGGCTTCGTTAAAAAGTTATTAAAAAATTTCAAATCGTTATAAAAAAAATTATTTTCGGCTGCAGGGGTCAATTGCAATCATTTTTGGTGAATACATACACCTACGAAATCCTTCGCACTTTCAAGAAAAAAATTCTTTACCAAAAATATACTGCGTGGCCGGAAAATAGCATCCTTGATTTTCATCTTATTTTGGCTTCTAGAATCTCCCATTAAAATTTTTCCCAGGGATGGCCGAACACCTTGTATAGGGGAAACACGAACAAAACCGGGTATTTAAACAATTATATTCTAATTAATAATATCGAAGTTATGTAACTTTATCCTTAGCGTCCCGATTTTGCCCCGGTAATCCCTAACTTGGTAGGCTCGAGGAGCAATCTATTGTATCTACTTTTCCACCATAGTTTTCATCGATATAAAATTCGTAGACCTAAGAAAAAGTGGCAGAGTTATTCGTGTATTGGATAGGAGAGCGACGTACGGTTGGCTGGCTGTGGAAGAAGAAAAGAAGAAGGTTGGGCAGAGGCGGGTAATGGTCAGGTTTGACGGTGGTAAACGGGGGATCGAGACGGAGGAACGAGAAGAGGAGGAGAATGGTGTCGGTAAGATTCTCACCGCGAGTGCCACAGTTTCTCTCGAGTTTTCTCTTCTTTTTTCGTCGGCGTCTGGTGCGGCCGGTCGCGGCGGCGCCGATTTCGAGCTGCGGCTGCTCGGCGGATCTACGGAACACGAGATGCGGCCTACCGACCAGCGAGTGAAGTTTCCGTTCTCGGCCTCCCGGAGACCGCTCCTCGGCGCCGGCGTCTTTCAGCCTTTCCTCCAGGCCGACTCGTTCTTCTTCCGGGGACAGGGCGACTGGTTCCAACCAGAACTCCTCGTGCTCGCCACGCAGCATGCCCGCCTGAAACACGAAACCCGCTATCGCGTTACTCCGGGTCTCTTTGTTCAGCTTTTGCCTCGCCAACTGCAGTGAAAACTCGATAAATGTCACTACTCCGGGTCCGGTCAGGAACACTTATGGAATAGGAGAATCGTTTTTCGAATTTGATTGTAGTTTGCCGATGCCTCGAACATAGAAAGAGTCGGTAGCTAAAGAAGAGAGAGGGACTGAGAACCAGATTTATCGCCTCAGTTTAAATATCCGTTACACATTACATTTCTGAAAATATTTCAGTTTGCACAAAATCTGAAATTGCGTACCAAAACGTGTTCAATTTCGAGTGAAATGTCTCAGTGGAGTTAGGGAAAGGTATTTAATAATAATTCCAAAACATGTACGTACTGGTATCTTCGCAAGGTCAGTGGATAGTAGTACATTTATCGAACAATTGTAGCTAACGAAACCTCCTATCTCATAAGTGTTGCAGTTTCTGATCACTTACAGGGTAACGGAAGCGTTCCGTTTGAAAATAGCTACCTTCTATTCGATAAATGTACCCAGCACTTCAACCCGACGTTCTTTGATGTTTCCGAAGATAGAAAAGGACATCGCAAGAAGGATAAACAAAGAGAGAAAGACTCTCAAGTACAATATTTAATTCAATATTATGCTAACAAATATTGACCGATTTAGAAAAATCTCCCCACATGATAGTAAAATTTTTATTAAAAAAAAATAAAAAATAAAAAACTTTCTTCTTGCACAGTAGTGTGGTCACACTTACAGGGGCATTTAAACGAAGATGATGAAGGCAATAAAAATTTTTAAAGAAAGCCGCTACGTCTCCGGTTACACTTCGCCTCACTGGTTCAAGGGGGATCCCCCTAGTGGTGGGGATAAAAATGTATCATTTACGGAACAGCTCTTGAGGACATTTATCGAGTTTTCACTGTACCACCAGATCATCCCATAACTAACGCGAATTTTCATTTAGAAAAGCCATCACGCTGGAGTTATCGAAAAAAAAAACGTTTACGCGAGATAAGAGCGACGGATGAACTTTAACCGGTCGTTAATCGTCGGCGTACGTTTCAAGAGACTCCGTGGTAGGCTTGGCGCGTATGTAACACCTTCGAAACAAGAAACGGTACAATGTAAATTGGTTTCGATGCTGGTAGAGATTGCTGCGTTCACAGGTACACCGATGTCATTAATCATTCCCGATCATCGATAGCGTTCACCGGTTTCCGTCGAGTAGCAATCGATCGCTGGAACACCCATCGTTCGATTTCGATGTAATTCTAATTCTACGTCCGCCCTTTCTTCGATCGCCATTGCTTATTTATCTCTAAGCTACAAGACATTGTCCGTAGCTGGTCGCCTCGATCGGATACCAGTTTTTGCAGAAATATAATTTATCCTGTCGTCGATATCCCAGATACGAATTCTCGTATTACGCGGAGGCTCGAGGAAACAATGAACGCCGTGCAAAAATAGCTGGGAATAATCGGTTTGAGAGGAATGGCGGCGTCGTCGAGACGGAGGGCCTGAAATACAAGTCGCGCGAGACCTCCGCGCCGTTTCGACTATTCCCTGACGACGACCGTGAAAAATCACGGCGCCAGCCTCGCAAAGGTGAGCTCGAAGAGGGGCGCCGTCGAAGGACCTCAAAGTGAAAAAGGTCCGAGCGTGATTCAGCGCCGCACGGGGTCTCACGGAGCCTCGGTCCTTCTTCTTCTCCTCCCGCCAGTCGCCTCTCCTCTCTTCTTTTCCCTTCGTCTTCATCTTCATCGTCTTCTCTCTATTCCGCGACGGTCTGACTTCCTTTTTTGCCTCGTTTCTTTTCATTTTACGCGCACAGAAACTCCGTCGCCTATACATATAAGGAGTGATTTGTTACCACCGTGCGGCTTCAACGATGCCGCGAACATTGTCGTCGGCTCGGTTAACGATCGATGCCGATTTTTCTCGTTTCTTCTCGACCGGCGCGATGTTCGTTCCCTGCAAGACGGTTCGGTTTCAACATAACGATAACCCACGCGCAATAAGACTTTGAACACCGTCGGGCTTCAAATACGAACGCATCGATATTTCTATTTCAAACGTTTCGATGGAAAATCGCGTTTCAAGCCTCCAAAGAACGTGGTTCGAGGCAGGGGGCGGATGGAACGGAACGTCGACACGTTTAAAAGTTCATTAAGCGTTAAATTTATTGTAAACTCGGTATTTTTGCGTTCGATGCTAACTAGTTGAATCTACATAAATTGCTTGCCGCATAAATTCACTACACTAGCGGCAATTTATAAGCGGAACCGGTTAACTAGTAAAAGTATTATATGTGTTTACTTTGTTCTTATTTTTTCCGATCGCCTCGCCGAACTAAGCCAGATTTATCGCGGGCATATCTGTAGCGTGTTTCCATCTTATCCGTAAAATCGATTGCTCCTTTGATCCATCTTGCAAGTCGTTAATTAAGTTCTATTGTTATGTATCAGTATTTTTAAAATAGCGTCATAGATTCACCGATTTACATGTTCCAAAGTTTAAGTGATCTTTCCATTACTTTAGTCCCTGTTTACTTTGCTGGGATTCGTCGTGGCTAAAAGACAGTCCGTTCGTTTAAAGTTGGCGCGAGTTTGCGTCACCGGCGGCGATCGTATCTTCGTTTGCATCTTGCGGTTTAGCCGATCGAGTCGAACGATACGATTTCAATGAGTCTCCGCGGCGCGCGAAGACGATAAAGACGAGCCCCGGGACCGGCCGTAGATCATTTCGGGCTATCGGTGAATAACGATCGCTCCGGACGTTCGAGCGGAACCCGCGTAAATGAAGTAATTTCGTTCTGGCTAGGTGTTACTCTAACCCGTTGAATGGAAATGGATGAGGACATTATCGATTCAGCGATCTGCAGGTCGTTCGTTACTCGGGTGTCTTGTGCATGCGTGCCGTGCGCGGACTCGCCGCGGGGACTGAATGCTCCCAATCACAAGTAAATATATTTCTATGACGGTGTCTAGCCGTCGGTCGGCTTTCCATTTGGACGTCTTTGTTCGTTTAATTGGGCCCCCGCGCGTTTCGCGGCACGGTTCCAGAACGAGTGTGTATACGGAACCGGCGCGGCGCTTCTTTAGTCGTTCCTTCCTAGGATCCGATTAATCCCGACCGTCGGCCGATTATTTATAGCCGGCTATGCGTTACGTTCTGCGCCTGCCTCTCGGCTCGTTTCGCGACGTAACCTCTTCGTATCTGTCGCGCCTTACTCTAATTGCTACGAACACGCGAGAATCGAGATCAGCCACGGATCCTCCCCGATCTCGACGCGATTCTCCGCAGGGATCCGACTCGACGACGCTCCGCTAATTGTAAACGATGGATCTCCTATCGGCGAGGACGTCCGATAGAAGCTTGTCCTTTTCTTTCGAACCTAACGCGCATTTCAATCTCTATTACTGATTTAAGATCTACGATCGCGTTTCCGCGCAAGTCGCTTGGTTAATTAGCGATCGATGTTGAAAGAAACCCGAACTCGTGGCGCGTCAGCGGTACAAAAGCGGGCAGGCACGGCACGATCTAGGGAGCAAGCGCGGTAGGTGGGATTAGCATAATGCGCGAAACCAGCGCGGCGATCGGACGTGGAACGGGCTCGATTGTGGATAGTTAATGGCGATCGAGCAGTCATTATTCTCGGCCGGCAATACGTTGCAATCGTTAAGGCAACCTTACCGCGCAACCTAGCAGCTCGTTCGCATATATAAATTATTATTGTACGGCCAACTAGGTGTATCGATGGGCGGTCGCAATACTGTCGCACGTCGACGCCCATGTTTAGCGGTTCAACGCTGTGCTTTTGCTTTTTCGCAGCGCCGTATTTACGCGCTGAACGTAAATCGCCACGGCGCTTTTGTCGATCCTGATCCGTGTATAACACCTGCGATTATTGATAACGAAGGAAAGCTCGTAGATAATCGCTGACGGTTTAACGTTACTAGTTACCGTTTGGGCATTGTTGTCGAAACGGTTTGCTCATCCCACGAATAATGCGAATAACTGGCAAGCGCGAGCAAGCTTTTGCTTTCACTGAATATAAGAATGATATCCTCCTGCTTACTCGAATTTTTACCCAACGATAATTTGTCCTGAGAAAATTGTAACCATTCAAGAATGGCAGAAAGTTGAAATGTTTTTCATCGATAAAGCTAACGGGGGTGTAAATTTCGCTCCCGTCATGCATATTCAAACTTTATAAGACCACGATTAAAAATAGACTGGAACGGTGGTCGGAGAAGGAAAACATCTCCATTACCTCTCGATCAGGATTTCGAAAGGTTAGATCCTGCTCGGATAATTTAGTCGCTTTGTCAACCGGCTTAGAGGTCGTAATGAATCATTCGTTGAGAGATTGGTCGAAGCAGACTGCTCCTTCAACGCCTTAAAAAGTAAATAAAATTGTGGAATAACGCGTAGTAATTGCTGGTTAAACATTCAACGAATGTGCACGGTTCGTGATCTCCTTCCGATCAGTGATCGCAACAGATTCATGCGTGAGTTTCTCCGTTAACTTTCATCGGTCGCGCAGGTATGGCCTGGTCGATTTGTCATTGGTACGAACAGTTACTAACGAACGTCAAAGCTGATTGAATTTGATTGCCCGACGGTCTGTAAAGTATTACGTTGCGCCGCGACGACAATAGTCGCGATTTGTCGCCTTTGCAATTCTTCGTTTCGCTCCTTTGTTTTGTGGACGTATTTTCATAATTGCACGAGGTCACCGTATACGCCTATCGTCGATAGACTAAGCCGACGATTACATCTGCGTTCGATCGCTCGATCCTTCGTTTCTATTTCTTCTTTGTGACTCATTTGTCGCGATAGAAAAAACTTTAATCTTGATATCGATACTGCTGGACATAACCGCATTGACGATTGTTTTTTTTTAATTTTTTTGAATGCTCTGTCAGATTTTTCGTGCGCCAATCGGCAACGGGGCCTATATAAATGCATATAGATCCCACTTGCGCCTT